TACCAATTAAAATATGTCATTGACCAATCAGCAGCAATGATAAAGTAGGGTGTGTCAGTCATTGTTCAATAGAAAAGGGTGCATCTTTACATGAGGATAGCTTCATTTTGGGGGTTTCCCCCTCTTTTCCACAGATGACGGACTGACCATAATTTCAGGCATCTGTTCATGAAACTGTATCAGCAGATAGGATCCCTCAGATTCCTCGTAGGCCTGTTTAATAAGGGGACTGGTTAATTCAGATTTTCTAGCTTGTGCATTTGAATATATATGTTCATAATTAGGGTCTCTCATGACCATGTTTCCCACATTCCTTCCTGTGACTAAAGCATCACTCTGTGGTCTTGGTTTAACTGTTAAATAAAATTGGTTCATTCAATATTTGAGAATAAGTTTGTTATAAGCGTAACCTTAGTGATATCTAGAGCCAGGTTACCATAACACCATTGCAGAAATGTGCACTTTGTAATTATCTTTATAGTCTAAGTGAGAGTAATTTCTATGAAACAGCAAAGACATATTTTTTTACTGTTATCATTGTAGACAAGACCAGCAACTACTATTTTGTATCACAAAAACATGATATTTTGATCATTATAAGCAAATTTTTTCAGCAATATATTTAGTTAGTGACATCAAAAGTGGTAGCTATAGAATATGTAATTAGGGAAAACAGTTATACTAATTTATAGATCTCATTAATTCTATTTATCATTATTAGGTAACTGTCTGGCATCATGTGCATATTTAAAACTCAATACATGCTCTTTATACAGGTTGTTGAAAACGTTTCTCACAGTCTCAGTGGTTAGCACACAAGATAAATGAATATGAAAGTTTATTAAAAAACATGAAAGTTATTGAGATTACATCCTCCGATCACAGGGCTTCAAAATCCAGAATATATTCTTTCTTTTTACCCCCTGTGATAAGCAGTTAGCATTTCCCCGATTAAGAACTCGCTATCTGATTGGCTGCCGCAACACTGCGACAGAAATCATGTATAAGTCATTGCGCATATTTAGATCATGTGATTCAGTGTAATCGGGCGCTTCCAAATTGGCTATAGCTGGGGGAAGAAGGAGGTACGGATTCTGGATACCTGCTTAGGAGGATGTTGAGATGATTAAGGAGTGATTAAACAGTAAAACTGATTTTGTCATCTTTGAAGCAGACCACATATACTGTACTCGTAATGATGCTCCACAACATTTTTAAAGTGAGGCTTTTTGCTATCAGACTGAGGCAAAAGAGGTAAAAGTAAAATAGAGTGATGTGATACGCCTCAGTGTAAAACAATGATTCATATGATGGACCTTTAGATATATATTTTACAAGATGTTCAAAACCTGATCATTAAAAAAGAAAATGAAATCATGCATATATGAAATATACATTGCTTGTTTTATTTACTTCAAAGGATTACTCAAGTCAACAAATGGATGAATTGCAAATTATGAGAACATACATGAAAACCACTCAAACTAGTACAATGCATACAAATAGTTTGAACCTCCCTCGTACATCTGGCATATCCAGTTTAATTGCAACATTTGATCATATGATCATTCGAATAAAGGAATATTAATGTTGTGATCATATGGCGTCATAAACCACAGATCTAACCAGCAAATACAATATGCCCTGGATAGAGTGAATGCAACTAGTTTCGATGAATCATCAATGAGTTTAATAGTGTTTAACAATTAAGTAAACGGATATCTATATGAAGAGATATAAAATAACTTTTAAACAATTATCTCGAGACTTATTCATTTTTCACACACCAGCAAAGGATGGATGAAATTCATGAGATAATGGAATCAATAGGTATATATGATGTAATCGGATTTATTTTTCCTAAGACAGATATTGAGAATGGATGTACTTCTGATTTTCTTTTTTATTTAGATTAGAGCATTAAATTGGTAAGACTAGTTAGTCAAATATCGTTATGATTGGTAAGGGGGCTAATTTCTAGTACTAGACCCTCTTCCCAAATTAATACCAGACTTACAAAATTGATTTTTCTAATTACCAAAAAAGATTTCAGTTATGCTGGAGCTACCCTGAGATTACATGACACAACATCAAATTATTGGAATGGGTATGACATGGCGGATCTGAAAACTATCAAGGGGGCCAACATTTCAAGTTTGAGAAATTTTGGCCCTTAAAATCAAAAATTGGGCCCAAATTTTGAAAATTTAAGGCCCATGTTCTTGATAATTTAATAAAGAAGGCCCAACAAGGCCCAATTTTTTTTCTAGGCCCATCCTGGGGGGCAGATCTGCCAGTGTATGATGATAAGGGCCTATGATGAAGGAAAGGTTCGAAGCTGTGATGCTTTATCACAATGTAGATGATGTGTTCAGACCACACAGTGTTATCATTCAGACAGGTTCTAATATAACACATCATTGTGATAAACCATGTCTCACCTCTCACCCTCTCAGTGCTACATGCAAAACTGAAAGATGGGATGAGTATCAGAATGACATATTATAAGACTCATAGCGATCCCCCCCTGTCTTGCAAAACTGAAAGATGTGATAAATATCAGGATGACATATAAGATTCATAGCGATCCCCCCCTGTCTTGCAAAACTGAAAGATGTGATAAATATCAGGATGACAAATAAGATTCATAACAATCCCCCCCTGTCTTGCAAAACTGAAAGATGTGATAAATATCAGGATGACATATAAGATTCATAGCGATCCCCCCCCTGTCTTGCAAAACTGAAAGATGTGATTAATATCAGGATGACATATAAGATGATTCATAGCGATCCCCCCCCCCTGTCTTGCAAAACTGAAAGATGTGATAAATATCAGGATGACATATAAGATTCATAGCGATCCCCCCCTGTCTTGCAAAACTGAAAGATGTGATGAATATCAGGATGACATATAAGATTCATAGCGATCCCCCCCTGTCTTGCAAAACTGAAAGATGTGATGAATTTCAGGATGACATATAAGATTCATAGCGATCCCCCCCTGTCTTGCAAAACTGAAAGATGTGATGAATATCAGGATGACATATAAGATTCATAGCGATCCCCCCCTGTCTTGCAAAACTGAAAGATGTGATGAATATCAGGATGACATATAAGATTCATAGCGATCCCCCCCTGTCTTGCAAAACTGAAAGATGTGATGAATATCAGGATGACATATAAGATTCATAGCGATCCCCCCCTGTCTTGCAAAACTGAAAGATGTGATGAATATCAGGATGACAAATAAGATTCATAACGATCCCCCCCTGTCTTGCAAAACTGAAAGATGTGATAAATATCAGGATGACATATAAGATTCATAGCGATCCCCCCCTGTCTTGCAAAACTGAAAGATGTGATTAATATCAGGATGACATATAAGATTCATAGCGATCCCCCCCTGTCTTGCAAAACTGAAAGATGTGATGAATATCAGGATGACATATAAGATTCATAGCGATCCCCCCCTGTCTTGCAAAACTGAAAGATGTGATGAGTATCAGAATGACATATAACACATGTATTTTCAAACAGAAACATTGCCTGGTTTCCTGTACATACCAAAGTTGGGGTTTCACCCACTGTTGACATTTTACTATTTTGAGAATTAATGATCCATGATTTTGGTTTCTGTTTAAAAATACATGTATTCATAGTTTTGTACTTTCATAGGTAAGTACATGCCTTAAAGTGCCCGATAAAGTATAAAATGCGCATGCGTCCAGGTGTTGATAAACTATAAATAGCGAAAATCCAGGGTTTGTCACCACAAGGTAAGCCAGGACGTGTTGAGAGAACAGCTAGTGTTGATATTGAATTTATATGTAGCCAGATAAGTTTCCTTATTGAAATTACATATGGTTATTAGCAATACTTTGTAGGTGCTAAATAATAAAATATTTAGAGTATATATGAGAGAAATTGGTCATTTCGAACCTGTTGAAAAGTTTGTGGCTCTCGGCTACACCGGGGAATTTACTTCCATGAGTACACACATAAATGTGGGGTTCCCCAAGAGGTACGCGACAAGGTGACCTGGCATCAAATGTGCGACTAAATGCTACTATCGAGAAGATAAAATAACGAATACGACAATAAGTTATTGCATGTGACAATTCCGAGCCTTCATCTCACTGAAGTATTTTGAAGTGAAAATAGGATTTTTGTTTTGATACATGGATTCAGATGAACGTAACTTTATTCTGACAACTAATCAAAACTGAACAAAATTGATTGTACGTAACAGACAATTTATTGCTTCTATGAATGTTCATCTCTCTGGTAGTAATGTACAAAGTTGTTGATTTTCTTTCTCAGAGATATTTATTTTTATTTTTGACGTTTCGTAGGATGTCCATCCTACTTCTTTAGGATGGACATCCTACGAAACGTCAAAAATAAAAAAGTTTACCTACGAAACGTCAAAAATAAAAATAAATATCTCTGAGAAAGAAAATCAACAACTTTGTAGACAATTTATTGTTTTACAATGTTTTGATTGGCTAAACGAATGAAACCAACAAATTATGACATGTAAAATGACAATTTTGATATGTAAAATTTAAAAGTTACAAACACAACCTCCCTATCCACTCTTTGGGAGCCCTAGTAAATTAGTAATATGTACATGCAGCAGTGGTAGTGTGCAGCTTATTATCACACTACGCTTTGTATTCTAAAGCCTGTTGTTTGTAATAACACTGTTCACTCAACGTATGTTTTGTGTGTGGGCAGTCAACGATAATCATGGTTTTATCCCGGTTATATGACCTCGGCAATTATAACAAAACCGTACTAAACGAAAAAACGCAAATAAGAGAAAGCTCTCACACACATATAAAAAATGAACTAGTCTAATCCGCCAGTATAAACTCTGTGCTATACGTAGCCGGGTCAGGGGCACACTTTAAGAGATCATTTAAAGAGAAATACAAAAACATTAATATCTATGATATAACCTATGAGTAGGATTAAATATGAAATGTATATTTCCAGAAATGGAGGAAGATGAGTTCAACACTGGGATCATACTTCCCACACTGATCATCCAACTTAGGAAGATCCTAGACCAGTACCCAGATGATGGACAGATACTAAAGGTACACTAAATGTATGAAAAAATCACACCTTTTGATATGTTACATTTTCTATTTTTGATATGTTATACTCATTATTTGAGCTGTTTTACTCACCATTTGATCCCAGGCTCAAAATCATATTTGGACTTGTCTTAAAAATTGATAATTTGCATGTACATACATGTATTTAGAACTAAATGACATCTAGGATAGGGTGGCTAAAGTTTGTCTATTCACTCTTTACTTAAGTTAAATTGTATTTAAAGCTTTTCACAATGTCGAACAAACCTCTGATAAATACCATCATGCCTAGCAATAAATTTAGATTATTAAACATTTTTGTATTTGACGTTTGTGTGGCTTTGATCTCCCTCCTAACATTAGGTTAATTATCATACATAAATCTTACGATCTGTTGAGAATGAACTCTTCTTATTAATATCAATTTTGGGGAAAGTTGTAAACTAATGCATCAAAGAAAAACAAAATATTTTTCATGGATTATGTATTGACATAGAATTTTTAATTTGCAAAAATTTCACTGAACTCAACATTATTGCAAGATTGATGATGTCATAGGTTGTGGATAGCAATCTTTCCAAGCAAAATTAGAATTTTATTGTCATTTTTGAAAAAGTACAACCAATCAAATGTTAAGTTCATTAGAGTACATGTTTTCCTCTTGTGTAATCGCGTTTGGTCGTCATTATCACTTTTCAACAGGTGTGATTTGAAACTTTTTTTTGTAAACACGCCTGTCATTATAGACCAATGAACAAATGAGGGTAAATATGTGTACTTATTAAAATCTTTAAACTTTAAATTTATTGGTATATCGCTGTTCAAGAGCCAAAGTGTTCTATGTCACTTTTTGGCCAAAATGAGATAAATGTGGATTCCCCCTAATTTGACGATGCTCTTTCCATCTAGCATGGTCTCAAGTGTGAAATATAGCTGTAAGCATGTGATTTTCAGTATTTTGGGGAAATATTCAATTGTTCTATGTCTGGAAAAACAGTTATCCAAAATGAATTAAATTATCCTATGTCAAGATCTCAGAGAACTGTAAAAGTTGATTTGTTCTATCTCATCCAGCAAAAGGGGGAGTAGAAAACAAACAAAATTAAAAAAGAGAGTGTAGAAAGATGAGTGATTTAACAGAACTGAACGTACCACACAGAGATTTTGATTTTAAAACATAGAATGACATCTACAAGAAGAATTAACTTGTAATTTACTTAATTTTTTATAATGAAAGGACTCACGGTCCTGTGCTCACACAGTTTGGAACCTTCAGAGGAATGTATATCCTGACTTTCAAACCAAAATATTGATTTGGATTTGTAGTCTCGAACTTTGAGAAACTTAGATAGCACAGTTGTGTGACCCTAGTTTGATGACCTTTGACCTTGAAAATTTTACTTAGTCAGAGCTCAGTGAGGTCTTTTGTGATTAAGCTGACCAAAATTTACATCCAATTTTGACCTTTCGAAGGTCACTGAAGGTCAAGTAAAGGTCAAATCCTAAAACTAATGTCAGATTTGAACACCTGGCAACTTGTAGATGATTTTCAAAAAAGAATTTGGTCAAATTGAAGCAAGTTGAAAAATAACTTATTTTTACTGTTTTTTGACGTCAAATATCTCAAAAAACGGTAAAAATTTGATGCTGACATATATTAAGCAATATGTAGGGAATGCTTAAATCTAGTAATAATGTAATTCATTGCAAGAAATGATCAAGTATAAGGCAAACTTTGAGAAACTTGTCAATCACAAAACCTGCCATTGACTTTATACATGAGAAAGTTTCCTGAAAATGACTAAGTCCTACTTTTTGTCAAAGTTTTATAGAGTAAACACCAAAAACTGTAATTCCAAGAGCTTTAAAATCTTCAGAGGACATAAGCTGCATATAAAGCAACTACTACAAGTTATTTGAAAGTTCTTCTTCAACAAAGTGTCTAGTATTTACAAAAAATTGACTTTTTGACGTCAAATTCAGCAATTTCTCGGAAACCGGGCGAATTTGGGAAATAGCGATGATAGGTCAAATAGGCATTATGGATATGCATAAAATGAATGTGGTTATGACTCAATTTGAATAGCAGTTTTGATTTGTGCGGCCAATGTTGACGGACGGACCAACGGACGGACGCCTGGTCGATCACATATGTTTTGATGCTTTGTCATTCTAATCATAACTTACTTGTCATCTATCATAACTTACCAAATATGTAACGTACCAAAAGAGATCTTTAACTTAGGACATAAAGTGAAAACAACAAAAAATTGTAATTTACTTAATTTAAAAAAACTTTACTTGTAAGACATAACTGTGTGAACGAAATTATTGATAATGTAAAAGTAGGAAAAAGAAAAACAATGAAAACTCAAGCACAAATGAAAGGAAATGAGCAGACAGCTTGGGATGGACAATCGCTTCCAAGGAACTTTACAGCAAACGAGGGAGTAGCAGAGAAAACAAAAAAAGTAAAAGACAAAAGAGGCTGCAAAGAAAGTGTAGAAAAATTAGTGATTTAATAGAAATGAATGTACCAAACAGAGATTTGTAACTTAGAACATAAAATGACAACAACAAGAAGACATAATGTTAATTTAGTGAGATAATATAACGGAGCAATAAAAATGACAAGTTGCTGATGTAATTGATGATGTCCATGATAATGATATTTTATATATAAAATGATATCTTTTATTTTGTATTTTAGATTGTAATTTTACATTGTCCGAACCAAATTATGGTGTCATAAAATAAAAATAAATAAATATAAAAACCAAATTGTTCAAATTGTGTAATTGTTCTATCACATTTGTCCTAAGTCAGCTTTTCTAAAAAAAAATGACTCAAATTGTTCTATCTCCACTTGTCATGTTTTTAAAAACATACTTAAACTAATCAAATAATTCCCATTTTTTGAAATATCAGAGATCATATTAATATAAATCAGTTGTAGAAACATCAAAAAGCTGGGTTTCATACAAAAAAAGTTATTAAGTATCAAACTTTAAAACTTGATTTCCCAAAAGTCATGTTTTTTGAAATAGAACACTTTGGCTCTTGAACAGCGATATGGCATGGCCAGGGGAACCCAAAATGTGCATTTTTATCAAAAGGCGGTGTGGCATTTCTCCATTTGATCCTATATAAAAATTAAATTGAAAAGGTACTTTAAAATTATCTGAAATATTTTTGTATTAGAAAAAAACATATACATTAAATCATGCTAAGAATCAATAGAAACATATGAATTCCATTCTATATACTAATGGGAAATATATTTCAGGTTATAATGACCTTAAATAAGTTAGATTGTACAATAACCGTTTGTAAATGAGAAGTAACACATGGTGCATTATGGTAGATGATTGATGAGATCTGATGAATCATAATACAACATATCCAACCAGAAAATTTACATCTTAATTAACCATTCTTTATTTTCAAGCTTATATTATTGAAGCCCTTGATTTATTTAAGCATTTATGTATATTTATAATTAAAACCTTATTATTCAGTTTTATATTTTACTGATTTAAGTCACTTACATTCATCTTATGATTGAAATGTTTGACTAGACTGATGTGTTTTTCTGTACAGTCATTTGTGGATAAAACACCAAAGTTTTGGTACATGAAACTATTTTATCTTTGAGATAATCAAAACTACTTTCAAGGGTCAGAGGATTTGGTTAGGTGTAAGGATACATCAGTTCAAGAAAATAAATTTGAGATGATTCATATTTTTGAAATGTGGAAACTATAATGTGATTATACTAATTGACCTTATCCTCCTTATTTACGCAATTAGCTCTTTAAATATATTTTTCTGTATCACATTGAATGTTGTTTATATAATGCATAGTATCAGGTGGTAGATGTTTGAATTAGAACTGTATCTCTTTATATAAACACCTCTCTGATATAAACACATCTGAAGAATATGAACACCTCTCCTTTATGAACCAGTCTCTTGAAGAATGTAAAGGCCTTTCTATGAACATCTCTCTATAATGTAAACATATCCATTGCATGTGAACACCTCTATAATGAGAATTCTTCACTATAAGAATGTGAATGTATCTATTCTGTGAACATTCTCATAATAAGGACATCTCTACAGTCCACACATCTGTAATATGAATATCTCTCTCTTCTGGGAATTTTCAAAGAAACTCGATTTCATTCATTAAAATATAGAAAATCCCCATGAGTGATAATTGCTGCTGCGAGATATTCCTCACTCATTGATATTTCCTGTTTCTTCATGCAATATAGTAAAACAAATATTTCATTCTATTTTCAGTGAGTACCTTTGGCACTTTCACAAAGAGATATTCCCCTAGCTAGCTATTTAATTCAAGCTTCATGAAATATCACTGTTGAAAGTATATACGTATCCACCTTTAATAGAATGAAATATGTGTACAGTATGTGATTAAAGTAAATAATATATTAAAATGCATTGAAGTGTATTTTACTTGTTGCAGGAGCTGATTCAGAATGCCGAGGATGCGGGAGCTACGGAGGTTAAGTTCCTCTATGATGAACATTCATACGGGACTGACCCAAATTCCTTACATCATCCAAATATGGCAAAGTACCAGGTAGGTGTAAATCAAGTTACTCAATTCAAGCATTGAGTATGCAGTTACTCAATTGTAAGAACTCAATTTAAGAAAGCCCAACACAGTTTGCTATTCAATTTAGTACTAGATGTCAGTACATACAGCGTCATGTCAGTTCACTGTATTGACTCTCCTGTTGACATCCCTGTCATATTCATAGTGGGTGATATAAGGACATTTTTTAACCTGCAGAATACTCTCTAACAAAATTCCCAGAGATTTTAAAAAGCTCATGGTTAAATCGTAAAGATGAAAATATCAGGCTTATGTACTGAAATTTCTATGCAATTCTGTGCTTGTGTCTCCAGTTTGTTCATTTCATTAATTGTCAAAAACTCCAAATCTCACTCACTTTGCATTTGAGAAGTATGACATTTTGATTAGGTTTGTTTGTCTTATTTTTGGACATCTGTTTATCTGTTTTTCATTTAGCTACATGGATGAGACCATTAGAGTGACATATAGTTAATCTAAAATTCTAAAACCTTAACCCCGTCAATGCGAGAGCCGATTAAATCGGCTCTGACGTCACATTTGTGTTTGCGAGAGCCGATTAAATCGGCTCTGAAAAACCTTTGCTTCAGTGCTAAAGCCGATGAGATCGGCTTTACGTCATTCCCATGTAAAAGGGGATTCCCCTCAGTAATTATGCAAGACATGCAGATCTTCACAAATAAACATGATATTGTATGTCTAAAACAATAAATATTTCGAAACACTGTGCTTGTTTGTTCATTTTTCTCAACTTGATCGAGTTTTTAAAAACAGGAAAAATAAAAACAAATTTTCAAACAAATATTTGGCGGGAAAAATGGCGGCACTAAATGACGATGGCAGTGATTTTTATTGAAAGCCTATTTGATAGTGATTCTGATCTCTCTGGTGTCCGAAGCAAGTCATATGATGATGGGAATATTCCCATACCTTGTAATCAGTGAAGATGTGTCCCTGGACCTCAGCAATCAAAGGAAAGATTACAATTTGATAAGGTAAATAGACCGGGAGGACCAGAAAAATTCCAGTCAAGATTTTTTTTGAGTTGTATCAATTATAATCGACGTTGTAAGTTATCAGCTGAATTATTTGAACTGAATTATTTTCATCTAACTATTAGATGAATACTATTATCGAACATATTTTATTTAGAGTGTAAATAGAGCAAATAACATACTTTGAAAACTAAGTCACATGACTTGATCATGGTGATCATGTGACATTCAAAATGGCGCCATCCAGGTTAAAAATGAACAAATTTGCTCTTCAATATATCGCATATTCTTGAGGGATCATTGTCTTTTTGCAATGTAATGACACAGAGAAAGGTACTGCATGTATATCTGATAACAAATATTTATTGATTTTATGATATTTATGGCTCTATAGTGTCTAAACCACTAATGAACTGCAGAATTCATGAATTTTTTTTCAATTTTATTTTTGTTTTGATTTTCTTATTGTTTCTTTATCATTTCATTGTACTATTTCATTGCACTGTTTCATTGCCATGGACAATGCAATACATATACTAGTATACCGAATACTCCTTTACATTGACGTGTATGGCTATGTACAATATCCATGCATCTAGAGCTGATAGCAAACTTTTTCAAAGACAAATACAGTTGGGAATTACCTTCTTCCAAGGCCACTACATGTACATTATATCTACTGAGAATTGGCTTGAGACTCGAGTGGACAGGTGGATTTTCTATCACCAACCATGGCCATCTGAAAGCCCATACTTTCCAACATTTTTAACATTGGAAATCCTCACTTCAGCAAATCCACCTGTCATTTATTTATTTATGTTCCAATCTGTGTCAGATGTTTTTTAATTGAATTACAGTAATGTTGTATTTCAGTCCAGTTTTGCCTTAGATGTCCCACCTCAATTTATTTTTTTAATCCCTGCTTTGACTACAACATGGTCAGTCACTGAATAAAGTGAAGAGCTATACTGTTGTGAACTTCATGTATAGCTGACAATATATGTTTTAGGAACCAGACAAAGCAAACAATACCAAATGCCGCATCAATGATATTTACTTTGATTAATACATGGATGGAGTTTGGGATCATATGACTGCTGAAAGTACAGTGTAATGTTATGCTGAACAACTGCAATGTACAGGTAGGCAATTAAACAGTGTTTCAGTGTTTACCAATATTACTAGAGTATAGTACATAATTGCAATTTATGTACATGTACAAGGTTTATGATATTGATTATAATTAATGTAGTATAGTACAATACAATGTACTGTTTTACAATACATTACAACATGTACAAAAGTGTTTAACAGTATGTGTTCAGCATGAAGGTCATATTTGTATATCAAAAGGTATGTACCAATAATTTTTTATCTACTGTATTCATACAGGTAGTTATACAGTACCTGTACCCGTAACATGGGTGAAGCCAAACTTGAGACAGGTGAGGCTTTTGCCTCACCACCATTTTTCAGGAAAACATTTATTTGGACAATATGTGTATATTAAGTCTGTGAAGATAAAGGAAAGCACATTATTCTAGTATTGCCCCAATAAAATCAATTTGATCTCTGGAAGAGGCAGATTTAAATTTAGGTAAACACTCTACTTCAGCTTCAGTATAAATATTTTTTTTGAAATTTCCCTCATTTCCATTATGGCTACTTCCTTGTATATAGTAAATGTTATGTTATATAGAGATTATTTAATGGGAGAGATGGTATATGAATTTTATTCTGTGGGAAAATATAATATTGGCCAAGGAAAATATCATATTGACCGAGGGCAATAGCCCAAGTGTCAAAGTGATATTCTTCGAGATCAATATCATATTTTCTCAGGGAAAATATTAATACTCCAACACAACTGAAACTTATTTATAAGTTTTGAATGTCATCACCCAATGATGGTGTGATATAAAATGATACAATTGAATTCTTCTATCGGATCTAATATGGGATCTGATACAGGATTTTGCCTGATGCGAAATCTTATTTATTTCCCAGGGAAAACATGCTATTATAATTATGGAATAAATATTTATATACAATGATCTTTCCTTTACAGCACAAAGAGAAGAGGAGTTTCTCAAAGATTGGAGTAGGCTATACAGTGGGAAAATACAGTACATCCATCTCTGAATGAAAGCCTTCATTGAGATGCTGCTAAATATGTGTTTGATTCAGAAAGCAACACTGGAGTCATATTGGACAAAAACAAGGTAATGTTTGTTTTATCAGTGATGGCCAAGGGGAAAGGCAGGTGTCATTCTCGGCCTAAAGGCTGAGAGGCCGTTTCTTTGTACTTTTCTTTGGCATTTTTGAAAAAAGTGGACCCAGAGCTCATTTATTTAAATTCAAGTCCCGCAAGTCAATTTCCAGAGCCAACCCTGAACATATGTGTATTGCCATTATTGTGACACTATAACCTTTTCATAAGATTAATTAGACTAATCAGAAGACTGATTATAGAGTATTTTATAGGTCATGTACAGAAACAGGTCACTAAATAAAAAAATAATATCATTTTGTAATGTATGAATTCAAATCATGAAGTAAAATGATATAAAGTACTGTGTATGAAAAAATGAAAATTCGGCCTAAAATGAAAAATTTGGCCCAAAATGAAGATTTTTGAAGGAAAAAGAATATAATTTTAGAAAAGAAAATTCGAAAAATGAAAAATCATGATCCTAGGGAAATAAACCCCACGTTCAATCCCTCCAAGTAAATAACCTCTATGCATTTTCTCATTATAGATGGAATCAGGCAACCCCCAGTTAGGAAAAAACTTTACGAGAGACCGATTTCAGCTACTTTTGCAGTTCTGGCACATGAACAATAATGAGGTTGCATTAGTTGAAGACAAGCCTGGCTGCAACCCCTATATCAAGGTCAGGTGCTTGATTTCTGCGTTCAACGGGAATTCTGCCATAATACTCTCCATGAAAACATTGCTCTGATTGCGGGACTGGTCTCTATGAGCAAGAGGTAAAATTTTTACCTTGATAACTTTCTGTGAAAATATGTCATACAAGACCCTATTTTTACACTTTTATATTTTGCTTTCACATTTAAAACATATTCACACCACAGGAACAGTGCATAACTTTCCTGGTTAATGCCATATATCTTTAGACAAGTTACCTGAAATAACTTTATTTTATTTTTTTTCTTTGTTCCTCTCAGACATTTGATTTAGTTTACCCTGAAAACAGAAGAATGGTCCTACTGAAATTAAATCAACAAAAATAACAAGCAATATTCATCTGTCACAACTTAGTCCAGTGTAATTTTGATTGTATATATTCGGGGGTACATTGTTATGATTAAATAGACATCAATAGTTTGTCATTCCATATATGTGAATGAGGAATATAACAGTGAATAATAAAATAAATATTTAATTCTATTTTTGGTGAATGCTTGACACTTGACGCTTTCACAAGATATTCCACTTGCACTTCGGGCTTCGTGAAATATCACTAGTGAAAGATGCACAGGTATTCAACCTCAATAGAAATAAATATTTGTATGTTATTTCTGACTGGTGTATATTGTAACTACTTAACAGTAGAAAGAACACATTGAACAGACTCAGTGAAATACATGTCTCAAGAAAGGAATCGTGGTACATAGATTTGTACAAAATATTTATTGAACATATAGCGCATTTTCTGAAATTCGTTCATATGATAAGTAAAACTAATATTTGTTATACAAATGATAATCAGATAGCCTAATCATTTACTTATTGCAGGATAACAACCGATGGGGACAGTGGATAGCACAGATCAAATGATCACACAGTGATGGATGAACTCCAATACTGGCATAAAGTGGGCGTTGCAATACTCAGTTGAATGCTGCTTAACTCTTACATTGTATATGGAGCACACAGATACAGAAAAGACAATGCAAAGGTATGTAGTTTAAGAAAACTCATGTCAGCATGAGCTACAGGTATGGTCGAAACTGATCATTGAGAGGGTACTTTTGGTACATACATGTACATATACTAGCTAATCTTTTCACTACAGTAGGTGTCGAGTTTGCAACTGTTCTCAACAGCTGCTCATATCATTAGCTAGCCCCTTGACTGTCAAGTCTGATTATGAATTTCCATAACCCTCATATGGCAGTGTAATCATGTAACAAATGTATTGTATCTTTTTTAAAGAAACTGATATAAAATGATATTTTCTTTAATTTTCTTTTAATATCAATTACAATTTTGAATATACACCACAATATATATATCAATTTCAATGTAAGTGAACATTTATAAATAATATTACTGATGTTTGTTTTCAGATACTCATTTATGATTGACCTGATTGAGGGCCTTGCAACTGCCTCCTGTCCTGCACTTTAGTTAATGCACTAAGCCATTGGCCAGGAATATTACCTGACAACAAGAAAAGCAGTATGTTCTGTGTAGCCAGCTAGGGACCTGTCACCATTCCAGGACAGAATGTGGAAAGGGTTTCATTTGAAATGTTTCTTCTCAACAGCAAGAGGAGAGGATATGAATTTGGGCAACTCCTGCTGGCAGACACATTGAACATGAATATATAGTAATACTATAGCACAAAATATATCTCATTCAATACCTTCTTCAACCAACAATCTATAGGTTGAAATGTAAAAACGATGGGAAAAAATTAAAGGAAAATACAAGGGGCATAAATCAATCAATCTAAATGTCCAATTTATACGACTGTAACTTTTCAATATAAATAATGAATAAAACAAACAACCAAACAAACAAACTAAGTGTGACTTGTCAAGTTAAACCATAATCTGTTGCCATGGTAACATATATTCATTGCCATAATGCTAACAATAAGTTATAACTTTGAGCAGATTTTTTTTTGAGGATAGAATTGAAATCAATCTGGACGCTAGTGAATTAATTGTACTGTAAATTGCAAATTCTTACAAAATGTTACATCCACTTACCCGTTGTCATGGTAACAGATATTGATATATGTATGTGTGAAATTCTCTTATCTTCTATACATGTATTGATCCAGAATGATTTAATTAACTTCATATTTATATTATGTATTGATATCAGTAGACAAAATAAGATACAAATGTAATAATTAATTGTTTTTGTAATACCATCAATATTTTGGTAAAAAATCAAGGATTTTAGTAGAAAATGAGCTTTGATAAGATTATAAACGTTATGGTCGGCCGACGGTGCTATGTATTGTTCCAGATATCATCTGCAAATGACAAATTCATGGGCAATTATATTTTTGTCTAGTTTTTTGTCCTATTTTATAATTTATATTTGATTGGATGTGATGTAGGGGCAAATGGATTAATTCATGATTACCTATGAATTGTATTTTACAGCGTTATTTTTCTAATAAGTAAAATGGCGGCCATATTGATGACGTCATATCTAATTTGCATATTTGAATAATTTATTCATCAAGATAATCATTTTAGCTTTCCAACGATGTATCATACATGGTTCCATCGGAAATAATGACTAAGTTATGAAGTCAGATATACCGAGGCCTAATTTTCTCTATTTTACCATGAAAAGTCTAGCACTGAGGCAAAAGCTCTTCATTCTTGAATTAGCAGCAAAATGAAATATTTGCCTTTTTTGTAGCATTGATAGGGTTAAAATATATTGAGAGTTAGAGAGAGATTTCTGTTGCATCAGGATTTATGAATTTCATGTCCTCTGATTATAGAATAAAAGATTAATCTTACCCTTTGCATTTGTTTGACTTCAAAGAGAGCTTCGTCTTCGTCTTGGACTTCATCTTCGTGTAGTTTAACTAGACTCTGCATGCAGGGTAGATTAATCTTGTCATCAAAATTTAAACTGCTCATCTGTTCCAGTAGAAATCTTTACAGATGAAAGAGCAGACAAGTACCAAGATCTAATTTTGTTTTAGGCAATTATATGGAGGCATTTTCGCTCTTCAAAATGCAATATTTATCACTGCGTCTTATTTTGACTTGGGGTGTACAGAACTATTGTATATGTAAATACTATATTGTAATATGTTCCTTTATCATTTACAGGGTACTGCACTATATGCATACAATGATGCCTTATTCAAGGAGGAAGACTGGAAAGGAATCAGAATGTTATGTGAAAGCATAAAAGAAAGAGATCCACTTAAAGTTGGATATTTCGGCTTGGGGTTCAAATCTGTATTTCATTTGACAGGTATGTTAACGTATCATATATAGATCTTGTAATTATGCCTATGGGCATGGTAGTATGAATGTAAAATTGGATTGTTCATTTTTGAAACACATATTACTGTAGCCATCATGTATGCAATAAAACTTAAAATAAGAAATGTTAATGTTTTAGTTCCTTATTATATGTTAAGCAAGGAGGAAAAATGAAATAGGAACATGTAAACTGAAATCCAAGGGATTGAAAAATAAATTTTAACAGAAATGGTCTACATATTTATATATAGCCAATACATGAGAACATACCTCATAAATGTATATTTTTAAGCATTTTCAAGTTATAAATCAATGCAAGTTTCGATCAAATTGTTTTTTAAATTATTCCCAGCTTCTGTCTGTTGTTGTTTATTACCATAGAAACAGTACTTGTTTTCTGCACTATTGCAATCAGAGCTATTGACAAGGTACTCAAGAGATATTTTAGATCGATGTAAAGTACATGATTGAACTTTGTGATAAAATATAACTATGTCTGATCCAGAACTGCATGAATCATAATATGATTTATAGAGTATGTGTTATGTTCTCAAGGACTGGCTATATCTGTCATTCAAAACATCTTGTACTTGTAATTTTTTCATCATTTAACACTGACTCCAGTTATGTATTAATATTTCCACATCATGTTTTACAATTATTTCTTCCAGATCTGCCTATGATCCTGAGTGGTGAGCGAATAGGTATTATAGACCCCCATCAGACAACCTTCTCCTCAGGGACACATGGATGGCATTTAAAGAAATCCAAAAGTGTTATAGACTCTCTACCTGATCAATTTGACCCGTTTAAAGGTCTTTTTGGGTGTACCTCAGGTGCCTTTGAATCAGGTTACTATGACAGCACACTGTTTCGGTTTCCACTTCGACAAGAAAATTCAGCCTTATCTGACGCTATATATGATACAAATCGCATGGAACGGTTGCTTGATTCTTTCAAAGTGGAGGCTCCTCTAATGCTGTTGTTTCTGAACTCTGTCGAGACCATTGAACTCTATAGAAGAGGAGAATTTGATATGGATCCAATCTTATCATTTCGTGTAAGAATCAGTGATCGAACAATTAACAATGTACGAGCTCAGCGAAAGAACTTTCTCAGGCGAATTGATGTGTTTAAATGGATGGAATCACATACCACGACAACATTCCCTGTGATCTTTGAAATCTCGAGTTTTGCAGACTTCAATGAGGTAACAACTTACGAAACTTGGCTAGTCACAAATTATTACGCTGGAGGAATGATGTCCCGTAATCTTAGAAAATTGCATAATGACCCTGATTTGGGTTATCTTCCATGGGTGGGTGTTGCAATGTCACTTGATAAAGCTTACGACGATGACTTGGAAGAGGATTTGACACCCACGATAACTCCAGAAAGTGAGACCCAAATAGAGAATGGGGCGAATAGTGAAAGTGATAGAAATGGTCACCATGAGGAGCATGATGGTGACACTAGTCAAGACAATGGTGCTATAAATACAGTCAATACATCTCAACTTGAGGATACTGTTAAACGAGGGCCACAAGGTCAAATATTCTGTTTCTTGCCCCTGCCAATAGAAAAGGAAAGCCCCACTGGACTTCCCGTACATGTAAATAGCTACTTTGCTCTGGAACAGAATCGTAGGCATCTAAAATGGCCAAATGACCAAGGAGTGTTTGATAATCTTTCCCTGACAGATAAAAAACTATTGTGGAATCAGTGTATATTACGAGATGTACTCCCCAAAGCTTACGTGGAATTAATCGTCCAGGCCATCAAACTTCAAGAAAGAGGCATTATTGAAACACTTACAGTTGATCTCATATACAAAACATTGGCTGATATGAAAAAAGTGGATGCAAAATGGCGAATAATCATTGAGCCATTTTACCATGAACTTCTCAAGTATGCTGTTATATACACTTCAGCAGATGGTGGACTTTGGGTGAGAGTACACGAGGCAATATTCAACACTTTGAAGCAGGATGACCCATCATCCCAGGTCATTCTACAAGCTTTGAATGCGGCCAATAGTAAAGTAGCAGATGTTCCACGTCACTTAGTGAAAGCAGTAAAAATGTATGGGACAAGTCGGCCACATATCATAGACCCATTTCTTGTGCTCAGTGTTTTAAAAACAGGGGACCAGTATTATAGATACCTCGAATATGGCCCTAAAATCAAACTTCTGAAGTTTGTACTGAAGGATGAACAATACTTGACATTGATTGGCCTGGAACTCTTACCTTTAGCCAATGGGGAATTCATTGAATTTCGAAATCGTCACGAATCTGAGCCAATCTATATTACAACAGAGGCAACCCCTATGTCGTTGTTACCAAGCATGGAGGACAGGATTCTGGACCCCTCTATTGATGACAGCATAAAGGAATCTCTGATGAAGGCAATTCATAAAGGTAAGTAGCATATGCATGATTTATTCCATACAAAATATAATGGATTACAGTGTGTTACCAAGCCACTGTGTCTATGCAACAAGGGCCTGCAACATGTTCACATCTTGTTGCAGAGACACAGTGGCTTGGGAACACTATGAGAAAAGTAAACAATATTACCAAAATCACCAAAACTTTGTAAACATCAAAATGGCAATTTAGAAAGATCAGGATCTATCAATTCCCACTACGTTTTCGATAAATTTGAATTCTAGATTCAGATCTCCACATTTTAAAAACTTGAGAAACCTTTGCAACTGATAGACCAAATTCAAACCAAACATATCATGAACAAAATTAGATACATGAAGCAATTTAACATATAAATACAATGAATACATTTTGATAAACCATTAATAATTATGTCACCATGTCCACCACAAGTGACATATTGTAATAGTCTCCAACTTTTTTGTTGTTGGTGTTTTGTGGTTTGCATCTGTAACAAATGGCAGGTGGTGACATCATGTTATTGCCTCGTTTTGAGAAGTTTTAATTGGCTTTGGTTTTAGGCTATACACAACTTAAAAAGCTAGAGGATGTGGAAGTTGCAAGACTTATACCAGAAACACTGCCCCCTGATTGGCTGCAAACTGAACAGGTCACTTGGCTTCCTGGAAATGAAGGCCTGAACCATCCTCCCAGAGAATGGTTAGAGCATCTATGGGAATATCTCCACAAGTACTTCCATCATGATCTTCGTGCCTTTGAAGATCTACCAATCCTACCAATAAATAACCCTGGAGAATCGTCCAATGAAATCATCCTTGTGCCATTATCATCAATCGCTGGATTGGTCATGAAATCAGCAGAAGGCTTATACCTAGATGATGTAGTCTGTGGAACTCTAGAAGCATTAGGTGTGATCATCATAGAGGATCTACCTCAATATCTTAAATACCACCCTGCCATCCATAGAAACTATATCCACACTCCTTCTGTGGCTAGCATCCTCAGTGTCCTATCAGCCAAGACAGAGCATATGGACCTCGCTGGAGAAATCAATGAGAAAACTACAGCTGAACAGAAATGTAGTTTGAGAGCCCACCTCTCCAGAGTCAGTGCAATAGACCTTGATGACAGTCACATTGAGGTCCTAAAGATGTTACCACTATTTGAAACACTTGCAGGGAGTGGTGGTGAGGAAACACATTTTGTGTCAATTAATGATGTGCCAAATGCAGCCCCATTAGAGCGTCTGCCTATTGCATCTCCTAAGAAGCTTCTTGTTCTGAACACAAATCATGCCAAAAATCTTGCTGATATCCTTGGAGTTAAGCAGCTTCATATAACCCAGCTTCTGACTGATATAATGTTTCCTGAGATACAAAGCATGGCACTTGATCCAGAAAAAACGGAAGAATTGATGTTGTATGTCCTAAAGCATTTCCATTCATATGTGGACCAGGACCCAACCTTCATGAGCTCAATATCCAACCTGGCTTTTGTGCCGAAACCAAATGGTATGTTAATGACACCAGATAATCTGTGTGACCCTGAATCTGACATTCTGCAAAGGATTTTCCTTGGTGAAGATGAATTCCCAACAGGTGTCTATGCAGAACCAACAGTACTTGCAACTCTCAAAGAGATAGGCCTGAAGTCCATTGACTCCCTATCTGCTGAAGACATAATATATACAGCGTCAAACATGCTAGGGCTCTATGAGAGTGGTTCCATCACTGTTGAACAGCTATTTGTGAAATCTGAGTCATTGCTGGAGTTCTTCAACAACCACACAGATATACTACATGAAGAAATAGATGGCCTTCCACTATATGAACAACTGATGGAGGTTCCTTGGGTGAATCCTAAGGTGAAAAGACCTGCATATTATCCAAACCATTTAAGATGGTTCTCATCAGATACATTATGCAAACCAAAGGATATGAAGTGCGCGAAGTATGCCAGCATAGTTGGTGCAGTTGTACCTATCGTCAACTTCCAAACTGAGCCACGTGTTGAGACAGTATTCAAATGGGATGAACCTCCTTCCTTAGATTTCGTCATTGGACACTTATCTCACCTAGCCACCTCATACACAGTAGAAGACAAATCAACCTACCTTGGCATGGTAATCAGCACTTACAATTCCCTGTGTGCACATGACACAGAGGATGTGTTAGAGAAAATGTTTGATCATCGCATTAGTTCCTGGGTCTGGCATGGAGAGGGGTTTGCATCTGTGAATGAAGTAATTCTGGACAAACCCTTCACAGATTTGAAACCCTATATACATTGCCTACCACCTGAGGTAGAACAGTTCCAAGAGTTTCTATCAAAATGTGGGATCAGGAACATGTGTGACTTGACTGATGTACTGAGGCTTATCAAAGAGAAGTATGACAAGCATCCTAACAATGATGTACCTGAGAATGAACTAAAGTATGACCTCCAGCTGTGTGTTGCCATACTTAATGAGCTGAAGCCTCCACCTGGGCAGGAGATCTCTGAGGAACTCATGAAACATCTATTAATTCCTACTCATGTCAATGGAGAGAACACAATACGCATGGTCCAAGTTAATGAATGCACATTCTGTGATGAAGAGTGGCTAAGAAAAGGACATGATCTCAGTGATTTAGAAGAAGATGAGGAACAGATATTGTTTGTGCATCCAAACATACCAAATACTACTGCAGAAATATTAGGAGTTCCAACTTTAATGAGTCGCATGTTGGATGCTGAAGAACTTGACCTGAGTTTTGGGCAGTCTGATCCCCTTACTAGACGACTTAAGAATCTTCTAACTGAATATACTGATGGATTTGCTGTACCAAAAGAGCTCATCCAAAATGCAGATGATGCAGGAGCAACAGAGGTCAAAATACTATATGATCAGAGAGAAAACAAAGATGCCAGGACATGTCTTATTGATGAAGGGATGCGTGAATGCCAAGGTCCAGCCATTTGGGCATATAACAATGCTGTATTCACTGACAAGGACTTTGAGAATATTACCATGTTGAGTGGGGCAACCAAGGAAGCTCAGACTGACAAAATTGGGAGGTTTGGACTTGGATTTAATGCTATCTACAACCTCACTGATGTCCCAAGTTTCATCAGCCGTCACAATATTGTCATTTTTGACCCACATACAACTCATTTAGGAAAGGGGATAAAAGACAAATCAAAACCAGGGATCAAAATAGACATCAACAGAAATAGAAAGAAGTTGAGAAAATTAGGTAACCAATTCAAACCATTCAATGGAATATTTGGTTGCAATCTCAACAACAAGGATGATGGTGAGGATTCATATGACTTCACATTGTTCAGATTCCCCCTAAGAACAAAACAACAGGCGATCAGAAGTGAAATATGTAACCGCCACTATGACCATGATGAAGTGATTGAACTGCTACATATGTTCATCAAAGGGGCAAGTTCCCTACTGCTGTTCACACAGAATGTTCGCAAAGTTACTCTCTACCACCTCTCTGATTCAGAAAGAAGTGTCATCTCACCTATTGAGTTATTTCAGGTGACAAAGAAACCTATCAAGGTGATGAGGTCACTCAACATGCCACAATCAGCTAATCCACAGATGATTAACATGAACATTCTCCAGGCTTCAACCCAAGCACTACAGAACATACGCCACAGTAGTGACCCTCTATCAGAAGATGTGACACATGAAACTCCTGAACTTTCTGTAGTGATTAGTGTGAAGTGTACAACAACAGAAAGTGCACACTGGATCCTCAATACGGATTTTACTATGAAGAAGGATACATGGTTAGTTACATCCTGTATGGGAACTGACCAAGCTTTGAAGTTGGCATTGAAGGACAATACATTGATGCCTGCAGGAGGGGTTGCTGTATGTCTTCACCAAAGTGAGGGTGATAGTTATATACCAGAGCCAATATTAAATCCTCAAACAAATGAGCATAATGGTTCAGTTTATTGCTACCTACCTCTCCCTATAAAAAGTGGCCTACCTGTGCATATCAATGGTGCATTTGCAATCACATCTAGTAGGAGGCATTTATGTGAGAGGTCGGAGGATGACAAGTTTGATGTGAGAGCAGCTTGGAATGAGGCATTACTATTGGATGCGGTAACAAAGTCATACATTTACCTCTTAGAGGACTTGGCCAGACTGATGCCAAATGGGACGGATTGCACATCATTATGGCCAAATATAGAATTCATAGAAACCAACTGCAAACATCTTCTTCATGGGGTTTATGAAATCCTTGCATCAACAAGTCTTGATGCTCCAAAGTTATTCTCAGATGGTCCTCAATGGGTAAACCTTTGTCAGGCAGCCTTCTTGCATGCAGATATAGGCCTATCTGTGGTTGGCTCATCAGCATATGATGTTTTCAGACAATGCCAAGATGGAATAGGAAAAGTTGTTATCAATTTGCCACAACCAATATTGCAGGGATTTGCAGCTTCAGGTCTGGAAAGTATTATAGAAGAGAAGACCTACAAAAAAGCTGAGTTCTTCAGGGAGGTCTTCTTCCCAAATATACTTACGATTGATTCTACTATAAGAGATGCTCTCATGTTAAATGCATTGAAAGAGGACAATGACGACTTATTCGCTTTAATGAAGGAATCACCATGTATACCAGTCTCTCCATTTGGTGAAGTGTTGAAAAGGCCATCAGAGCTAATTCATCCGTTTTCCTCAAAGTTGTCAAAATTGTTCTCTCGAGATGATGGTCGGTTTCCCTGTGGCACAGATTACACGTACTTGGCTCCAGAGATACTCTTAAAATTGGAGTCTCTTGGTATGAAAAAAGGAGATTTGTCATGGGAAGAAACACTTGTCATTGCTGAATCCATTCAGAACCTACCGCACCAAGAAGCATGTCAAAAGACAAGTGCTCTGATATCATTTCTAAACAAGAAGTTAGACCTCATAGAAGAAGGAATGGTACATGCAAGTATTTCACAGCTAGAATCATCAAAGAGCAGACAATGGCCTAGCTACAAAAATGATAACTTTGATTCCAATGAGCTAACTGATGTTATGTCTAAAATGCGCAATATACCATTCCTCCCTATCAAAGAGAGTCCAAAATTCTTTCCAGTTGCCTGGAAGGGAAATGACTTAGAAGCAGATGGATTACAGGCTCCAAACAATCTGTATAAGGAAGAATCGCAAAACTTAGTATGCTGCATCGAGCCCATTTTGAATGAGAATGTACTGGGTACCATGCCTGAGCTTGTATCAGCTTTCTTTGGCTTCGGGTCTAAAACAATCACAGTAGATCAGGTATTTGCTCAGTTGGACTCGATTGTTACTTCAGATGTTGATTTGAATGATAGAAATGTTTATACTGAAGTACAGAAGTTGTGCTATAGCATTTACAACTATTTCCAAGATGTGATAATGGGCTCTAATGCAAAACTGAGGCAAATGGTGAGGGAAGGTCTACAATACAGGTTTTTCATTCTGTTGGATGGAAAATTTCTCAGACCATCTCAGTTGGCATTCAAGTTTCAACATACTTGCCCACCCTACCTTTATGGTCTGTCAGAGGACCTGATCCATAAGTTTGGAACCTTGTATAGTGAGGCAGGAGTAAGAGAAGTGTTTGAAATCAGTGATTTTGTCTCTGCCCTCCAGGAAATGCACTCTACGCATAATGGATATGCTCTTGAAAAAGATGACCTGAAGTTAGCATTGAGACTTTGTATGCTGCTGAATGAATGCATGATTGAATCAAGGTTAAAGATCACTGAGGTGATTGAGCAGCTAGGAACTGTATACATTCCAGACGCTCGGGGAATTCTTCATTCATCAAAAATTTTGTGTTACAATGACCCAGAATCACATTGGCTGCCAGAAGATGATGAAATGAAATTCTCTCATCAGCGTATTCCATATGAGATGTCAAAGCAGCTTGGTGTGAATACTAAAAGGCAGGAAATGTTGAAGAAACACTCGCAAGGTATTCCTTTTGGGCAGAAGGAAAAGCTTACAAACAGACTAAATAGGATATTGGCAGCATATCCATGTGATAAAGAAATATTGAAAGAGATTCTACAAAATGCTGATGATGCCCAAGCTACAGATGTCCATTTTGTAAGAGACCCAAGACAACATTCAACTCAGCGTGTATTTGAAGAATGTTGGAGACCTTTGCAAGGTCCAGCACTATGTGTATACAACAATAGACCATTTACTCCTGCAGATTTAGATGGGATTCAAAATCTTGGGGAAGGAACAAAAAGTAAAGACCCTAACAAAACTGGACAGTATGGTATTGGATTCAATTGTGTATACCACCTTACAGACACCCCAACATTCCTTACACAGGGACCTGAAGTTGGGGAAACTTTGGTTGCGTTTGACCCACATTGTCAGTATGTGCCTGGTGCAACCCCAGATGAACCTGGTCGAAGATATGACAATGTGAGTGATCTGAGGCACATTTTCACAGATGTATTTCCTTGTTATTTAGATGACAAGTTTGACCTGCAGAACTCAACTATGTTCAGATTTCCACTGAGGTCAAAGTCAATGGCTGAAAAGTCAGATCTGTCAAACAATCCAATGACAACAAAGATGCTTGACCAACTGATGAGTAGATTTAAAGCCGAATTGTTTGATGTCTTGCTGTTCATCAACAATACTGAATCCATTTCCCTGTCAGATATTGATGGAGTCACACATCGATTGTGTAATACCTACTCTGTGACAGTCAGTATGACACCTGAGGACAAACAGAGAAGACAAAGGTTTGTAGCACATGTTAAAGATATTGGACACAAGCTTAAGCGTGGAGATATAACTGTTCATAACATACCATTGAAAGAGGTATCATATGTACTGTCCATGGAGGACAATAGGGGTCAGCAAGAGAAATGGTTGATTACACAAAGAATTGGTTTCCATGATCCTGATGAAGTTCCAACTGCAGTGCTTCAAGCATTTAGGAATGGGGATTTGGCACTGTTACCCAGAGGTGGTGTTGCTGCAAGAATTGATCCAATAGATCAGCCTCCTAAATCAGGGAAGGTTTACTGTATCCTTCCATTACCCGTCAATTCCAATCTACCTGTATATATAAATGGTCACTTTGCCCTTGAGCACGAAGCACGCAGAAGTTTATGGCAAGATGAAGATGGTGGTTACAGGAGTTCTTGGAACAGCACCCTCCTGAATCAAGTTATTGCACCTGCATATGTGTCCCTTATGTGTATGATGAAGAATAAACTTGGAATAGTTGGAACACTTCATTCAAACACTGAAGGGTTTAATCTGAAAGCAAGACTTAGGTGCTATAACAAACTGTTTCCTAGCACAGTACACCAGGACCCATACTGGAAAGGTCTCGCAGTGTCATTCTACAAGTACATCCATAAGAACCAACTACCTGTACTACCAGTAGTACACAAACTTCACAATGATGATGAAGCAGTTGAAGATGTATTTGAGGATGTGCGTGTTGCTTGGATGCCACCAGTAGGACATGATTTACAACATGCATACTTCAATGATCTGACTGAATCTATGGGCAATGCAAGGGAGAGATTTGCCTCATTTGATATTGACAACTCATTGTACAGATCAGACAGATCGAGAAGTTTCCATGAACCATCACCACTACCCTATTCAACCAAAGACAGATCAAGAAGCTTTGGTGGTAGTCAGGAAAATTTGTTCAAGGGAAGTGAAGGCTCCCAAAGAAGCAATTCTGGAAGCCGAGAGAATCTGACAGGGAGTCCAACATCGACACGGAGAAGCTTTTATGGAAGCAAGGAGAATCTTCTCTCTCCTGGGAGTCCAACGAGTCCAACCATGAAATCTCCGTATATGAAATCTCCAGGGAAGATGAAAAAGTTAAGGACTATTTTAAAAAGAGTACTCCTCAGCTGTGGTTTCAATGTGTTCCATAGCCCTATGTCCGTATACAACAACTTCTTAGCATGTGATGTACCTGTTGAATGCATATCTCCAATAGCTGTCATTAAGTTTTTCAAATCATTCAGATCAAAGACTCCTGCTTGTAATCTTGTGAGTTTACCTTGTGTGATTGATGACACTCCACTCAAGGATGAGAAGACATTGCAGATTGTGTTGCAATACTGCAAAATGGAACCTGACTTTGAGGAGCATCTCAATGGACTTCCCTTGTTGCTGAAAGAGGACAACCAACTTGACATCTTTGACGAGGATGCACCAAAGTTCATGGCAACCACATTTGATATCTTGCCTGACTGTGCTGAAATGTTTGTCCACCGAAACCTGGCACTGACAATATTTAGGGATATGGACCCTCACTTTAGTAATGTGTTTAAACCATTTGATGTTCAGGCTCTAGCTGAGCTACTAGGCTTCACATTTTCATCAAACCGATTCTGGGGTAGCCAGGAGCATGTACGATGGTCCCCAATGGAGAGTGGTGTCCCAACCCCAAACTGGCTGGCCCATGTGTGGGACTTTCTTGTTGAACAAACTGATGTTGTGAATCAATGTTCAACAGAACTTACACATGAAGAAAAAATTGACTCAATCGAAACAATGCTCTCTCCTTTGAATGAATGGGCCTTGATACCAGCACACATTGTTTCATCACATACAGGAGTTGGTGTCATGTCATTCAAGCCTCTTTTGATTGATCCAAATGATCATTATTTGGTGCCATTAGGTATGGCTAGTACAGTTATTGATTTCACACATTGTGGATTCATGAGCCACCCTGTGAGGGACACTCTGAGAATGTTAGGAGTCCCTGAGTTGAATTGTAAAATGCTGGATGGTGGCTCCCTAGCACCTGCCAAGGGCTTTGGAATTGGTTTGAACTCAGCCTTAGCAAGAACATTAGTGGCAACCCTCGAAAAACCAGCAGGAGTATTGTGCGTGTTGAATTACCTTATGGCAAAAGAGGATTCTCTGAAAGGGAAGCTTCAATATGAGGATTGCATCACCCTACTGAAATATTTCAATGACAGCTATGATGAATGGGCCAATTTCCAGCCTGCTGTTAACATATTGAAAGAATTACCATTCCACATGACTGCACATGGAGATCTGATCAAGCTCAATGGTTACACAGTGTACATTCTACCTACAGACATACCTATGGCTGATATGGATGCTTGGCAAGAAAATGAACAGATTGTCTTCCTAAGACATAATGAAGGGCTGGATGTCTTACATGATGCAATGAACTTCAAGATATTGACGACAACAGAGTTGTATTGTACATTCATTCTTCCAAAGTTCCATTACCTCAGCTTCGATGCGCAAGTTGCTCATTTACAGTACCTGAAGGATGTAAAGCTTAAGGAACATGGGCCTGCAAAGACCGCAATTTTAGCTAGTCTAAACATGTTAGCATTTCTACCTGGGAAGGATGGTTGTCTGTATCCTGCTTGTATGTTCAAAGATCCACACCACAGTGTTTTCAAGGTCATGTATAGATTCAAAGAGGACTCTGATGCCTTTCCTCCTAAGCCATTTTGTGAAAGTAAATGGCTGGACTTCATGAGGCAAATTGGTCTTGTGCATGACATCTCAATAGATACATTTGTGGACTTTGCATATCAAATTGCTGAAGAGGCCCTCAATAACCCCAGCAATGAGACAGTGGCAAAATCAAAATCCCTTGTAGCGCATTTGTTCAAGAGGAGAAATGTGATAGATGAGGACATACTTGAGAGAGTAAAGGATATTCCATTTATTGCTCCAGCGAGACCAAACCAATCTTTGCTGCAACTGCAACAGTACTTTAACGTAGTTGATAATGAACAAATGCCCTTTGTTTGTTTCAATGCATCCGTACCTGAAACCCATGAAAACATCATTTGGACAAGTGCTAGTTTACTACCCAACTGGGCTAATCCATTCAAGCTCCACCATCAAGAAGTTACAATTGATTATGAGATTGACAGCCCACTACAGAATATGAGTCGATATATTGATGAGATTGCAAGCAAACTGGGAATACATGTTACTCCATCATTAAACATGGTAGTTATTCACTGCCAAAATTTGTGTGGAAATCTCATGAATGTTGACACCAAAAGAGGTGACTGCATTATCAATGACTTCATGAAACTTGACATTATGAGACATATATACAAATTCTTGCAACATGGCATTAAAGGTGATGATCCTCAGTCAATAGAGTCAATAGAAAAACTCAAGGATACAGAGTGTATTTTGGTAGATGATGGGCAGAAATTCATTTTGCCGAGTCAAATTGTGATGAGCATGTATAATGAGGAGGAGATCAGACCATTCTTGTACAGGTGTCCCACAGAGTTTGGAGAATTCTCTAAACTGTTTAAGGTTCTTGGTGTTACAGAAACACCAAGTTGTTCCCAATATGCATCTGTTCTTGAAAATATTCATCGGGAATGTGGCGATGTAAGGTTACATCCAAATGAACTCAGAGTTGTTTACAGGGCAGTGTATAGGTTGTTCAAAAGACTAAGGACAGAGGGATTTGGCTCAGAGTCAGTGAAGGCACTTTACTTGCCAAGTCAGACTGGTCAGCTATTAAATGCTAGAGAGTTGGTGTTTAATAATGACCCGAGTTGCACTGATAGGCTTAAGGACTTTGACAAGCCATTTTTAGTTGACTTATCTGAATGTAAACTGCACACAGGTAACTTTGAGGACATGGTTGGATTACTGCCAGAACATTTGAGGCCTCTGATGTTAACAGACTTGGTAGTTGATACATTAGAAGAGAGATGCAAAGATACTGTTGCCCATGAGGGAACTGCTGAGAGACTCCGTCAACATTTAGCATCACAGGCATTTGCAGAGGGAATTGGCAGGCTGATTAAACATGAGCATCATAGACAAGGATTGAAAGTTGACAGTGAACTTTTAGAAAGAACACTTTCAAATATTATGCACATTCACCTTTATGGTGTTGAGAAAGTAGTCACTTACCTAGCTTATGAGGGAGAATATATTCCAGGAAGTGAAATGGACAATGAGCTCTATGTTGAAAAAACAACAAATGAAAATGGAGAACCACGATGGAAGATTTACATAGAAAGCTCTGCAAAACTGCATGAAGAGTTAGTTGTGAAAATAGCAGACACTATAAATAGACTATCTGGTGGTCTGTTACAAAACTCAGTTCATTATCTGCAGCCAATTATGACATGCCAGACCCATCAAATATCTAACGTCCTTGATCGGTTGAAAATTCGCTCTGATCAAATGATGGATTCTAAACCTCCTACGCTACCCCAACCAGGACAGTTTGTTCCTATTGAAGATCACCATCTACTGAAAGAGGACTTTTTAGACTTTGATCTGGATGAGTATGTTGCATTTGAAGTGGATGACCCTACACTGATAGGGGAGTCTGGTCCAGCAACTTATGTTTATGGCATTGTTGTTGAAAAACTAAAAATTGAGAACCCATATAATGAAAAAAGAACATCGAATGAGTCAAGATTTCTTCAGCGATACAAAGTTAACATTGGAGATGATAGAAAGAGCATTATTGTCAACAATACAGATTTGTATAAGTTTCATAGAATGGAACGGATCATAGACGACAACTACATAGATGTAGAAGACTACATAGTAGATCAGATTGATGGATTCGAAGGGTTTGAAGAATCAGCATATGAGACTGCAGATGAGATGGATTCTCAAATGGAAGATGATATTGACGGCTATCATGAGGATAAACTAGAAAGACATCTGCAAGGAGATCTGGAAAACCAAAGACAGGACGATGAAGCAATTGGAGCAACAAGTACACCAAAAAAGCAAAAATCTAAAGAACAAATACAAGAAGAACGCTACCAACAACAAAGAAAGAGATTTGAACAGGAAAAATTGCAAAAAGAAAAGAAAAAAGAGGATGATAAAAGGAGATTTAATGAAACATTCCAGGAAAAACAGGAACGGGAGTTCAAAGAGTGGCTTGAGGAAAACAAAGAGAGGGAAGAAGCAGAGAGGAAACACAGACAGCAACAATACCAGGAGCAAGAACGTGCCAGACAACAAGAACATCAACAAAGACAACAACAAGGACATTTCCAACCACCTAAATCACCTTCCAGCAAAGGAGCTCCAAAGACCGCAGAACAGATCAAAGATGACATCAGTGATAAGCTTGAAACTGCCTGGACTCTCGAAGAAAAAGAACGAAAAAAGATTATCAAACGTCTTTTATTGAAATGGCATCCAGATAAAAACATAGGCAATGAGAAGTTTGCAACTGACATGATGCATTTCATCGAGGCAGAAATAGAACGTATTTGCTCAGGACAACCGCGAGAGGGGCACTTTGAAACACAAGCTGAATACTTTGCCAGAAAAGCCAAGGATCAACAATTCACAGGGATATTCAAAGATTTCTTTGAGAACATGGCCAAGAGAGCTGGTACCCATAAGACCCAACGAAAAGAATACAAGGAAAATTTCTCTCAGAACTATAGCCAGTCATCCCACAATTTTGATGTACCCCCATCATTTAACACAAAGAACCCACAACCTGGTGAGGCCAAGAGATGGATGAAACAAGCCAAAGCTGATCTTAAATCTATTGACAATGACTTGAGAGTATCTGAGACTGCTTATGAGTGGGCATGCTACAAATGTCATCAGGTATGTACTTAAGATTTTACACTGGATTTATTTAGTATTCAGGACCATTGAGCAGGACCAACTACATATATGTCTTTTTTTTGTTTTATTAATTGTAACAGTTACTTCTTCCTATTTGAAATCTGTTTCTCAAATGCTTAAACTAAGCGTAGCATTAGTAATTGATAATGTATTGTTCAATATGTAAAGCACAAAGGACAACATTTGTTAAATTACAATATAATAACTTCCATTTACATGCATTTCATACATTTGTATGCACATTGTATAATATATAAAGTTACCAATGAATTTGAATCAATGTTTCTATAATTTAAATTTGGAATTGGAGGCATAATACCAAATCTTCAGTAGCTTCAATTTCAAAAAGTGGTAATGGAAATGGACAAAAACCATGTGGTCATTATTTCAGGCTTTATTTCTATTACAAAAAAATTATGAATATTTGTGATATTTTGGAAAATTTGTATGTTATGTATTGAATAATATCAGAAAAAATATATTGAATAATGACAGAATTAACAAAAAAGTTGCTCTCTCTATATCTGTTTATTCGTATAATACAGTCACTGTCTCAACTTGAACAATTAACCGCTCCGCATAGGTTCCACTATGTAGGGGTTCTCCATAATGTGCTAACATTGAACCATTGTATATTGCAGGCGGCAGAGAAGGCATTGAAGGCATCGCAACTAGCAGTTGACGTCATGCACAGTTACTCGCATGACCTACAATCCATATGTAACACTATTCCCGACACAAAACTTAAAATCCTATCAGCGGATTTACAAAAACTTCTTGGAGATGCAGGCCAGATGTATTATCCAGACAGTTTGAAGTTCCCTCAGATTCCGCATGACACATACACTGAACAAAGAGCCCTAGAGTGTCAGAGATTGGCGTCTATGATTGTTGAAAGATCTGAGGAGTATATTGTTTCGCTCATTGGTCAACCACTTTAGAACTGAGTACCAAGGTGTTCACTGTTCACATTGGTCTTTATAGGAATATGAGTCAATATAAAACCTCTCTAATCTGATCACCACTGGGACAAGCTGAGTGTTCAGATTGGCAGATGTTCACATTTCAAGGTTTTAACATAGAATTAAGTCTATGGTAGATTGGACATGAAAAAGTGTTCACATTAAAAGTTGTTCAGATTAGAGAGGTGTTCAGATGCACAGGTTTTACTGTATGTGAATATAGAACATGTTGATGTGAATAGAAAAGTGTTGATTGAGTTTTATGAATATAAACTATAGTGTTGATCATGATGAGAAGAAACTAGACTAAAAGTGTTGACTTAGCTTATTGAACATGTACATTGTACACAGGCAAATTACGAGTCATTACGGGCAAAAAGGAGCACCATCCTTACAAGTTTGTTTGTACAGGGCCTGTTGACTCAACAAGCTCCGTACGGGCTTGTACGGGGTCCAATGTAATTTGCCTGTGTACATGAGTTTTGTATAATTATGATAGGTGACATGCCATGCTTTTGAAAATGTACTTTCAAATTTGAAGTTGCTCAATAATATTTTTATTTTTATCCACAGCTTTCAAGATGCATTATCTGCAAAAAGTTTAGCGTTTGATATTGTAATACATTGCCAATTCGCTTGTACATACGGTGCTACTTTTAAGAACATACTTACAAACAAATCATACACATGTGCCCAATCGTAAGTCATTTTAATTTTAACTTTTTATTTTAAATTGTGTGAATGAAAAACTTGTTGCTTATGTGATTATTTATAACTATTGACATCAATATACTATTGAGTTGCTTGTATTGTATAGTTTAAAAACAGGTCATTTGAAACAAGATAATTTCCATGACTCTACAACACCAATAAATTGTTGGTACTGTACATAGGATGTATTATGCAATTTAGTTACCATGTTTTTGAACTAATGTAAAGCACTAACTGTATATAGGCAGTAATTTAATATGGGATAATGGCATAATAAAGATGGGGGATACCCCAGAATTCAGAGTTGAACCTATCTCCATGTAAAGATAAACCTCTGATTTTCAACTATGAATTCTGGGGGTATTTCCTCCTCTTCGCATAATACTACACATAGCTGTAAAAACAGTGTCTCTATCACATTTTTAGGAATTCATCTTGGCTAGTTATCTTGTAAAATGATTTTCAGATATAGTGTACATACACTTTAATTTAATCTGAACTGTAACTTTTATGTTATCAACTACAGGTTAAGGTATACTGTATATATTTCAATCATTTCTAGTAATAGAGATACTGTTCATCTCATTTGTATCGCAATATTTCTTGTGGAAGACATATCAGTCATTGTTTGTGTCATGTTTAATATGTTTATATTCAATACAGTGTTTATGTGGCTGATGCATATTTTTATAAAATTTTACATTCACTTGGGAGAAAAAGATTTGCATTTCTTCTTGTGACGATTAAGCTTTCCAGAGGGTGTATGACTTAGTCTAAGGGCCCCCCCTCAGCATGTTTAAGTCAATGGAGCATACCACAGGATTCAACTTCTTTATTGAGGTAATAAATACTACCATTTGATTCTGTACCAACTAGATTCTGTGTATTTTCACACATTTGGAGAAATACCTTCGCCACAAAGCAGTCACAGTAAATATGATTTCTCAATATAATTCATAGCCTTGCCCAAGTCAGTATTTTTTAACTCATCTGATCTTGAATTATTACCGGTCATAATAGAAATCAAGATAAGTAAAAGAGACAGACTTGGGCAAGGCTATATAATTCATTGCATGCATTTACCTGCAAGCACACAGCTGCTTTGTAATCATTGTGACTTTGAACTCCTGTGGGATGTTCTAGCCAATTAGTGGCTTGCATTATGTATATCTGAATTGTGAGTATATGTATGCTCATTCAATATGATTTATTTAATATTACATATATATAATGTTTCTTTTATTTATGAGTTGATTAGAACACAATCATAGAATACATAAACAATCATAAATGTATGTGTTGGTGAGAAAGTTAAACACCTCTAGTGAGCAGGATATTTCTGCTTGTTTTTAAAACACCTCTGAAGTCAAGCAATACAATTTCTATTAGTTTAGTACATAAATAGGGCCATTGCATATTATGCTGTATTGTGTTGTAGAGACTGGTTGAATATTTTCTTGCCAGTTAAAGATGCAACAAATGTTAGAGATTAGTTCAGAGTTATGTTTTACACATTTTGTCCAAATTTTACAAATTTTTGTTCGCAACATTATATGTCACATGATCACATCTGTTTTCTAAAAAGTCCATAATTTTGACATTTTTTCATAAAAATCATTTTTTAGAACTTTAAAGAAACATTGGCATTCATTTTAAAGATAAGTTTCAACATTTTACTCTCTATTTTTGCTGCAACTTTAAGAAAGAAAAAAAAATATCAAAGCATATATGAGTGTATGTACTGTTTTGTGGATATACCTATGTAGATGCACCCCCCACCCTTAAAAATCCCGGGTACACCCCTACATTAGTTTGTATTGGTTGAGGCAGCCGAATCAAGCTTTTCCAAACTACCATTTCAGTTTGGGGGCTGTAAGTAGCATAATAGTGCACAACATTTAGTAAAAATTTGTAATGAAGGTTAAAAATGTAGTGTTTGCCATGAAATGTATTGTTTATCTGTATTGTATTGTCTATATTTATACATGTACACGGTGTATAACCCAAACGCTCCTACATGCACGACGGAGCGTTTCATTTACGCGGAAACGCTCCGGAGCGAAATAAAATGGCGGCTAATGAAGATTCCACTATGACCGTAAGTATTGTTTCTCTCGTTTCTCTTACATATCATATGTTATGGTGAAATATTATGTACCATTCGATGAACAATACCGTGAGGAAAGATCTTATTTATTCAATTTCTGGTGGTAAACTGTTATTTGCTTGATCAAAGCTCCGTAGTGTAGATCGAACGAATCTGAAGATGACGATTTGACCACAAATTACGAATTAAACCAGTATTTCTATTAAAACGTTAATCTTTCTGTTAAAGTAGTAGACCACAAACTCGTATATTCTCATTTCCTAAAATCCCAGTCCAAATCCATTACTTGTTCTCGAGAAATCGCTTGTTTTCCTCAAAACGCTCCGTCGATTTAGAACACAATTTTAGAAACGCTCTTACCATTTTGTTTTGATATCATTTTCAGAATATTAGAGAAGAGTTCCGAATCGAATCTATCTCTCAAAAACGTGTTGTACTTGTTAGGCAAATTGAAACATCTGAACATGGTGGTGCTAAACGTGCAACTAGCTGATTTAAGCCTACATTAGATGATGTCATGCCTACATGTGTGCTAAATCATAAAACTATGGAAAAAAACTAAAATTTATATGTGAATTAATCTTTCTTCTTTTGATGCCAAAGGGTATAATAGATCTTTTCTTTCGCTTCCTGAAAGGGAAAGGCAAGCTATATATTTCCTAAAGTGATCTAGACTACCGGAGCGTTTCCAGTTCACTGTGTTAACCAGATCGGAGCGTTTCTCGAATATGAGAATGTCATCATTTTTAAGACTGGATTTTTGGTCATCAAATCACTATTACGATAATGTATGGTGCGTTGAAGCATTGGAATTTGACTAAAATATACGTTGGTGCTCTAATCTTGGCTCAACTAATCACATGTATCGACAAAAGGGGTTTTGACCGGTAGAATGAAAAATACGTTTTTGAATTTTGATAACTATACTGCTTCGTACAGCTCTTCCTAATTGCTTCAACCGTCAACAGCCAGCCAAGTACAACATGAATATCACACCCATCGAATGGTATACTCGAAATATGGAACTCATACCTCTTATTCCCATTATTGGGGAAATCGTCAGATGGCTCATCATTCCCGCCAGCCAGTTTTCCTACTCCGGAGCGTTTCTTTGTTTAATTTCAGTAATGAAACGCTCCGTCGTGCATGTAGGAGCGTTTGGGTTATACACCGTGATGTAGACTTTGAACAATTTGTTCAATTTGTTGCTAGACATTGTAGTTATTTATTTTATACACTGTACAGCAATCAATAATCATCTGGGTAAAATTTCATGTTGGATATTGAAATCCTGATGATTATTTGGCGATTTTAGCAAGGAGGAGATAAAAAGCAAAATATTAGATATAATATTAGCACAATCTGAAAATAGAACTAAAACTGAATATAGTGAAGTGATTTCTGTAAATAGAATATATTAGTGCACCAGCTTATAAGCAGCTGTTTGAACTAATTCAGAGTAATAGTGCTTCATTTGGAATTATAGTGCTGCATTCAGAATAATAGTGATTCATTTGAAATAATAGTGCTGCATTCAGAATAATAGTGCTTTATTCAGAATAATAGTGCGTTATTCAGAATTATAGTGCTCTATTCAGAATAACAGTACTTTATTCAGAATAATAGTACTTCATTTAGAATAACAGTGCTTTTTAATAGAATTCCGGTAAGAAATATGTATGTGTATTGTGCAGTAATTGATATAAAAATAAAAAGTAATGCTGAGTGAATAACTTGGAAAATAACAACAAACATGTGAGAAAATTGACATCATATGTGAAATAGAGGAAAGGAATGTTGATATAACATGAAGTAGTTTCTGTGGAGAAAAAAAAATTGAAAAATATCTATTGACGACTGTGTATATTTTTTACTATTTAGGTAAAGGAGGGTTGGTTCCCATAATTCACTCATAATGTTAATACACACACAATTTTAATAGTATGTATCAAATGAATCACTTTGGATAAACAAAAATATTTTAACAGTCTTCATCTTCCTCAGGTGATGTCATTTTTGACCAATCCCAGTCAGTTTCAGCATTTCAGGAAAATATACAATCATGGGATATACAGACCCTCCTTGAAGAAAAGGGTATTATATTTAATATTAAATTTTGGAAAGATAGAACAAGTGTGTGTGAAATAAATGTGATAATTTGTAAATTGTGCATAACACATGTAAATTATAATGAAAATTAACAGCTTCAGTTTGCAATATTCTGGGTTGCAATATATTTTTAATTGGCCTTACTTTTATAGTTTTTGTATAGGTTTTAAAGAAAACATTATTTTTTAACACAATCGCTTTTTGCATTGCTCTTTAAAAATAGAAGCATGTGTTATTAAAATTCTATGGATTCAGAATTATTAAATGACAGGATAAATATTCTTTAGTTGCCACATCAATTGTCATAATGGAAAAACTTGTGCCATCTTTATAGTTTTTAATGTGAATAACCAAAATGTAAGTCTGTGTTTTCACATGGACCCATTAACCTCTTGTTCACATTGAATTGTTAAAAGACACAATTTTAAGTATTACTGTGCAACTACTACCTGACTTACTACCAACTACATATAGTGTGAGGACTATAATTAAACTATAATATGGTATCATTATATGAGTTTTCTGCTGTGAGAATATATTAACATCTATACATAGTGTAATATGGTGCGGTAACTGGAACTGAATGATTTTACAAAATAAATTATTACTAAAAAATAAATTGTTTTTCATTTTGTATATACCTGATAACTATATATAACATGATAATATAAGTCATGATTAAAGGTTGGTGTCCAAATGTTAAAATTTGTGGAAAAATGTAGTTAATATTGTTGTGATTTATCTCATCCCCCATATGAAGAATTCTGAAATGTTGTCATGATCTTTCACTTAAAATACACTAATGAAATTAACTAAGTCATCCACAGCTGTTGCTAATTAGTACCATAGTACATGAAATATTAAGAATGATATCAGTATGAAATACATATCCTACCCAATGTGTATGTTCACATTGAAAATGTACATGTACCCCATAGATCTCACATAGAAAGGTAGACCTTGGAATAACACCATCAACCCTGATGAAAGTGGGCTAGATCAGCAAGGCCTCATCAAGGACCATGGAAATAGCAGCTTATTTTTACAGAATACATAAACACATTGCTCAGTTATTTCCTGAATCTTGAGGTTCTTCATCATAAAAAAAGACTAACAATATTTTAAACTTATAATAATTTATTAATGCCTAAAACAATTTCATTCCAATAATGCTAAATAAAGACAATATGAGACTGTCTCAAAATGCCATTACAAAAAATATATCTAGTTGCCATAACAAGAAGAGTCCTGAAAGTGGTATTATTTAATGCTGTCATATCCAGAAAAACAATATGGAAGTATCATCCATATCAAGGAAATTGTATCCAATATCAATACAGAGGTATCCATCTCAATGCAATATCCACATCATCAAATCATTATCCTGTATCAAAATCAGCACCAATAATCAATATCCATAATTTTGAAATAAACATATTTATGGGTTACTTGAAAAGGTCTACTGTTCACCCTTTAAGCAAATTATATTTAGTAAATAAACAAACAAATCCAAGTACATCAGTTTAGTTCCATGGCGCCTTAGCCTCTGAACATATCATCTTTGGCCCTTTGTCTATGTAGTGAAAATTGTAATTCATTGAGTCATCGATCATCCTGTGAAGGTCATGCATTATTAGCTCTATGAATTATACTGTTATATATACACAACTACCGAACTATGTACAGATTTCCTAGGGATTTGATGTTTATTTCCTATACCAGGCCTGGACATTCTTCATTCTTTTTACTTTCTTTTGTAATTGTAGCACTCCATAAAGCAGGGCTTCTGCTGTTGGTGGACAGCCTGAAAAGAATTAGTTTGAAAAAATGGAAGTGAAAAATGAAAGTTAACAAGGCAACATGTCACCACTTGCCATTTGTTACAGACACCCACTGCTGAACACCAACTGTCAAACACTGTCCACAAAAGGTTGGAGACTATTACAATATGTCACCACTTGTGTTGGTGACAAACAATTAAATAAAAATGACCTTACATACAAAAAAAAAAGTAAATGCCACCATTCCCATATTATTCAGAAACCTTTGCAATTACTATTCAAAACATAAGACTATGGCGCATTTCATTCAAAGCCACTGTTCCACAGCTGGATGACTCTTACTGCAGTAATAGCTTCATTCAATCTCGTTGCCGAGATGGAATGATCTATGTCATCGTCATCATCAACTTCAGTTAGAGTCATTCTTAGAGAAGCCGTTTTCTTTAAAAAACTCAAATATTGCGGGTGTTTGGGCATTCATTTGTGGTTGAATACAATCATAGTTTTATCTATTTACATGGCAAAACATTTGGAATCAAGATTCAACTTAGTTTAGCTGAAATCGGAGGTTTATCAAAAACTAAAGAATCTTGGCAACCATCTTGAAGGCAGAATGATATCTATTGAAGTATAAAAGGATTATGCAGTTATCAGAACAGTTGAAATGAAGGCAATCTTGTACATGCTGTACACATATAAACTTTATAAGATTCTCATTTCCAACTTAAACATACTCAACTATTTGATAACGAAACAGGTTAAATGAAGTTTTCTACTGCTTTCTCAATGTAAAATGCTACCAACTACTGTATTATTACTTACAAGAACTTTCAGGCCTGAACCAAACCTGAATTTGTTTCTCATAAAAATTAGATCCAGTATTTTTCTGAGGAAATGAAGACCCCTAAAGACATGAAATGATATGTTTCCGAAAAATAAATACATGTATAAATAAAACAGTACTATATAGTACCATCGTACCTGGTACATAGATATCTACAGGAACGATTCTATCACATCCTCTTACAACTGAATATGAATAATGGTAGTATCCCCCACCATTGGCGCAACTTCCCATGGAGATTACCCAGCGTGGCTCTGGCATTTGGTCATAAACCTGGAAAATTTGAAATTCATCAAAATGCATAACTGCAATATGAGGATTTCGATAATAAACAGAGACCAGAAGACAAAAAGTTTCAAATACTTCTGCTGTATTTACCAATACTGCTTCAGTGTCCAAGGAGGAAAATTGTTTGCAAATATTGCGATATACTACAACCTATGATAGTATTCAAAACATATCATAGCTTCTTTGGAGTAGCAAACAATGACGGAGTATATTTGTATGGCTTATTAAAATGGTTCTTTAAAATCTTCCGGAAGAATATAACTCACTTTTCTAAAGGCAGGTGCCATTTTGTTTGTTAATGTCCCAGCTACAATGATGACATCAGCTTGTCGAGGACTGGCTCGAAAAACGACACCAAACCTGTCCATATCATAGCGTGGTGCCGCCATGTGCATCATCTCAATGGCGCAACAGGCCAAGCCAAATGTCAGGGGCCATAGTGAACTCTGGAAATATATTAAGGTTTTGCCACTTGATAACTTGATCAATTCTTTCACAGTTTTGAATTTCTTGAAATCAGTGTTCATCCACTTCTAAATACATAATATCAAATGTAAAGTTTTACCTTCATCAAATATAGTGAAAAGGCTATTTGTATCTCTTTTTCAAAGTGCGATGAAAATCAAGTGCACAAAGACATAAAGTAAATGTTTGACTGTACATGTAACTTGAATTGAAACCAGCATTATACATACCTTTCTGCACCAGTTGAGAAGATCATCCACTCTAGCTAAGGCATACTCAGCTGTGCTGTTGGTGTTTTGGAAAGGTGAGTAGGTCTTCTTTCTCTCTATTGCAGTCTCAGTACTTTTGCTCCTTTGTGGGACAAGGCTGGAACAATATACAACGAGAGTAAATGTCACATTCAGTTATCTAATCCTGGTTTCCTTTGAAAAACACATTTTGAAGCTGGTAGAAAGTGAAGAGCAGAACTATTGGAACCACGGAAGTGTTGAATTCGGTATTTAAAATTCATTCCATTTCTTAAGTTGACATTTGTCATCTAAAGTGTATGATCATTCGAAACCAATTAATCACTTTAAGTATGAAATACATATTCTAAACCATAATTCGTAACTGCAGAAAATATCAAAATATGGGTCAGTCAGATTCAATTGGTATATTTCAGAATGATAAATTACAAATTGTTGTCCTATTCATGCAATAAAAATTTTAAAGATCCAGCTCTAATCACATACCATATTAAATTTACATGTACCCGTAGATTTTGCTAGAAAGGTAGATCTTGAAATGACATCACTAGCCCTTACTAAAGTGGGCTAGATCAAGATCACTGAAATAGCCTCAAGTTAGAACAGTAATCCACAGTTTAATCCAGCATATAAAGTCCTTACCTTGATTCTTTGGGGTTCTTCATTATAAAAAAACTATCAACATATTTCAAACTTTAATAATTTATTAATGCCTAAAACATAGTTTTCTACAAATTCCCAAATGAAGACTAAATAAGATGGTCTCAAATGTCACATTGCTAATAGTAATAGCCATAATACGAAGAGTCCTTCCTGAGGGTAATTTCTATAATCCTGTGTGATATCCATATAAACAGTTTAATATGGTAGTATCCATATCAAGGTAATTGTATCCATATCAATACAGAGGTATCCATATCAGTGCAATATCCACATCAACAATCAACATAGTATCATCCAGTATCCAAATCCATACCAATATAGTTTATTTGAAGAAATTAGATTAAAAATCTTTATTTCAAATAAAGAAGTCTTGTCTATGGAAATGGCTTTAACATTTTCAAATCATAAGCCAAAAAGGCTGAAAGAGGGCTGTCGATAATCATGTGGTCATGCACCATGATTAGTTCTTTGAATTATACTGTTATATATACACAACTATGTACAGATTTCCTAGGGATATGATGTTTATTTCCTATACCAGGCCTGGACATTCTTCATTCTTTTTACTTTCTTTTGTAATTGTAGCACTCCATAAAGCAGGGCTTCTGCCGTTGGTGGACAGCCTGAAAAGAATTAGTTTGAAAAATATAAGTGAAAAATAAAAGTAAACAAGGCATTAACATGCAAAATGTCACCACCTGCCATTTGTTACAGACACCCACCGCTGAGCACCAACCCCCAAATACTGCCAAACCGCCAAAGACTATTACGATATGTCATCACTTCTGGTGGTGACACAAAAGACATGGTGACATAAAAATAGAGAAGATCATTATGATCTTCTCTATTTTTATGTCACCATGTCTTTTGACATAGTGTAAAGACTGAAATAAACAAGAAACAGAGTGAATAGTATCATATACGTGTATCCTTGACGGAAAATCCAAAATGGCCACCTTACATTTACCCAGAATGCCAACAAACTAATCAGTTCTCGATTTTCATACAAAGAATCATCCCTGAAAATGTGAAATTGATCTACCAAAGGGTTCACCTGAAAACGCGAAGACAAGACTTTACAGACAAGATTTTAGAATGGAAAATCTAAAATGGCAACCTTAATATTTACCCAGAATTGCAAACAAACTAATCAGTTCTCGATTTTCATACAAAGAATCATCCCTGAAAATGTGAAATTGATCCCTCAGCTGGTTTGCCAGGAAACATGTAGACAAGACTTTACAGATATGATTTAGAATGGAAAATCAAAAATGGCCACCTTAATATTTACCCAGAATTGCAAACAAACTAATCAGTTCTCGATTTTCATACAAAGAATCACCCCTGAAAATGTGAAATTGATCCCTCAGCTGGTTTGCCAGGAAACATGTAGACAAGACTTTACAGATATGATTTAGAATGTAAAATCTAAAATGGCCACCTTAATATTGACCCAGAATTGCAAAAAACTATTCAGTTTTAGATTTTCTTACAAAGTATCATCCCTGAAAATTTCAAATGGATCCTTCAAATGGTTCACCAGAAAAGTGTGGACAATTCAAGACTTTACAGATGAGATTTTAGGATGAAAAATCCAAAATTGCCACCTGAACATTTACCCAGAATGCCCAAAAACTAATCAGTTCTAAACTTTTATATGAAGAAACATCTTTGATAATTTCAGATGAATCTCTGAATTGGTTCGGCTGGAAACTTGTAGACCATGTTCATAGTAGCACCCGGTTACTGAATAGCCAATCAGTCAAGAGTATATACGAGGGGGGATTCATAAGTAGTGGGACTTTTCTGAGGCAGCAAGTCCCTGTGTACATATCTCAACCATATTTGGCACATGAAAGGACAAGGATATAAGGCATTGTTTGGTGAAATTTCAATTTAATTCATTTTGTTCCCTAGCAACAATGGTTGCTATGGTAACCAAAAGTAGGGGTTAACGGAGCAGTTAAAAATGAAGCGCTTGATCAAAAAAAAAATGTAATAAATATCTCAAAATGACAGTTATTTTCAAATATTTGGTTTCATATTGTCTCAAGCCTTGTAGTCATGACAACTGTAACATATATTACATCATCTTGCTATTGTGATGTCACACAAAGCAGTGACACCAGGACACTGCCATTTTCAGTCCTTTTTGGATGGAGCAAAATTTGATTAAAATAGCAATGAAAAAGCAAGAATCACGTATAAACATCTGTGCTGTGATTAAATTTAATGCTTTGAAGAAGTTTTCAGTATTAGAGACCTATAGAGGTTTGTTGGAAGTCTATGGGAAAGAAGAAATAAAAAAAATCTAAAGTATATAGGTGGTATTCTGTATATGTATTCTGAATATGCTGTGAGAGCCGAGATATCAATCTTGGAAAATATGGTTTTGAGGGTGCATACCTAGAATGGTTGAGGAGATGCCAAAAATGCATTGATTGTCATGGTGAATACTTTGAGAATGAGTGAGATTGCACCAGAAGGATAAGGAATCAATAGTCTTGCACAGAATTGATGTGCTCCACAAAAGGACTCGCTAGAAGTCACGGATTAGATCACGTCCTGAATATCAGTTGAGACTTGTGTATTTAACTAGTAATTAGTGACAAACAATGTGCTCCGTGGACCCTGTTGTGACGTCATGATTGGAACTCTCACTTTACTGAAGTTGGGTGTAACTTTTTGAAATTTTCACACAATGATTATCACACGTTTGTGGTTCTGTGTTCCAAGTTTGAATAAAATCTGAATGATATAAGTGAAGTTATAGCATTTGTCCCACTACTTATGAATCCCCCCTCGTACATCCAAGGGCTCCAATAATTGAGTGAGAATTCCTCACTTCAACAACCATGATGTTAATAGGCCATAACATGAAGCAACCAAGACGTAATAAAATTCACAAAACAACGCCCTGGTTGCTGCAGTGAAGAATTCTCCCTCGATTATTGGAGCTGCTGGATATATTTGCTCGTGACTGTCTAGATTTTCAGTAACCAGATGTTACTTTTAACATACAGGTAAAATATTTGGAATTGGATACAAATCAACCTTCTTCTTGGTTAAAATGATCAAAATCAAAATTTTCGCAGACGGAAGTTCATCCATTTTGTTATAAAGATGCAACGTCTTTATTACCAGATGAGGACCAGTGATATTTAGATCCAGTTTTTTTCTGAGAAAATGAAGACCATTCAAGACCTTATGAAATGATCTGTTTCAGAACTAATAAATATGACATAGTATATAGTGAGATGTAGCACTCTCATCATACCTGGTACATAGATATCTACAGGAACAATTCTATCGCATCCTCTTACAACTGAATATGAATAATGGTAGTATCCCCCACCATTGGCACAACTTCCCATGGAGATTACCCAGCGTGGCTCCGGCATTTGGTCATAAACCTGGAAAACATGAAAATCATCAAAATGCATAACTGCAATATGAGGATCTCGGTAATATACAGAGACCAGAAGACAAAAAAGTTTCAAATACTTCTGGTGCATTTGTTAACATTATTTCATTGTTTTTCGGAGGAGGATTCTTAGAATATTGTTTATAAATACTAGATAACGGCAACTCCGCTGAGTAGCAAATCCCAACGAACAAAATATCAATTACCGAATTCCAATCAATTATACTCATTACTTTGGTTGAAAATGAAAAAATTAGATTTTAGAATTGCGAATTCCTGCAAAGCAGCCATTTTGAATTTTCTGAGGTACAAATCTTAAAAATAATACCATAATTGTGATCTACTCCAAAATTCCTTCAATTTGTGTATAATATAGCCATACTTTGAAGGGATCGAAAAATTATTGCGAAATCGTACATTAGACGGCCATTTTGAATTTTACGAGGCTCGAATCAGAAAAAGATACAATATTTGCAATCTACTCTTAATTGCCTTTCATTTGAGTATAATAAAGCTATACTTCAGAAAGATTTAAAAATTAGCAAAAATTTCTGTTTTCCTGTCCCCCCATACATGGCCCCTGGGGGTCAGGATGAAAAACACAGAATATATGTGAAAAAGATAAATGTTGTGAATACACTACCAAAATTTCAAACAATAATATTAATTACTTTGGTTTAGAATGAAAAATTTATGATTTTTGCGAAAAAGTCCCGTCATTTTTAAAGCGGCGGCCATCTTGCGTAAGACTATTCACCAATATACATCTTTCCACTAAATATGAAGAAAATCTGTCAACTAGTATTTGAGTTATCTTCTGGACAGACGGAAGGACTGACTGACTGACTGACTGACTGACGGACAGACGGACGGACGGAGGGCTTCACTATATCCCTAACGAACTTCGTTCGTTGGGATAATAACTACAGTAAAACCTGTCTCAGTGAACACTAGTCTTTAGTGGACACCTTTCTCCTGCACATACTCAACTGACTTCTGTATAAATTACCCTCTCTGTAGTGAACACTTACAAATACTGAACATCTTGGTAAAAAATGTTCAATATATACAGGTTTTACAATATTTACAACTTATGACACTATGAATCTAGCCAATATATCTTAGCTTCTTGGTATAACAAAAGATGACAGGATAAATTGAAAAGGTATAGTGAAATTTTTCGAAAAATATGTATGTGCTGTCAATTTGAGACTAGTATGTACAGGGTAATACTAAGTGCCACCCACATAATGTTGCATGACTTTTTTGTCTGGAAGATTTCTGATTTATTCTTTAGCACATTAAAACTGGCCTCCATGGAGCAACTCCACAAGAAGTTTGACTCCATTGGATGCATTTTTATGAGGGTTATAAGATGTGCTCTATAAGCTCTAAATGTCAGGTACACCTAGATTCTATGGGCAAAGTTATTGACGACCCTAACACATTCCCCCACAGAAAGGGTCCTAATCTTTCTGGTGATCTCTATCTTCAGGTGTTCAATGGTTTAGGGGTTTGTTCCATACACACGATCCTTCAAGTACCCTAAGAGATAAAAATCTGGAAGGTTTATGTCAGGCGAATGTGGTCAATAACTTTTCCAGTAGAACCTACAGAAGTATTCATGCAATGGAATATACAACAATCAGAGGACATCTTGTAACAGTCATAAAATTGTACCTAGTTGGGCTAGTTATCTGAAAACTTATTGTGAAGTTGCTCCATGGAGTATAGCTTTAATGTGCAAAAGAAGAAGTCAGGAATAAAAAATTATTCAACATTTTCTGTGGGCACTTTTTTATGTCACCCTTTAAGAAGATAACTCACTTTTCTAAAAGCAGGTGCCATTTTGTTTGTTAATGTCCCAGCTACAATGATGACGTCAGCTTGTCGAGGACTGGCTCGAAACACGACACCAAACCTGTCCATATCATAGCGTGGTGCCGCCATGTGCATCATCTCAACTGCACAACAGGCCAAGCCAAAGGTCAGGGGCCATAGTGAACTCTGAAAATAGAAAAGGTTTCAAATAATCCATACCACTGCAAATTTTGCTACTTTTTCAAATCTTTCTCAGTTTTGAAATAAAATAAAAGTTCATGTCTTAATACATAATATCTAATGTTATTTTATTTATATGATTTCAAAATTTTGCTGATATTAATTTTCTCTAATTTTCTGCTTTTTGAAATTCTGCGGCTATTCATTATTACGTATCTTCACTTCGAATCTTTTGTTTTAACCAGAAGCCAAGATTTATTTTGATTGAAATGTTTACCAATTGATTGGATTGAAGGTACCTACTTTTTGTCGTCCCTAAATGGACAAAAATACCATCAACGCAGAGTGAAATGAATTCCTGAGACTTTCACAAGTATTATATTTTGCGAACTTGAACTATTGGAATTTCGCGGCTATAACATTTTGCAAATTTTCCAAAACTTGAGAAAAACGTGAAATATAGGATTATGTGAAAAAATAACCGGAAGCACAGCATATTAGACATGTATTTTGAATTGAAACCAGCATACCTTTCTGCACCAGTTGAGAAGATCATCCACTCTTGCTAAGGCATACTCAGCTGTGCTGTTGGTGTTCTGGAAAGGTGAGTAGGTCTTCTTTCTCTCTATTGCTGTCTCAGTACTTTGACTCCTATGTGGGACAAGGCTGGAAGAGTGAATAACAGTGAGTGAATAAATTTCATTGTCTACTCCTAGTTTTCTTTGAAAAACACATTGTGAAGCTGCTGGAAACTAACTAGTTGAACAACAAAAGTCTTGCATTCTGATTTTTAAAAATTCATCTTCTATTTGTCATCTTAAAGTGTATGATCATTCTTCAATGTCTCTTTAAAAATTTCTCTCATTTTATGATACATTATTTGATTTACAGATGAAAAGTAATTAAGCAGCATGCTAAAACTTTGATAAATTTTCAAGCAAATACGAACATGCAAAATATGCAAAAGATAATTGTGGAGAAGCCCACCCACAATATCTTCATACAGCGCTTCCAAAATAGGGACATATCAAAAGTCCTTAAAGGATACTTGGAGGAAGGAATTGCAGTGTAATAATGATAAAGTATTTATATTAAATGGTATCGGATTTGATTTTCATCGATTAGACAAGGAATTTGATTTACATAATATACATGGACGTGACAGTGATAATTATCGTTCAGCTACTAACTCGGTAGTCAAACCAAAGGTGGAAAAACAGCTAAGGGAAGAAAATGTTATTAGCACTAAAAAGCCAAAGATAGTGAGTAGTGTGGGTTCAGTGCTTTAACAAAACAGTGCTGATTTTCATGGAAAAAGTTGACTAAAGGTGGGGATAAAGGGGATAGGGTAGGGTAGCCCAAAGAGTTATCAACCAATGGGATTGAAATGTAAGTTTGGGAAACATAAGGATTTTACTTATGATTGATACATGACTAACCTTTGGCAGCAATAAAAGTGGGCCGCAAGATGAAGCACAGAGGATTTAAGGAGACAGCCGTCTACTGGATGATTTTCTAGTGTTGTAAGATTATAAGGACAAATGCAAGCAAGCAATTAACACTTTACTATTGTTACAGGATCTAGGCTTCACAATTAATTGGAAAAAATTGGTCCCACCCACACAGTGTTAACATTTTAAGAATCGAAATTGAATCGGTTCAGTAAGTATTAAGAAAGAATACCTGCCTCCAAGCTTGCAGAGATTAAAGACAGTTTAGTGAAATGGAACAGCACATTGAAATGTCTTATGACAATGCTGCAGCATATCATATGGAAACTTAACTGGATCGTTAACACTTTTAGGGCAGCTAGCCCTTTGCTACTCAGCCTAATTGACTCATGCAAACAACTAAAGCGCCCTTCACATAGGACACCTTTAAATGCGCAAACACGTTAAGACCTAGCAGCTTGGTCTAATTTCCGTAAAGCGACCGCTTCAATGGCATGAATTGTATACATATACGAAATAAATAAATCACAGCCTGACGTTACTTTCTGCACAGATGCATGCGATGATGGTGCTAGAGCTTGGCACTATAACAGAAACCCCCTGCCAGAGCCACGAACTGACTGGATATAATAATCAATTAGGAGATGGATCTTCCTCAGCATAAATCTAGTGATATCAATTATCAAGGAGCTTCTTGTGATAAAATTGGCTTTAGATAGGTGGAGCCACCTATGGTGTGATAAACGAATTTAAGTATATACAAATAATGATGCAACTCTATTTTGGATAACTAAACATCTAGGAATAGTATAGCTTGTAATATTTTGAGTGACATACTATTAAAATCAGTGGAATATAATTTTCATCTGACAGCAGGGGGAATTACAAGTGAAGATAATGTAACAGCTGATGCCTTGAGCCGTTTTACAGATGTTAATATGGCTGCAATGGCACACGTTATGATAGAACATGATATAGCGGATGATAATTATGATGTCCTCTCACATATGTAACTAATGGCTGATGAGAGAGCGAGCTCAGTTTAGAGGCCAAGCATACGCAAGCACAACGAGAACGACATACATGTATATGTGTCATCTAAGGACTTACTTACGCTTTTGTGTATCTTTTAAATGTACACCTTTAATATCCTCTTCGCAAGAGACTTTATTATTGTGCGCAGTCTTCCTCAGTAAGACACTGAAGCCTCCATGCGTGTGCCAATACTTGAATATCATATGGATTACACACATGGAGCAGGTTATCCAACCTACTAGCAGAGAATTACTAAGAGGAATATCCAGAGTGAAGAATGAGCCAGTTAAACCTAAACTCCCAATTACAGCTTCCCTGCTTCAGGCTATGCATTCGTATAGACTCAAACAGACACTGGTATTTCTTTTGGCGCAACTTTTTGGGCTATATGCATCATAGGCTTCCGACCCTTATGTCTTCACAATTCAACATCGATGTTGGATTTTGAATCAGGGAAAGCCTCTGATTTGTGTTCTAATGATCTAGTGATTTATTGACACGGGCAGTTAAGGGGTGATGTACCAGAACAACTTCCTAACACCTCTTTGGCAGCATACAAAGAGAATGTGAATCTAAGGATCATGACTCAAAAAGATTTCACTAATATATGTGGCATTATGTACTGGAGCAGTATGGAGTTTATCCGAAGAATTATTCAGGACATTCCTTCCGGCGTGGAGGTGCCTGTGGCGCATTCCTAGGGGGTGTACCAAGTTCTGACTAACACTCAAGGAGATTGGAAGTCTCATGCATGGGAGAGATATATTGACATTCCACTTGATTTTCATTGGTCAGTGGCTATCACCTGTTAGTTCCCAACTCCCCAAATTTCTTCATCACTACATTATTTATTATTTCTTTTCTCTCTTATGCGCTGAAATGTTATGTAAAGAAACCTAAATTTGTGTACATTATTAATGTAATTATTTGTTATGAACTGTAACATTAAGATTGTTTGTCATTTTAAATGCTTCTGAATAATAGGTGCTGATGATTTATTATATGTGATTTGGGCCGAAGAATCCGTAAGAGAGAAGTTAAGATTGTGTTGTATAACTTTTTTCAAAATGTTTGCTAAACAATCGTTGAATATCAATATTGACCCATGGTAATACCAGTGGCACTTTTCACTACAGGTGAGCACTAGTTTGTTTCCGTGTTTTCTATTCATGCTATAAATTGGAAACCACACTCACCTTAAGCATTTTTTGTCTTCGTGAATATTTTTCTGCTCATACAGTCCTCTATATTGAGTAGATACTGCAGTGGCCTGTCGAGTTAAAAGATTGTTTAGCATGGGATGGAAACTTCCTGGGACACGCAACACTGAAACAGAATGCGAAAAAAACTTACTTACAGTTTTTCATTCAGAGCAGGTACATTGTGATTGGACTAAAGGCATCATGTGACTAAATGGAATATCCCAGTCCCACATATAGGAGGGGCAAAGTTTAATAATATCAGAGAGATGAAGAACAGACACAGTGATCTCCCCATCATCCGACCAACTGGGTGATGCACTTAATTGAATACATGAAAACTTCATGTTACATGTACCCCTGTTAAGATATTTTTAACAGAACTGGTATAAACACCTTGTCGAGAAAATCCTAGGAAGCTCACTTAAACCTAAAAACTATGTCACATATCATTTGAGATGAAAGCAGGTATCTTTTTACTATTACTTCATCTAGAAAAGTTGTTGAACTTTATTTCGCCAAGGTCATGAAACTTTGCTCACAAAAACAACCAATGTAAATGGAGATTTATTAGAAAACACAAGGTATGTAATATAATTCTGTTCTTAAATAGCGACAAAAAGTACAAGTGACAACTAATGAATACATAAGTGGCTATATTTCCTATGCAAGGCTGGAAAAGGCATCAGCCTTGGACAGTATCTTCTCACCATAGCCATATCCCATAAAAATACAGTGGACGCATATAAAAAGACTTAGTTAGACTTCAGTTAGAATTAAGAAAAAAATTAGGAAATTTCAAGTTGCAGATTCCAGGAAAACAGAACTTAGAAGCTTAGAAACTGCCCCATAAGATTTTCATTTTGGCATCCCAAAATAACATTGTTCTAATTGTTCTTTGGAAGTTGGACCTTAGACATTGTGCTGTACCTAATCCAAGGAAGCTATATGTCCAAATACAAGTGCCAAACTGGGAAATACCTAAATAGATGATGCAGGCCTGTCAACTTGGGAACACCTAACATGAGTGACTTGGAAATGTTGGGAGGTAGATACGAAAAATTTCGAACGGAATGCGTGACATATACGTAATTCGCGTGAAAAGTCCGAACGAAATGCGTACATTTTTTTTCCGGCGTTCGTATTTTTGCTGTGTAGACTATCTTTTTTAGAAATTTTTCTACAGAAATATTTTTGCTTGACAATTACCAGGTAAAATGCGTATTTGTGTGACATTTTCTGTCACGCAAAAATAACTGGCGTGACTTCAAATTCTTCAGCAAATGCGTGACAAATACGCAAAATGCGGGATAGTTGACAGGCCTGATGATGGAACTAGGCCTAAAAAATATATGCCTAAAAATCCACAGATCGGGAGCCAGATCCACCCCCTATTGGTAGTAGGCTCAAAGGATATATGAGAAGATGAGACTCGAGCCAAAAATGGTACATCAAAAAAATGACCACCCAAAAATATGACCCTCGTACTGAACTTTATTTTTTCCATCTGTCAGACATAGATTGATCAATATTTACCCTGTAATCTCTTCTTTATGTATTAGTTTGAATGGTTGCATGATATCCATTATTGACGCTATAATTCTAATTTTCCTGGGACATTTATTTCAAATTTTCAGAGCATAAAGATAATGGAGTGCTTCGGTAATTTCCAGCTGTGTCCAAAGTTGTTCGTCTCTCAAATTATGTCACATCGAAGGATCCCGTAGCCTAACAAACCGTTGTGACGCCATCCGGAATGGCATCACATTCTCAGAAAAGGCATTTGACTTTGGGAATGAACATTTGAACAACGGAAATAGTCGAAGCACTCCATTAAATATACGCTCGCTTATTTTGCGCTTTTATCAACAGACGCTTTCTTGGATGTGTGGCTTTAGTGATTGGAGTTGAAGCTAACAACAATACGCATCGTTAGACACATGATATTTATTGATAAACTGACTCAAAAATCAAGGGAAAATAAATTTTACGAAGATCTCGTGTCTTGTCCTTGAGTATATTGAGCCTAGACACAGAGGATGTAATCTGGCAGAGGTCCGTGTAAAAATCACTAGATCTAGATTCTAAAGAATTTTTGCCCTACTTTGTCCCTATAATTGAGTTTAGATATGGCAAATGAATATTTTTCCTTTCGAAATATAAGATAAATTTATTTCGAATAATCTTAAAATGCTGTTGACAGTGAACACAGAAAGTGTGCGGATATATTGACATATTTTACAGAAATCTAAATATTTTACTCACAAACTTTGGCAGCCATTTTGGAAGTTTCATAAACTGTGACCGGTTCGTATTTGATTTTCAAGAAAATTCAAAGGGTTAAAAATAAATAGTAAACAAGAGGCACTCATAGGAAATAATGAACTTCACAAGTGAAATTCTAGTTTCCTCAACCATAAAGATAAGTAACGTAGATAAAAGAAATCCATGCCAAGTAAAGCCCGGATTAAAGCATTAAATCCCTCTGTTATCTGATTGGTTATCATGCATGAACCTAAATGGCTGCCTTCAAGGCCCACGTGGGCAATAGTGGGGCAATAGTATACATGTATATGTATATCTTTATGACTTATTTAAAGGGGAGCACCAGCATGGTCACATGATCAGTCGTGTGGAGGTAAGCTCCCAGTTGAAATAAAAGCACTCTCCTCCTTTGGTTTATGTGAAAAGTAGCTAATACCCTCATATATTAGTCAGTTTGTGTGTCACACGACTAATCCACACCATATGCTTCATTCAACATATTTTATGCTGTTAAGCTGCATATATAAACAGTACTTTGCAGTAAACGTACTACTGGATGAACTAAGGTCATACAGTATACTTACCCCTTGCAAATTGTAATTTATTGAATTCACAGTAAACTCATCAATTTTTAAGAAAACAAAGAATATTGTTCTCATGGATCTATTACTTATGTTAAACTAACTATGAAAATATAAATATGAAATAATATGTTAGCTTGAAGTCATATATAAGATGAAAATATATGTTCATGCATTTGCATAATTATCATTAAACGGTATCCCTTATAAATTTCAGATTTGGCAAATGTTACTGTTAATCCCCTTGAAAACTGTTATAATGGAATAAAAAGATTAATATCCCTCAGCAAAATGAAATATTGCTTTAAAATTGTATTAGATGTGGCTTACATATACATACCATATTAACATCAAAGAATATTATTCTGTATTTTGTTTTTTTCTGATGTTGCCCAATGTGCTCGCTCAACATTGACTGTGGCAAGGCAATAGTAAAGCTATGGGTCATCTTTATAACAAAAATGAAATATTTTTTAATTAATTTTTATGTGTGTCATTGATCCTAATCCGATTCCACCCTGTAGTCTGGTGTTTGTAGAGCATTGCACCTCGTACAACTTATTCTCACAAATATCAAACCTCATTTACTAATTAATTTTTTGTGTGAATATGAAGAGTCCAAGCATTGCTTTTTTATGTTTATTGTATAGCTATATTTAGCCTTGATATCCATGATTTTTTAAAACAAAATCTCACCGTTAGATTTCGAGCTATTCATGTTTACTCATTTTTCTAATTGGAAAACAATGCAAATCTCATTTTTTCAAAGGAAAAAAATTGAAATTCTAAGACGGTGAAAAATCATTAAAAAATACACAGATTCAGAATCCGTTAAGCATTTTCCCATATTCCTCTCCGTTAAGAAGTTTTGTAAGGTGGTGGGTTTCTTTAAAGGGAAAACAAGGACTGTAGACAGAAAATTCAAAACATTTTATTTTTTCTGAGCTATCAGGTCAATATTTGACTCAACACCTTCTTTGACATACTTATTTTCTTAAAATGTATGTATAAACTATCAATTTCAGCATTAAGAAGTGTTAATTCAGTTCAAAGCTTCTATAAAGGGAGTCCCACTTATAGATTTTTGAGATCGACCACGTTTCAAGAGGAATATCAGTTCATCCAGGGGGTTTCTTTGTAGACAATGAAAATATATGTTAGTCTTGATGAAATATCCAAACTTAAATATATTTTGACACTGGTCGCTGATCATTGAATGGCTCCCCTGCACTAATTGTAGCACCTTTAAGCAAAAACATTTTGTCTGTTGCCATTCAAAAATATGATACATCATGTAAGATATTCTATAAAAAATAATAATGGGACATCATTGATTCCCGGGAGAGAAACCTATGATATCATACTGCCTCTTTAAATGTAGAAAATCAAGAAACATCAATGTCCCAGAAAAGCCCCAAATTTGCATACTGACGTCACATACAATTCAGTGCCGTGTGCAAAATCCAATATATGAAATTGAAATAAGTCATGCTCTCAGTACAAGCATGAAAAGATGGCGGATATTAGTGAGCTGAAGGTACTGTACAATTTTATGTTTACAAGATAATTTATCAACTTTCAAAATAGTTTAGGTAAAGTTAATGTTAAAGTATAGTTATTGTCGATAAACATCTGCAATAAAACTACCATAGGCTAATTGATTTCATGAAAAGGTCAACTTTCTCTTCGTAAAAATTTCCGCGTAAATTCGAAACAAGAAAATTGAACAAGGAAAATTTCCAAATGTTTATTTGAGTGCTATTTGGCCATGTTGACAGTCTTGTTCAAATAACCATTTGTAAATCAAATCATTTCATATACAGGTTTTATATTTCTTTTTCTAAATCAGGTAAATTTTGGAATAAATGAGATCTGCTTAGTTTTTAGACGAATTAACCCTTTCCAACCCCATTGCTCTACCCTGTGTATGACAGTATGACAGCCTGCTGAGTAACACTATTAGACCTAGCCTTGGGCCTCGTTTCTTATCTGACATGTCTTATGGCCCCGGCTAGGCAGCCCTGTCAACTGAAAGCATCTTATCCCGTGCCATGACTATAGTCCTGAGAACGTCTCAATCTTTTGCCTGTACGATTACAACATGCAGGCCTGTCAACTGTCCCGCAATTTGCGTATTTGTCACGCATTTGCTGAAGAATTTGAAGTCACGCCAGTTATTTTTGCGTGACAGAAAATGTCACGCAAATACGCATTTTACCTGTTAATTGTCAAGCAAAAATATTTCTGTAGAAAATTTTCTAAAAAAGATCGACTACACAGCAAAAATACGAACGACGGGGAAAAAACGTACGCATTTCGTTCGGACTTTTCACGCGAATTATGGATATGTCACGCATTCCGTTCGAAATTTTTCGTACCTACCCCCCCCCCCCCCCGTTGATGGATGTTTGAAACGCGAGCGTAGCGAGCGCGAAAAATTTCAGGTGTTCAATATTTGGCAAGATGTAATAAAATTTAAACCAAGGTGTTCAAAATTTGGATCAAGGTGTTCAGATTTGGACCAAGGTGTCCACATTTCGAGGGGAGGTGTTCAACATTTCCAAGTCACTCATGTTAGGTGTTCCCAAGTTGACAGGCCTGAACATGGGATAATTTTCTACACCTCTTACACTTAGATACCTACTTCAATAGATGCCTTGGTATTTTTGCATTCTTTTCGTGAAGTTGAATCTACAATTATCTGGGTTTATCGGCATAACGAAGAAACGTACGTCTTTGATCGCAATATTTGCGTGTAATATTTAACTTATTTCAACCGTAAAATTCCTCCATTTATTGGTACTTCCGGGCCACTTACAGGCCAGCCAAATGGGAATCCCCTTTTTTTAATCCAACTGCCATCTTGAAAAGTGATGGAATCTCTCTCGATGAAAAAGAAAAATGTGGAATTTACCTATAGATCCCGGCAAGATTATTTTGTAGTAGAATCAGTAGCTCAATTAACATTCCTCAAGATGAGACACCTCAGAAAATTTCAAATTTTAAAATGACGATTGTGGAGCCATTTCTGAAGAATATGAGACAAATCATACCTCATTTGAAGAGTCTTGTTATTCTTTATCTTTTTTATCACCAATGACCGTTATTCAAGCAATATTGCGTTGATAAGAGACCAAAACAGTGATATTGTATCGCTGGATTCTTATCTGTCCAAATCTGAATGGTGCTCCCGTGGTTCCAAAAATGTGACGTCATCAGTACAATGATATTTCGCTCATACGAGCATTCCGTGATTCCGCGTCGCCGCAGAAAAAACGCAGAAATTTGCATTTTCATTTTTTTGCAGAATTTTTGTTTTGGCTCTGAATTTCGCGGAAAACATGATTTTTCCAGTCAACCATCTCATCTCATATTTGTCACTCACCTAAACACCCTAAGACTCCGCTCGTTTGTTGTCAGATACTTGTGTTTTGTCAGATTTTCAAGAGGAAATCTGAAATCTGTTTTAAATTTTCGAACTTCCACCTTTGCACTTAGAGGTAAGACTGTGTCTGACATAATCACGAAATTTGAAACCAATGACTGTCCCTCGTAATTGCTTTGCTGTAATGTCTAATATTGTATTCTATTGTATTCTAAAGCAATAAATCATGCTTCTTCTTGCATTTTACTTAGTCATATATAAATAGACGACATCTGACTTCCCTGCATATTGATCTGGAATTTCGTGATAGTTCACAAGTGAGCATTTGGTAAGTTTTGTCGCTAATCTGGCATTTTTAAAAAAATGGATAGATTTGTGAAGTGAGCTGAGCCAAATATATCACATCTTGGCGCGCATACTGCCCAAGAACTGGAGAAAATTATTGATATCAGTGTCACATAGCTTCAATTTCTCTATCGGCAGTACAGTGAAACTTGTACTGAGAACAAGTTCCACCTATCATACTAGAGACTCTTATATAAAAAAAAGAAAGAAGACCATTCGCTTAGAAAATTTAGCAAATTTTTTTGCCATTTCATGTTATTTACAAAAGAACAAATGCAAAATCATAGTGCAGATATGTTTAAATGAAGGAGAGATTGCATCTTATTAACTATGAAGCCCAGTGCTACCTTCATGGTACTTACGTAATACAGTGATACACTAATTCAAGCCCCAATAGTCTCTTTTATAAGTGTTTAACAAAAGGGATGTTAGATTGGAGTGATGAATTTGAAGGTTGGAATAAAATAGAAAAACTACATACATGGTGAAAGCCTAATTTTTCAGCAATAAAAATGGCTTATATATCGAAATGGGGCGAATGTTTTAGATGTCACTCATGGGAAAATGGAAGACTTGACTAGTACATTTATATTGACACATTTGACATTTTAAAAGTTAAACCATTTGAAATTGCCTGGAGGATTACAAATGAGAGACTGATGTGTTGACAGAAAGACGGACAGACAGACAGACTGATGGCGGACAAGTGGGTGATTATAATTGCTCACACCATATGAGCTAATAAAAATTACGATAAAACGAAAATGAAATTTACACTGTAAGTGCGATTTACACAGTGTACACACAGATAAGTGAAATGAAGTCACACACTTGAATTAAACAAAATGAAAATACATGTACATAAGTCCTGATATAGACTGAGACAGAAGTAAATGTACCACAGTACAGATAGATTTAGATGATTAATTTGAGGTGGGAGATCTAACATCATTGTTCCACCTTAACAAAGAATTTAAGCCCAAGCTCCTATCGATTATTTAGAGATTTAAGCCCTGGACTCAGTGCAATGTGGAATGGCCATTCCTTGAAGATGTTGCTTTCCAAAATTTGCAAGAGATGTAGAGTATCGAGTGTTGATTTAAGGAAACAACACAGGCATCGTTTCCTAAATCCACGTTGTAGCATGGCAGAAACTTGAATATTTATCAGTTCTCGTTGATCAATTTCTATATAAATACAAATGAAAATATGTCTAGTAAAACAAAATATTATCTGTCCAATAAAATAAATTTTCCTTTTTGTGATTTTATAACATGGGCTCTATGGGGAATCTCCCAACCTAGAAGTCACACTTTCAAGGAAAATTAATTATATTTTCAAAGTTGATAAACAATTTTGAAACCACATTTCTAGATGTAATTCATATGTAGATTTCAAATATGATCACTTTGTCTGAATTTTGAATGTTTAATGGTGTAAATCAAGGTTATTTTTACTCCCATCTTGTCCATTGAGTGAGTCTTTAGGAAGTTCATTGCTGAGTGACTGAGTCCTATTAGATCATCAAGGGGGACTAGGTCCATGGGACTCTTTAGTACTCCATAGTCCATGGGCTGTGTTCAGAGATCACAATAGTTGAAAAAACTTGTTAGCCATTGTGGCTAATTCTTCCAAAAAATTTTTAGCCAACCAAAATATGAATTAGCTACTTTGACCGAAAAAAATTAAATACTTCTAATGACTGTTTTCCTTTTAAAAATGGAATAAAATACTAGGAATACCAAATTTGGTTGAAACCAGCTATACTGTTAAGCTGCTATACATGTGTTAATATTTTACAATGAAAATTATTGATATTTTTCAATCAGTCTGTTAACTTCCTCCTCATTGTCTGAAAAGTCTGAGTCTAGACCACTGTCCACATCTGTCCACTGTCCACTGTCAGGACTGTCCTGTTCAGTGGGACCTGCAGCTTCATAATCCATTTGATCAACCTCAGGTGCTACCCTGGAGTGAATATACAGATACATGATGACGCGCCACAATACTGATAGAGTTCTACTGTGAAATAGCATAGTGTGTAAAATTAATAAATGTCGCGTCATGAGTGACCAGAAATCTACTTTTCCGAAAAAGTTTTCTGAAAAGTCATTCAAATTCAACATTTATGAAGTTGTTTGGTGAGTAAACCGTAAACTGCGAAATACCTTTATATATTTTTCGCCACCTCTTTCGAAAATTCGCGATTGGCGAACGTCTACCGTGATCTCTGTTGTGTTAGATAATAGATACTGACCTAATGGTAATACATTATATAGGCTTTTCAACTAGGTGCTGGAATCTTCAGGCCTATTTATAGGGTGGCTCCAACTCAGTTTAGTTATGATGGAAGTTCATCATCAACATCAGTGAACTAAAACCCAAAATGAGCCATATTATTCTAGCCTAATTTTTTAGTCTGTTTTTGTTTATTTTCAGCATATGGTTATGAGCTTCAGAGTATCTGAGCTCCAAGTTTTGCTCGGATTTGCTGGAAGAAACAAAACAGGCAAGAAACAAGAACTCCTACAGAGGGCGCTGCAGCTAGTCCAGAAAGGTTGCTCAACTCCTGTACAGATTAAAATTAGAGAACTTTATAGGTAGGTTTCAAGGATTTTTTAGCAGGACATGTGTGTCTTTATTTGTGAAGAAAGACATGTACCAAGTTGTTGGATCAAAATGCAAATTCAAAACCATGCAAACAAGTTCTTTTGACAGATTTACTAACTACAGGTTATTTTGAAACTGCCATTTGTTTAAAAATCCAAGATTGTTAGCTTTCTGATTTCTACTATAATAGTTTCTGGAGTAACAATATGATGAAAACTAGAACTTCTATCAGTACAAGATTCTTGATCAGAATAGAATATTTTTTGTCGCGCTTATGGTATATTTTTTTTCATCCTAGTATTATATTATTATGGAGCTGGCATGTAACAGTTCTAATGAATTATGCATTACCATGATAATTAGTAATGTTATATTATGAACTCTTATACTGAATCATACCAATTTGCCATAATGTGTTCTCTGTTATATGAAGCGATATATTCACACCGAAATAGCCTGACTACGGTAAAGTCAGATACCATTTTCACAAATGGAGGACATAACCGTCGCTTCAATGAACTGTATGTTCAATAGGGCACCTAAACTAGATTCCTTTGGAACAACAATCAATCAAAGTGAGTGTCTTTATACTCATTGTATCTGACTTAACCGATGTCAGGCTATTCCAGGGTGATATTTGTGATTTCATAAAAAGAGAAGGGATGACAAATCTGTATGCAGAAAAATCCTTTATATTTTATCTGCATACATATTTGTATGTGATTCTTTCTCACTTCCCTCTTAAACTTCTTCAATTCCTGTTTTTTCATATTACATCAACTATAATTTTAACCCTATATAGATCGTGCAAAGTCTGGAGGTGAGGATCTTTTTGTGTCTTCTTAATTTTTAACGTTAATTTATTTTGTTAATTTGAGTATTATAATGTTAACTAGTTCATTTTAAAGTTTAAGCCTTAGTCACATTGCTCTTCGGTGGGTGTAATGGGGGCCATAGCATCCCAAAATTGATATAGAAAATTTACATCATACTTCTTTTACGCAGCATACTTCTCTCGTTTTTGGGCAGCTATGGCCGCTGTACCGTTGCCATAGATCAAATGTGACTGAGGCATTAGTTGAATGAGTTTTGTTGAAGAAAACATGTTTTGTTGAAGAAAACATGTTTTGTTGTCTTTCTTCAAAAACTACATTAAATTTGAGTCATTCACAATTTGGTAAAATTCAAATGTGTGCAAAGAAGTGAACATTATATTGGGCCAACCTTTGTTCAGTTGCTCAGCCCTTAGCATTGACACCTTTATTATATTAAGGCATAGAACTTGTAATGCAAAAAATAAAAAATAATCTTTAAGGTAAGGAGCACTAAATGAAATGCAGTTTACATTTGAATGTGTCTGTTTTTTCTGATTTTCTCAAAATCATGCACGCACAGGGACGCAAAGCAGAAAATCAACTTCTTATGGCCTTTGTGAAGATTGCTCTTAAAGCTACTTGAAGTCAAACATGATTTATGTTCAATATCTAGAAATGAATTTGATGGCTAATAAAATGTATTTGGAGACCATTGACTTTGCTAAAAAGGAAGTAGTTTTTCTCAGTATTTTAAAAGTGTTTTGATTTTTAAGATTTTGTGTCTCCTGAAGTTATCAAAAATGGGACAGCACATCAAGACTTTAATTTAAACAAAAACGTCATTCTTTGAAATAAAGTATATTTTTGTTTGTCAGTTTAGAGTTTGAAATATTTTTTTTCAGATTGGAAGCTGTGGATAGCTTCCTAACATATATTTGTGGCCTTTGTAGTAGGTCATTATTTTTGGCTCACCCAGTAAGTTGCCTTTAAGGGAATACAGTTGATCATTTGGACATTGCTTCTTACTAGGGCATCATATGGCCAATTGCCCCATGTTTTAAAAATACAATAATTGGGAGAAACATGTTCTTTTTTTTTGGGGGGGGGCAGGGTTTCTCTTGCTGTTTATGTTTGAGGTTTCCCTAAGCGGGCCAAGAAAAACTGTTCTTAGATGTAGACTGATATCTGGCTTGGTTCTTTACAAGATTACCGAAGTCAAATCTGACAAAAGTTGTGATGAAAATACAATGTCTATGTGGAATTTTATCCCATATCTGTTAATATTAGAAGTCCTGGTTCATGCATATTTGTTTGACCTCAAAAGCTGGAAAAATGCCAAATAATTAAGCAAGGGCATATGAAGGTTGCAGCATTAACCCTTTAATAGCCTGATAATTCTACCTGCAATATTACTCCTGCGTCATTGCCAATTATTGCCTCGATTACGGACAGATTCTACAGACATTACAAAAGAATAATTCCTTTACTTGCGGCTATTTGGATTTTTTGTTGCAGAATACTCAATAAATGAAAAATATTGTGTCGGTCGTATCTTTATACCTTTCCAATGGTTAACATAGCTATATATAGCCTCACAGGCACATCAGGCAAGGTATTGATTATTTTATATTAACCCTCTCCAGACTGTGGTAACAGAAATAAAATATTTATAGAATCGCATTCAATTTTGTATCAGTAACTTAGGGTTAACTCAGAAAGTATTGATTTATGTCTTATCCATATAATGAGATTGTATCCTGTGGCGAAGCTTGTTATACACGAGGGCTGTCAAGTTTCATCCCATGCATATCCTGGATAAAATCACATTTGCAAATCGATGATGCGACACACACTTCAATGTGGAGTGTATCCATCTATTGATGTTGAAAAATATCCTCTATTCACATATAGCTAGGCAAGGTGTGTCCCATTCCTGTCAATCCAAACATAATATTTCATATAACTGCACTGCATTATATAACTAACAAACCGCCCAAGGTCACTTGTTGAACGGTTGTCAAGGTGACAACATGACTCAACAGAATGAAATTGATACTTTGCCAACTTGACTCTTGTAAAAAGTTTCATTGAAAATATGTTATTTTTGTGATTTCACATTTTTTCCTTGAAAATATTTTGCCTTAAGTAAAATAATTAATGATTTTGTATAGTTGGTCAAATTTCTTAATTTTGTTTTCAGATAATAAGATAAGGAGTGTAAGCGCAACTTATAACACTATCTTATTCATAGATATGGAATTTTGCCCATATTTATTCTAAATAATATGTAATTTGGCAGAACATGTAGAAAATGTTGTTTTATTGGATCGGGTCCAAATTGTATGATATCAGACATGTTTATGTATTCCCTTATCTACATGTACATGTACATCATCTTATATGTATATAATAAATTTAAACCACGTGGCAGTTATATAAATATATCAACGATTCTTATATTTGATATATTTTATCCGTTTTGATAGGCAAAGACACATGTGTTTCAGTTATACTTAATGAGCCAAATGTTTAAGATATAAATAGCACCTCCTCTCCATTTTACTAAATCAAAGTTAAACTAAATAAAGAATTTAATCAGTTTTATATATGATACTTGTCGCATCTTTATGGCTAAAAATAATATCATGGGATGTCATGCCGTCTCTGTTGTAATATATCTTTAATACAGTAAAACCTATTTAAGTGAACACCTCTCTCTCTCTCTCTCTCTCTCTAGTGAACACCTGTCTCTAGTGGACACCTGTCTCTAGTGGGCACCTTTCCTCTGCATTTACTCAACTGACTTCTGTATAAATCACCCTGTCTGTAGTGAACAACTACCAACAGTTAACACATTTTTTTGGGCTCCCCAGCCACTCCCACTCTTCACTAAACACAGGTTTTACTGAATATTCAATTTATTTGCAGACGTTTCCCAAGCAAGACCAGTACCGCTCATACCTCTCCAGTAAAAGCCCCGCACAATCGTCAACCAAACACTCTACAAGATGCCTTAGGTAAGTACATGTGAAAATGTTGTTTTCAAATATTGAAAGTCAAATAAACAAGGAATAAAGTAAAAAGAACTTGCAGGCCATATATGGTATTATAATTGTGTAAGTATGAGAGGTGCATTTCCAGTGTGGGATCAATCCCATGAAATTGATAATTGTCTATATTTTTTTACTTCTCTGGATTTAGCAAAATTTTGTCCAGTGTTTAGTTAGGTGTTCAGGCAACATTTAGTACTAATGACAGCATTGAATAACCATTGGGGGCACCCTTAAGAGAGTCCTGGATATTCTGCTGATCAATTTAGAAATATTACAAGTCTCTGGAGTCACATGTTAGACATTGTCATATTTTATCGTGATTTACACCTACAGATCCCTTCGTAATTAAGTTCATTTTTCTGATTTATTTTTCCTTGTGCAAGGCAACGTGGCTATGATGACAGTATGCCTCGTATGTCATTATATCATCTCACATGTTTCCTCACGCTGATATTTGGAACATTTATGTAAATCATTGTATAACTGTATATGTTTCATGTTACCAGTGCCCCTCTATAACTAATTCTCCTTCACGTTTCATTTTGTGTGAATAAACCTCAAATTAATAGAGAAAGTAATATTTATGATGCCATAATTTAGATCTCTAAGAAATGACACATATGTACACGCGGTACTAACTTCGACCGTTAATTTGAATTTTTGACCTACGGGATGCTTGAAAATCAAGGATTGCGAGTCTCATACTGCACCGTTTTTCTTCAAACTTATACCATTAAAAGCAAAACAAAATTGCCTTTCTGTCGGTGCATTGCTTTATTGTAAAGAATCCCTCGTTTTGGTCCCCAGCTGTTAGAAGGCCTTCTTACAGCTGGGGACCAAAATGCCGCTGGAAGTAGGGACTCTGTTTAAGAGAATAATGTACCATCAGAAAGGGATTTTTGTTATGCTTTGAATGGAACAAGTTTGAAGAAAAACGGTGCAGTATGAGACTCGTAATCCTTGTTTTCAAACATCCGGTAAGTCAAAAATTCAAATAAATGGTCGAAGTTAGGACCGCGTGATGTAACTGTATTGTAATTACATGTACTTTGATCTTGTATTATCGGACTTTGAAAAAGTGTTATATTGTCATTGTCTAGTGCTGATGTGCGTACAGGCAGGCGCTTCATGAATCAATCAGTTCTTGTCATCGTAATAACTTGAAAACCACTAACTTGATGAGCTTTAAATTTTTACAGATGCAAGAGCAGATTAGTACTAAAATCTGACTAGGCTTGGGCATGCTGGGTAAATTACTTGGAGGCCATTTTGAATTTTTTCCAAAAATCTTGTCATCAAATTCCAGGAAAATCAATTATCCGTTCAAATTGAAATTTTTACAAATGCAAGAGCAGACTTGTGCCAAGCTCTGATTATGTTTAAGGCATGCTTGATACTTGGTGGCCATTTTGAATTTTTCCATAGATCTTATCATCAAAATTCAAGGAAAACTACTTATCTATTCAAATTTGAAATTTTTACAGATGCAAGAGCAAACTAGTGCCAAGATCTGAAACTTGCTTCTAACTGACCAAATCATCTAAAAGTTTTCAGGAGTTCAAATCTCACCTTAGATTTCAGATTTGACCTTCACTGACCTTTGACATGCTGGCTTAATTACATGGTTACTTGTTTTTCGATGAAATAAAATAATTTAAAGAATTATCCTATTTTCTAACAGGAAGTCCACTAGATTACAGTAAAGGTGCAGTGGCGCCCTCTAGTCAAGTCCCCGTTCACCCAGATGTCAACTTTAGACCACTTGCATTCTATGACAAACTAGGAGAACTGCTGAAGCCTTCAAGTCTTGGTAAGTCGCACTATGTTATAATATCTTAATGAATATCTGTATTATATTTCAATGTCACCCATTACTTAGGGCCAGTAGATGAGCAAGAGGGGCATGGGCATCAGTTATATACAGTTAAACCTGACCAATGGAATACCTGGAGTAGTAAAGTACACCAGTAATATAAATGTAACACTGTGGAATAATATAAATGTAACCCTGTGGAATAATATAAATGTAACACTGTGGAATGATATAAATGTAACACTGTGGAACACTATTTTGAAGTACTAAGGCGTTCAATTAAACTGAGATTTTACTGATAAAGCAATTGAAATATCACTCTCTCTCTTGAAATGCTATCTTCTCTTAACAACTGAAATATTTCGAGAAAAATATCTTTTGATGTTGAACATGTTTGAACAGTTTGCCCATCTGAATATTTTTTTGTTGGATTGTTTGCCTAAATATATTTAATTCTTAGTGATTTCATTCATTATTTTCTGTGAAATTCTACCACCATGTCTTGATATTTCTGAAAAAGCATGGGATAGACTAGATAAAAGTAGAAATAAACTTGATTTTTATAATTATCGCACTTTGAAAAAGTGCTATATTGTCGTCGTTTTGTGCTGTTGGGCGGGCATTTGGGCGTGCGGGCGGGCGGGCGGGACATAAACCAAATCTTGTCATCAAATTTCCAGGATAACTGCTTACCTGTTCAACTTGAAATTTTTACAGATGCAAGAGCAGACTAGTACCAAGATCTGATTAGGTTTAGGGCATGCTGGGTAAACTATGTGGCGGCCATTTTGAATTTTTCAACAAATCTTGTCATCAAAATTCCAGGAAAACCACTTATCCGTTCAACTTGAAATTTTTACAGATGCAAGAGCAGACTATTGCCAAGATCTGATTAGGTTTTGGGTATGCTGGCTGAATTACATGGTGGCCATTTTTAATTTTTTAATTTGGTGGCCATTTTGAATTTTTCAACTTGCTCCAAATTGACCAAATTATTTTTTTAAAAACATCTACAAGTTCTCAGAAGTTCAAATCTGACCTTAGATTTCAGATTTGACCTTTCATTCACCTTCAGTGACCTTGAAAAGGTCAAAAAAGTTGATTTTCTAAATTGATATTTTGGATTTAAATTTAGGTCAGCTTAATTACAAAACACCTACTGAGGTCTGAAAAAGTGAAATTTTCAAGGTCGAAAGTCAAGGTCATTTAACTAGGTCACAAATGATGTTATCCAAGTTTCTCAAAGTTTGAGACTACAAATCAATTCTTGTCATCAAAATTCCAAGAAAACCGCTAACCTGTTCAACTTGAAATTTTTACACATGCAATAGCAGACTAGTGCCAAGATCTGATTAGGTTAAGGGCATGCTGGGTAAACTACGTGGTGGCCATTTTGAATTTTTCAACAAATCTTGTCATCAAAATTCCAGGAAAACCACTTATCAGTTCAACTTGAAATTTTTACAGATGCAAGAACAGACTATTGCCAAGATCTGATTTGGTTTTGGGTATGCTGGCTGAATTACATGGTGGCCATTTTGAATTTCTCAATTTGGCGGCCATTTTGAATTTTTCAACTTGCTCCAAATTGACCCAATTTTTCTTTTAAAAACATCTACAAGTTCTCAGAAGTTCAAATCCGACCTTAGATTTCAGATTTGACCTTTCGTTGACCTTCAGTGGCCTTGAAATCTAAATTGATATTTTGGATTTAAATTTAGGTCAGCTAATTACAAAAGACCTACTGAGGTCTGAAAAAGTGAAATTTTCAAGGTCGAAGGTCATCAAATTAGGTCACAAACAATGTTATCTAAATTTTCCCAAAGTTCAAGACTACAAATAAATTCTTGTCATCAAAATTGCAGGAAAACCGCTAACCTTGTCAACTTGAAATGTTTACAGATGCAAGAGCAGACTAGTGCCAAGGTCTGATTAGGTTTTGGCCATGCTGGGTAAATTGCATGGTGGCCAGTTTGCTCTTCAAAGTGCGATATTTATCACTGTGTGTCTTGTTAAATACTAATTTGTTTCTTTGAAAATGCATATTATGTTGTCTCTATTATTGTAACATTATAGTGTAATTGAATATAAAGATTACAAAGAACTGATACATTAGATAAAAATCGCTGTATTCTAATGGCTAATTAGTCACAAATGTTCATATTTTCTCTCTGTTTCATTTTTAAATGCAGCTGTATATTGGAATATTACATTCCGGAGTTATAGAGGATATCCTATGATTTTTGAGGGATACCATTTTTATCCATGAGTGGATATCGCTCATCTCCATGAGTGAGCGCAGCGAATGAGTGGAGATCGGCGATATCCAAGAGTGGATAAAATTATAGCTGAGAAAATCATTGGATATCATATTTATCCGATGGTCGCTATTTTTGAATGGACTTCAAATAATTTGACCTAAAGTTGTTGTTTTCTAATTCTATTCTATTTTTTCATTTTTATTTTCTGTGACCTTATTTCTATAAAGTGATTGCATGAAAAAATGTAACTCATATTTACCGAGCATATAACCTTGGAACTTTTCAATTTTTCCCCAAATATTTTTTAATTTTTTTCATTCCTATAATTTTATTTTCAATTTTTTTTCAGATTAATTTTCAATTTTTTTTCAAAATATTTTTTGAAATAGTATCCGTCAGATACGATATCACGTCATATGGATCGGATACGATTTTAGTGGCGTATACGAAAATTATCTTGTGTTGGTATCCCCATATATATTTAGTATCCATCGGATAAAAACTATTATGCTGGTTTATATATTATATTACTTATAATATATGTTTCTTATAATATCAGTCAAAAATATTAAACATTATAAAATGCATATACAAGGAAAATGGTGTCACTGAGAAATTGTGAAATCCTTGGTTTCTGTTGATACTTTCAGCTTAGGTGATATTATTACAAAAGTAATCATAATTCTGACATTTTTATATCAACACAGGGTCATATATCAGAAATCATTAGTTGTTTAGTTTTTTTTTAATTTCATGATTTGATACAGAATTACATGTATTAAGATGTTGACGATGAAATGAGTGCATTTTTCAGAACTTGATATCATCTTTGATATATGAGTAAAATATTTATATCTAGCTAAAACCACTGCGACTGAATTCCCCACCCACATATATCAGACTCAAACACTCACCCACACAGTTGTACTTTGCAGTCTTGCTCATTCCTCCATGCTATATGCCTATGCCTCAGTTAGAAGAACTGTTTATTATCCCATCGAACGAAGTTCGGAGGGATATAGGGAACACCTCCATCCGTACGTACGTCCGTCCATCCGTCCGTACATATATCCGTCCGTCTGTCCGTCCGGGCAATAACTCAAATACCGTTGGCCCGATTTTGTTCATATTTTGTACGCATATACCTTATGGAGGTAGAAGTTCTGCTCGAAAGCCAATTTTCAAAATGGCCACTCATTTCAAAATGGCGGCCATTTTAGTGCCGATTTTACAGTAATTTAGGTGCAATATGTAAAACTGTTATAGCAATATGTTTTAAATGTAAAAAAATTATAAAGGACATTAATAATGCTACAAATGTAGATATTAAAGAAGCACATGGCAGCCATCTTGAAAAATGGTGGCCTTTACTCGTCTTTTTACGATTTTTGCTATAACTCAAAAAATAGTAGAGCGATTTTGTTCATATTTGGTATGTGAATACTATAAGCATTGTACATTGTCTTAAGACACTTTTGGTAGAAGGCGGCCATTTTGAAAAATGGCCGCCATTTTAATGTATTTTACTATAACTCGAAAAGTAGTGGAGCAGTTTTTTCATATTTGGTATGTGAATACTATAAGCATGGCACACTGTCCTATGACACTTTTGGTAGAAGGCGGCCATTTTGAAAAGAATTTTGAAAAATGTTCGACATTTTAACGTATTTTACTATTATTATCGAAAAGTAGTGGAGCAATTTTGTTCATATTTGGTATGTGAATACTATAAGCATGGCACACTTGTCTATTTCTAATGACATTTTTGGTAGAAGGTGGCCATTTTGAAAAATGGCCGCCATTTTAACGTATTTTACTATAACTCAAAAAGTAGTATAGCGATTTTGTTCATATTTGATATGTGAATACTTTAAGAATGGCACATTTTCTAATAAAACTTTGGGGAGTAGTCGGCCATTTTGAAAAATGGCCACCATTTTTATGTGTGTTATTTTACAAGTACGTGTGCGATTTTTCAAAAATTTTAGAGGTGGCTACTGAAAAGCATATTATTTCTTCTGATGACAACTTGGCTAGTGAGCAACCATTTTGAAAATGGTGGCCTTTCTTATGTGTGTTGTTTTATGATATTTGCTATTCGTTTGTAAAAATGCCAGCCATTTCTGTTCGATGGGATTCGCTACACTTTGGCGTTGCCGTTGTTCTGGTTAGAACTAACAGTATGGCCATATAAAACCTAGATCCTTAATCCAATGTGTTGATTTTACCAAAGCTACAATCTTCAGAACAAAAATTAGCAGTTGATAATTGTGTAGGTTTTCATTAACACTATACATTTATTGGAATAAATAATTATACCAATGTAGATTTTTCATCTACTCAGAAATTGCTTTATTTTTCAAGCCACCAATGTTCGAAGATTGTCCTTCGTGTGTCAGCTTCAATTCCAGTTCCCAAGTGCAATTACATGTTTCCAGTAAAGCTTCATTATAAAACATAATTTTCCATTGATATGTAATATCCATATTATTTAATTGCAGTTCCAAGGGGTAATTCAAGGTTTCAAGAGACATTCTTTGTGTTCCACCTGACACCCCAACAGGCGCAGGATATTGCCCTATCCAGAGATATCCGCCCTGACATGAGGGCAGAGTACACAGTCCAGGTGCAATTAAGGTATGTAGTGAACAGGCAAAGATATTGCCCTATCAAGAGATATCCGCCCTGACATGAGGGCAGAGTACACAGTCCAGGTGCAATTAAGGTACGTAGTGAACAGGCACAAGATATTGCACCATCTAGATATATCCAGCCTGTCAGGAGGGCAGAGTACATAGTCGGGGTGCAATTAAGGTTCGTTAAGTGAACAGGCAAAGATATTGCCTTATTTACAGTGTTCGCGTTGACGCCGTTTTTTCTCGTTTTTACGGAAATTTCAAGAGGTCGGGCGGGAAAATCAGAAATAACTTACGTCCCTGGGACGCAAAGATTCTACACCACCATCAGGTAACTTTTACTGCAGCGTAGAAGTGATAAAACATGATTTTCTGAAGAATTTTCAAATCGTCTACTTCCTTGATCTCAATAATGTTTATGTCGGCAAATCTGATTGGCTACCGGAGTGTCTCAGTATATTCGCGGGGTTTCTAGTCTGAAACACAGCATTTGATTGGCTATGGTGCCCTCCGAGTTATTCCGGAGTATACCGAAGCTGGATAATCTGTTGTACGCAAACATTAGTTTCAAAATTGAGAATTGAGACTTGTTTTTCACGATAATCTTAGTTAAGCTTACTTCCACTAGGAACCGTTAGATACCGATCTAATTTTGGTATAACTGTAAGGTATTATGATGTAATAGTGTGAGATGTTTAGATTTACTTTCATAATTAGATTGTTTTTGGAGTGAGTGAGTGAATGGATTATTCAGTTGTGCATCAATAGGTTGAGTTTAGTTTGAAAGTATTAGTGGAGTGAAAGACATGCATGTAGTAGAGCAGAGTGTTGTATTTTAGAGAACATTTTATCAACTGAGTTTTAGACTTTTAAGATGAGATGAGATGTGAATATTAAAGTGCAATAAAGATGAGAACATTGACTGTCAACTACAAACTATTTAATTTATTATTATATTATTATTTCACATGGTGGCAGCGAAACTACGAAGTTCACGTCGTCGATTGAGACATGTATAAAATTCTGAGATAAAAGACAGATATTGAGTTGAGATGTAGATATTGAATTGAGTTGGTATCAGAAAGAACCAGTCATAGCAGACTAGATCCAAGACTATTGAATCCAGCATACAGCCAAAGAGACGAGTCGCCTAAAATGATCTCGAACATTTATTATATGATGGAAGAGGAGCGCATCAAAATGAGAACCGTCCATTATAGGAATGAGATTCCAAATGTGGACATTGAGTTGAGCTGAGATTATCCATGCATGACCATAATGAGTTGGCTCGTGTTTTGGATATTTAAGGACCAGTCCAGGGGGACACATGGTTCTATTGAGCATCCTACGATGACCTAAGAGAGATCATCCGACGGATATATTTTGAGTCGAGCTGAGAATTTGCATTATACGGATGTTTTGGAGGACATCAATTAATTGAGTTGAGCTGAGAATTTGCAATACCGATGTTTTGGAGTACATCAATAGAGACATTTTGCGGGACTTGAATTCAAACCTGTATTGAGAAACAACTTCAACCGTCAAGGAACAGTCACTGTAACTACCTACCAAACAAGACTTGAGACATTGTTTTGAGCAGTTATTTGAGATATTTTGAGAGACATTGAGATTTTGACTTTCAGAGACATTTTGATTTTTTAAGAGTTTATTATTTTAGATTCAATTTTTCAAGAGATGGTTCAATATTAATTGATCAAAAATAATCTCCTGAAGGGGGAGGATGTAAGGTATTATGATGTAATAGTGTGAGATGTTTAGATTTACTTTCATAATTAGATTGTTTTTGGAGTGAGTGAGTGAATGGATTATTCAGTTGTGCATCAATAGGTTGAGTTTAGTTTGAAAGTATTAGTGGAGTGAAAGACATGCATGTAGTAGAGCAGAGTGTTGTATTTTAGAGAACATTTTATCAACTGAGTTTTAGACTTTTAAGATGAGATGAGATGTGAATATTAAAGTGCAATAAAGATGAGAACATTGACTGTCAACTACAAACTATTTAATTTATTATTATATTATTATTTCACAATAACATTAGTAAAGAATTGTGTGAAAAGGACCAAATGATAGATATTTATCGGGAGAATGCATAGAATTACAATACATGTTACTTTATCCCGTTTTAGCGTAAGCACTCTATTATCGCCCACTTCACTTTCACTTTAATAACAAAATATGAGGGACGCAAAAAAATTAGACGGGACTCACATTTTTCAAATGTGTTGCGTCCCTGGGACTCAGAAATTTAAGTGGCTAGCGCGAACACTGTTATTTAGATATATCCACCCAGACACGAGGGCAGAGAACACAGTCCAGGTGCAATTAAGGTATGTAGTGAACATGCACAAGATATTGCTCTTTCTAGATATATCTGACCTGACATGATGGCAGAATACACAGTCCAGGTGCAATTATGTTGAGCATTGTATAACAAATAACAATTTTAGGGCAGTAGGCTATAGGAAGATAACATGGTAACTGGTCTGTAATGCCATTATGACCAGCTGCTCTCAAAACTTTAGCTCAACCCCTCGTTGGGTAGGACATATATTCAAACCCAATTGTATACTCTGAAGGATCAAAATGTCAGCTGCTAATGCTGTAAGGCTGTGAAAATGAAAGTCCATCAAATGTAAAAAATTAGCAATCAAAGGACCACAGAGTAATGAAGTATAGGAAATTACTTTCATATTCTAAATACAAAACGTTTGTATGTTTTTGATTGCTTGTGGTTTAGGTAACAAATGTATTGTTTCCTGTATTTTAATGCTTCTCTGACATATTATTTTCGAAAAAATGATCAAGGCTGAAACTTCCTAAATTACAAGAAGTCTTTGATTGCTTATTTTTCAGATTTGATAGACCTACATTTGCAATGCTTTGCATTACAAATGAAATTACATGAACATCACTGACTATACCACATATATTGGTTTAAGTCGCACGAGGCTTATGCCTAATATACAGGCTGCCTACTAATACACGGTGTATTACATAAGGGAATTCTGTGTCATTGCTGCATATAAAAACTCTGAGATTCTCAATAACATGACTGCCATATGAATGTTGATATGGCACTCCAGATTCATGATTGTATATTTCATAAAATATGAAACAATAAACTTAAAACTTAAATAAAATTAAGAAAAAGTATATTCTATAGTACTGTAGTTCTATAGTTGGAAAATGCATATAAAATTGTTTACTTTTTTGTCTAAATGTTCACTTTTGGTGTCTTTCAGGTTTTGTCTATTAGAGACAAGCTGTGAACAAAATGACAATTTCCCTCCCAGCATTTGTGTTCGAGTCAACGGCAAGATGTGCCCTCTACCCGTAAGTTGATATTCATATGTATGATTCCATTTTAGTCGCGATATTTTAGATATGAGATTAGGAGTTAGCATAAGATGTCTTTAGATTAATTACTATGGAAACCATTTGGAGAGAAGCAGTACCAAAATGAAATTGAGTCTGCGGTTAGACATGCGATGGTTTTTGATCTAATCTCAATTAAAGAACCATTATAAATTCTTTAAATACTGTTGTTAAGTATAGGCACAACTTGTATTTGTATTTTGAACTGAAAATTTGCAATAAAATAAATTGAATATAAAAAATATATAAATCTGAAATTGCATTCATTAAATCGTGATCCATATTCTCAATCATAGTTTATTTTTCAGAATCCTATTCCAACAAATAAACCGAATGTGGAACCACGAAGACCCCCTAGACCAGTGAATATAACACCACTGTGTAGGATATCACCCACCTCTCCCAACCACATTAACATTTCATGGTCAAATTCAGACTTTGGAAGGGTAAGAAAGAAGTTATTTTAGAAAGTTGAATGAAACAAAAAATAAATTTACAAACACAGCAGTTATATGTTGATATAATAAGAATATAAGACACTGATAAAAGTAAGAGAGTGACACTTAGAGCTTCATTTTCCAAATATAAGAATAAGACACTGATAAAAGTAAGAGAGTAACACTTTGAGCTTCATTTTCCAAACACAGGGGTCCAGACATTTTCAACTGTGTTCCTAATAAAGAACAGAGTGAATTATGTCTGGATCCCTGCATTTGGAGGATGATGTTAGAGCCTTTGACAATTTGTATCATGCATTCTTTCAGAGTTTCTGTGTGGCAGTTTTCCTAGTGAGAAAACTGAACTCTGACATATTGTTGCATCGACTAAAACAATCTGGTATACGTCATCCCGATCATACTCGTGCACAAGGTAAGTAAGAATGTGTAACTTCGTCATGCTATTTGTGCTTCATGTAAGCGTTGTGATTTTAAGAGATACCATTTTATCAGCTAATTGATATATTAACATTATGTTCTTGTTTAGGTGGGTGCAAGCCTGTTAGCAAAGTTTCAAGTGAATGCAAAACATTTAGTGTTATATTATGTAGCTTATATGGTTAGCATTAACTTCATACAAAGTTCTAAAATGTCACAGTTCAAGGAATACATGGACTTTTCTTTTTTTCAGTAAAAGAAAAATTAGCTCAAGACATGGACAGTGAGATTGCTACAACAAGTTTGCGTGTCTCACTAAATTGCCCCGTGAGTATATTAAAATTTAAGCTGGTCACATTACTGAAGTGTGTATTGATATCAACTTGGTAAACTCTATATCTAAGGTAAACAACTTTCCCATGTTCAATTTATGATTTTCAATAATTTTGCCTGCTGTTTTCATTTATTTTGCCTGTTGTGAGAAATTCTAGTGAAACCCCTGCCTTATATGTCATTTGTTTCAGTTGGGCAAGATGCGTATGTCTACACCAGGTCGCTGTTCATCATGTACCCACCTGCAGTGTTTTGATGTACCTATGTACCTACAAATGAATGAGAAGAAACCCACTTGGATCTGCCCAGTGTGTGATAAACCTGCACATTATGAAAATCTCTTCCTTGATGGGTATGTACACCGTTACTCATATATATGGAATATTTTCCAATTTATCATTGATTTAATTTTCCATATATTTGATTTACAGTGTATGCCAAAGATGGCATTATACTGAATAATTAATTTGGTTACTATGAGATATTAAAATAGTTGATATAAAACATGATTGACTGATGTTTAAGTGAAAGAAATGGGATTCAAAAGGTCCTCGTTTTGTTTGCATCGGATGTGGACTTTTCTCTTTACTTTTCCAAAGTGAAATCTCATACTTGGCTAGTTTTATTATCAATGAGAGTTTTTGAAACTTCAAATTGTTATATTTTACCATGACTTGAATCATTATCTCATGGAAGGAAGTGCGACTTTGTTGAAATTTTATATGTGGCTTCTTAAAAGCATATTACACTTTCATATGACATATGAGGAAAGCTTTCATTTTGATTGATTTTATAGATACTTTGCTGAGATTATACGAGATGCCCAGGGTGAAACAGAGATCCAGTTTCATGCTGATGGTACATGGTCCAGACAAGAAATCAAGAAAGAAGTAGATTTGATCTCAACTACACCTGTAGTGAAGGCACCAGCTGCCCAAGGTATGAGATATGAAAACTAGTGTTGTGTCACCACAGTTGTCATGATCACTGATCATGGATCACTGGTCATCACTCACTGGTCATCACTCACTCTGATCATCACACCATGATCACCACTCACCGTAATCATCACACATCAATTGTCACTCACTGTGATCATCAGAGCTTTTCTTGAACAAAAGTAGTCAGTGATTCATGAGCCATTGGAAACTTAAATGAAGTGGTCCTGGTGATGTTTGTAGCCAGTTAGGACCACTAGATTTCAAACTTTTACTGGATTCGAAAAAAAAGATAAAATAAATCAGGAAATATTAGTGATATTTAGATAGAAAATTACATAAAAGTTATATTTTCAAAATCCCGCCCCATCATATATGTCTTCACAAAACCAACCTCTAGATTTCTCTTATTGATCCCAGCAAGTGAAGTCTGCATTTGGCAATAGGTTCACTTGAAAATAAAGGTGAATGGTTTTTTGACATTGTGTTTTTTGGGTGTTTTCAGTAGCAGTGAAAGAGGAAGAAAAGAAGCCAACGGTTGTAACAGTGGACCTGACACTCTCCAGTGATTCTGAAGACGATGAGCCAAAGAAAGCCCCCTCAATCTCACAATCCCTCTTCCCAGCTGGAGATACAACGTCTCAAATGTGCGTGAGCCCTTCTGTTATAAGTCTCGATTCTTCAAATCAGTCCGAACTCTCATCTCCTCTTGCATCAATATCTCATGATGTGTCATCATCTCTTGATGCGCCATCATCCCAAGATGCGTCGTCACATGACATTTTAAGGTCACCACATATGACCATGAGTCCTGATGCAAATGCCTCTAGTCATTCCAATCCTCTTAATTTTAGTCATTATCCCACAGAGTATAAACCTAACATAGCAACGTCAGATCTAGCAAGGTACAATATTGGCCTCCTTCAAAGTCACCTGGCGCTTTCCAGTCAATTCTCCAGTCTTTACAATCCATATATGGCAAGTACGAATCTATCGAATTTGTCCTCGGCTCTGAGTGCATCGAGCCAAACATCGAGACTTCAAACTCCCCCTCCCGCTCATGTACAATCTTCAAGGTCTACAAATAGATTGGAGTCTGGATATCTTGATGTGGATGATTTCATGAATATGTTAAATTCACCTGCCACAAGGGACAGAATGATGTATAATTATAATCTACCTGCTGTTCCATCTTACCCCCCTCGATTATTTGAGTTGGATAGTGACGATGATTAGTCTTACCTGTCCCTCCAACTTTGAATAATCTGTAAGGTTGATTTATTTTATTTATAATTTGTTATCACCAAGAAGTTATCACCAAGATTTATTATTATAGCAACCAACATTTGGCATCGTTTGAATATAAGTAGCCTTGGTTTTATTGACCTTTTAAGAGGTGGACTGGAAAGATTATATACCTCCACTCTATTTCAAGATGTCTATTTGACTTCACTTAAGGTTTAGGTCAACAGTGAAACAGGTTTAGTGTTGAAGTGTACAATTTGTCCACTTAACTGACTGGATAATTTTGAACAATTTTAAGTCATGGAAAAAACAGTTGTTTATTCTCCAGTAGTATGGACTGGAGCAATTGTATACCTCTGGTTGACCAATCAGATTTGAGCATAAAGGTATGTCGATTGTATGTCTCATTGGGAAATGAACAGATTGGAATTGAAACATTGGTCTTCAGGGAGAAATAGAGTGCAATATATACATATATAAATATACATAGTGCATATGTAAACGAGTGTAATTCATTATATTTTTGCTCAATGAATATGTAACTGCCACATGTATTGTATAAAGACTGGCAATATTTTCATACAAAATATATATGATATATAAATAGCCTTGGAGAATACCATAATGCCAAGGTTTGAGTCAGTGAAACCTGAGTCTGAACACCTTCGTAAGAGTATACTTCAATAATTTGTTGATAAGCCTAAACAGCAACCACCTCAGTAGGTATAAACTAATTCTTTATGTAATCATTTTTACCACACAAAAAATATACAAGGGATTTTGGGCATATTACCTAATGGGCATTTATTGAAATAAATTCAACGCACATTTCTACGCACTTAAGGCCAAATCTACAAATGTAGTATTATACTATTGCCAAAAAGTGATCTTCAAAGAAAGGTGTTCAATTTTTCAGGTTTTGATGACCATGGACATTGTGATATTTCTCTCAGGTAAAGGCTTATATAAGTGGCTTATAAGGAGTGGAACAGGAGGACTATATAAAATGCTTAGTTTTATGAAAATAATGGAGTTTTACACTTGGCATGAACCATTGAACCTTTTTTTGCAATTTGAAAATCATGTGACTATATTTAGCCAATGGGATTAACTGAATATGACAAAATGTCATGGCAAGTGTATGAAATTCTATACAAATGAATCGTCTTTAAAGGAAACTGGAAAGCTTTAAATGCATTGTTCTTCGACATGTAGTTCATATTACACTGTACAAAAATAGCTCCCAGTACATGTCTGGTAAACTATTGATGTTAAATCTAGTTAGACTAGATAATACATTAGACAAATATGTTTTATGTTACTATTAATTGATTTTAAGAACATTTACTTTTAGTTGCTGTTCATATATCCGTTTTTATTATGTCACCACCAGATGTGGCGACATATTATTGAAGTCTCAACTTTTTTGTGGATGTTTGGCATCTGTTAAAGCATTTGGTCTCTGTTAAAGTGATTAGTGTCTGTAACAAATGGCAGGTCGTGACATTTTGCATGTTAATGCCTTGTATTAGTTTTATGTTAAGTCTATCACCCTCACAAGCCAGAAACAGATATTTCGTTTATTTCATTTTTTGTTGACAGAAAAGTAATTGCAGGCATGCTCACAAATAAGTCGACACATTAAATATTGATTATCAATCGTAGGTGCAAAATGACATTACATTAGCTGTATGACAGTGTTCATTAAATTTCTTTACACTTTTACAGTTTACAGTTTGTATTGGAATTGTAGATATACTTTATGAACACCTTGTACTTCGAAAAAATATTCTGGATTGATTCATTGCTTTCAACATTAGATTAAAAATCAATATTATTTGTGGCTGGAATTATTTTAGACACTCAAAATCATATATCATAAATGGTGAAGTTTATATTGCTTTGTATATATTGTATATACGAAGATCTTAATATTATTATTATTTATTATGTATTTCTATGTTATAAGTTCACATAAAGCACAATCAAATGTATTTTCTACATGCTTCTTATTCAAGATTTCCTATATTTACTTATAATCCAGAAGCAATTTGAGGTTGCTTGTTTATATACATATGTAGTATGTAGTTTTCAATTCTGCTGCATATCACAATTGTTGCTAGGCAGCATTGTACATGTTTATACATGTACAATATCATTCATGTACACAGTTGCATGTGCAAACATGTGTTATATTCTCATGTTCATTATTTATTGTATAGTATCCTTCGTATATGTACTGTATTATACATGGATGTACAATACAGTTTTCTACATACATGTACAATATCCTACATACATGCAGTATCTTACATACATGTACAATATCATACATACATGATACAATATCATACGTATATGTACAGTATTATACATGGATGTACAATACAGTTTTCTACATACATGTACAATATCCTACATACATGCAGTATCTTACATACATGTACAATATCATACATACATGTAGAATATCCTACGTATATGGCAGTATCTTTATACCTCATAAACAAATTCGATAGCATAATACATAGTAAGCTATGATTTGTACAGCTCTTAAAAACCTCTCATCTCAAGAGTCTAAAATAAAGTATAGGGCTTAAGAATAATAAAAACAGTACATCTAATGTACTATATTGATTGATTTTAAGTCCTATTGCTGGCCATAATGTGTTAAACATCTCCAGACATCTTCAGAAATATTGACTATTTTTCAAGGTCATATAACATATCATGTATTTTTGTTTAAGTTGAATTCACATTGTTAATGAATATTTGTTGAAATTGTATATGCATCTCTGTCTGGAGAACGAATCACATATTTGCAACTACAAATGTATACTATAATCTTTGTGAATTGGACCCTTTGTGACACCCAAATAGGGTCTTATTTTAAAGTTTTTTTATGGTGCTATATGATTAGATTATTTTTTGCTAAACACTTATCTTTTAGCAGTTTTATCGATTCAAATTGTTATGAATTCAGAAAATAAAAACAAAGGGTTCAATAAATTTTAATTTCTTTTGTTTTGTAGTTGTTAAATGTATGTGCTTAAACTTTAATTGGTGGTATTCTAGTGTTGGAGAGATTTGAATTGAAAGTGTACATATCTGTATATATTGGAAGACAGTGTATCATTTTCAGAGAGAGCGAAATTAAAGTCCCGTATTAAAAAAGAAAACTGGTGTTGCGTTGTTTATTTCTCATCACTCAGTTACTTGGAGCCAATCAGAGTTATTTATCCTTTTTACCGCCACAAATTGAAGCACTACATTTCACAACTACAATTCAAACAACCAATCAGAAGTGAGTGTATGATAACAGAAAACCAAACGATTATTTTATTGTCTTAAAATTAATTCTTCAATGTTTGAAGTATAATCATCACATTTTGGTGCGAAGGATGTGGAATGGAACGAGAGTGCGTAGTTTGATGGATCGCTGGGTGAAAAGAAAATGCCCAAATATGGAGGATAGCCAAATATTGTACCTTGTCAAATGTAGTGCTCAGTTTTCCCCATCAACTAATAATGGAAAGTTCTTACTTGATAGTGTACAAGGATAACAGTGACAAAAATTATTCCCATGCAAAATTAAGCCAATAGCCAGTCATCGGTTTCTCAAAATTTAGTGATGTACAATTTGTAGATACTGAGGCAAATCTCAATGAATCGATGTGTTTCCAAAATAATGGCCACTGCCAATAGATTCCTCACTTTGAACATTCTATATCAGAAAAGCCAGTTAATCTTGAATGAATCATACTCTTAAATTGGAAAGCCCAAGGGGTCTTCTGGAAAAATTGATTAGTCTGCTTGAATTTGAGCTATTCCCCGGACTGATGGTATTTTTCAAAAAAAATTCAAGGCTGTGAAATAACATGTTGTCCCGTTTGACTTGTTTGACAAAAGAAGACATTCACTACTACTTCTGTATTTCTGTCATGGAATAAGCAAAATGAGTGAATTAAACATGTTTTGTTCAATGATATTTGCTACTCTGGGAGTTTCTGTTTTCTAGTATCAAATGTCCTGATATAAGAACTAAAGATCTGTTCCATGTAGATATCAACAGCTGTTTCTTCATGTAAAATATTTTCTTTTTCAATACCACCATTCTAAGACCTTACAGCAACCAATTTACTTGTCATGATATGCATTATCTTACCTATTTAATTGGTCCCTAGATTATGATGCAACCTTTTGAGCTTTTCTTGGATAACATGTATCTCTGTTGTGAACCATGTCTTACATGAGGTTTGATGGGATAACCTGTACCTCCATTGTGAATCTTATCTAACATGAGGTATGCTGGGATAACCTGTACCTCCATCATGAATCTTATCTAACATGAGGTATGCTTGGATAACCTGTACCTCCATTGTGAATCATCTCTAAAATGAGGTATGCTGGGATAATCTGTACCTCCATTTTGAATCATGTCTAACATGAGGTATGCTGGGATAATCTGTACCTCCATTGTGAATCATCTCTAACATGAGGTATGCTGGGATAACCTGTACCTCCATTGTGAATCATCTCTAACATGAGGTTGGGATAATCTGTACCTCCATTTTGAATCATCTCTAACATGAGGTATGCTGGGATAACCTGTACCTCCATTGTGAATCATCTCTAACATGAGGTATGCTGGGATAACCTGTACCTCCATTGTGAATCATCTCTAACATGAGGTATGCTGGGATAATCTGTACCTCCATTGTGAATCATCTCTAACATGAGGTATGCTGGGATAACCTGTACCTCCATTGTGAATTATCTCTAACATGAGGTATGCTGGGATAATCTGTACCTCCATTTTGAATCATCTCTAACATGAGGTATGCTGGGATAACCTGTACCTCCATTGTGAATCATCTCTAACATGAGATATGCTGGGATAACCTGTAGCTCCATTATTTTCAACAATAACCAAGTTATTCTAGGCTAATCTGTATTTCAATTTTGATGTTGTGCTCTTGTATTGTAGGTCTTCTGGGATACCTCCAGTCCCTCCATTGATCCCCCTCTTACAGAATGAGTTGGCATCAGCAATAGGAAGTATATCTGTGACGCAACCAACTACAACGCTAGCCTCCACTATGACCTCAGCAGGTGCAAGAGGAGATCCACATAATATACAATCAAACAGTAAGTTCAGTGGTCTTAACCATTGAAAGGAATGTCAAATTTTTGTGTTTAGTCTCACACCCCCACCTCCCTTGACACAATCCATATGTTAGGGTGGGGTTATGGTGGAGAGCCTTTATGTAAGACTATCACATGGCCCTGCACTGCCAGCAGGGCATAGTTGTAATTTATTGTGATAGATATATCTTCTGGGCCGATATTAAGTGGGATATACCCCATCTCCAAAACCTCCAATATGATGAAAACAGTGAAACTGACCTTGTTCAGCTGTCTATTTATTAAATAATACTCCTTTAACTTGCTTTTTATTATTTTGCAGATATGGAGCTTATGAATCTCTTGCATGGGAAGGAAGGCATGTCATCAGTGGACTCAGAGGTTTGTTAAACCTCATATTGTTTTATCCCTGTAAAGGAAATCACAGAGGGCAATATTTCAAATAGAAAAATGCTGAAATCTTTGGAAATCATATGAAACAAGCTGGAAAGTCAGCTTCTTGAGATTTGTTTATCAAAAATCCATAAAACACCCAAATTGGAAATGTATGCCCCGATATTTGATATAAAGTAGAATTGAAGATCCCGGAATTATTAGAAAGAGATTTTATATCCATATAGATGTCATGACCTCAGATTTAGAAAAATGCTTTCTAAAATACTTAACTGTTACTGTGTATTTCATTTCAGTTGGACAATCTGCTATCCTCAATGCCGACTAGGCCTAGCACAGGGAATACCACAGTAACATTGGACGACAGTACACAAGGCTCACCCCCTGATATAATATCAATTGACTAGAGAAATATAGCTCAATAATCATGTAGATTCCATACTCATATGTAAAAATGTTCTTAGAATTCCACATTGAACAAAGGGAGGTGTGTGTGCAAATGAAAATGCATTTACGACATGTACTCTGTACAGATCAGGTTCATGTAAAAAGATGGTCTCCTTGCTATTAATTTATAAAATGACCTAACCATGACTCTTCCTTATTAGTTAACATTCAACCAGGCCCATGTAAAAGGAAGGCGATGATTTTTCAGAAACCATCATTCAGTTGCATGGGTATATGATTATTACATGAGGAGAAAATATGGTACAATTTATTTGTATCTTGGTATAATTTATGGTGCAGACTCAACTCATGTTGTGTGGCAATTAATTTATTCTGCGGAAAATGTGCTCCATTATGTAGTGATATGGTGATATGAATGGCCTATAAGACTGTATCATCATTCATGTCATGTCACGTCACATTGACTATGTCATGTCACATTGACTATTTCATGTCGCATTGACTATGTCATGTCACATTGACTATGTCATGTCACATTGACTATGCCATGTCACATTGACTATGCCATGTCACATTCACTATGTCATGTCACATTCACTATGTCATGTCACATTGACTATTTCATGTTACATTCATTATGTGTACAATGTACACAACTCTAGAGCTATGTCAAAATATAGAAATAATTTCTTGCGTTGTCCTCATTCTTTCAAAGACCATAATAGGTATATTATGGTTTAATTACTTTGGGCCCATGAGGATAAATTGTCCAGATATTTTAAATAATTTTTGGACAACAATAAAGCTTGGTTTTATTAGTGTTGAAACGTTTTGTAATAATTATTAGTGAGATTGTAATGCACAAGAAAATCAACCATTCTTTTTCTTCATAGTTATGGTCTTCTGGAGTGAATAAATTATTTTTGTACATAGTGATTTTCTAAATAGTTAGTTTTAAGGTTTAGTGTCTTTGTTTACTGCACATCGTTAGTTTCACTTTCCATTCATTTTTTTGTGATTCTATTGCTCATCAAAATACATTAAGGTTTAAATGTTTAGCTGATTTGTTAGTTTTGGGAATTTCTCATTTTTATTGTCTAATTTAATACTGTATTTAGATTATAATAAATGCTGACTTTACTGAAGAACCTATAAACTGATAAATGCCAAGTTGGCATACATAATGCAGTCATGTTATGCCATACTTATGTTTCAAGAACCTATAAATCTCAAGTTGGCATACATAGTGCAAACATGATATGCCATATTAAAGTTTCGAGAACTTATAAATGTCAAGTTGGCTTACATAATGCAAACTTGATATGCCATATTGATGTTTCAAGAACTTATAAATGTTGGCATATTGGTATGCCAAGATATGCCATATTGATGTTTCAAGAAGAAAAGTGCAGTCAAAGATTTCCAATGGTTTATATAATTTTGATCACTTAAGCACCACAAAGTTTTATTGTTTTTTCTAATTTTCACTCTCTGGCCAGGACATGTTGAAAGCTACAGTTTTGTAGTCTTGGAGATGGCAAAGTCTGAAAAGTACATGTACACACAATACTAACTTGGTTTTTGATGATTCCAGAATTTAATTGCAAAACAGAATGCACTTATGTATGTTTGTTAATATTAAAGTATTTTGTCACTCTGTGTACAGTAAGAGGCCAATCTTCTGTTGTAACACAAATGAATCGAATATGTATGTGGGGAACTCATAGTCTGTTATGAATTGTAATACACATGAAATGTTCATGTACATAAAATTCAGTTAGTTCATGAAATATCATATATTTTGTACAAAATGCTGTAGAAATAGAGCAACAAAAATAAAACAATATGTACATATTACATACAGCAAAAATGTGTTAAGTTTAGTTGAAAGGAATCTGAAAAATATTCCCATATCTAAAATGGAGCAAAAAAGTTCTTTTTTTAATTTTAAGGCTGAGAGGCATTTTTAAATTGGAATTACCCTTGAAATGTTATGTTATATAAACTAAATGTTCTTGTATCAGGTTGGTCCAGTGCAATCACTACTCATTTTAGCTCATGTGAAATTGCCCACTTGTCCATCTTTAAAATATCAACTTTTTTTGCTGTACCATTTCGGACTTGCAATGACTCATGTGTCAATAAAGCCACAAAATCCATTCCACATATCTCAGTATTTTTACTTATCCTGATCTTGAATTATTGTCATAATAGAAATCAAGATAAGTAAAAGACACCAACTTGGGCAAGGCTATCAAAAGTCAAACCTACATTTGAAAACACCATTAAGATGAATACCTTTGTATGTTGAACACTTTTTATGGACCCCTTTTGTATTAATTCCTCCTATTGGCCATTATGTGAATCCACCCTTCTATGTCCAAAATTAAACACACTTTCTTCAGTCCAATACATACTGCAGTTGTATAAAATCCTGTCCACTACAACAATTTTACTCCCAACATGTACTCATGTTAAATACTGTGAAAACAAAACACATTAATAATCAGGTTTTAAGTTTTCTATCACTATTTTATTAATTAATACATCATAATAATGATACACCATTCACTATTTTGCATGAGAACCCCACATGGGAAGGAGTGGGAATTTTGACAAAATAATTTGTTCTGATGTAAATACAGTAAAACCTGCGAACAGGGAATGCTCTTGGGACTGAAGGAAAGTTTCCTTGTTCAGAGGTTTTCCCTATAGAGAGGGGCCGCACTTTCAGCAAACTCAAACTTGCCGAATAAGCATATTTGTATATACATTGATTGATTGTACAAATGCTTGCTCCATACTTGGTTACGTTCTCCCCATTTTGATTTTAGCTGCTGCTAGCGTCTGATGATGTCTAGTTGATGTAATTATTGATATGATGTGTAGAGATATATTGCTAAGAACTGGATTTCATTTACCCCATTTTATATCATTGATAATCTAGAAGTTGGATCAGTAAAAGATTTAAAGAGATTTGGCTCAACATGACCATTTATTTACTATCTGTCAGTCCCTAGATTATCACAACTGATATGATGCAATTAGGTTTTTGAAAGGAAGAATTAGTGTCATGATATGAAGTAACAAACAGATTAGTATTAGTTTTAAAATAAATCAGGGTAATTAACAGTGGGTGGGATGCTCCATCATGTAAACAATTGGCATATCTTAATCTCAATCATATTAATCCAAGCTTTTTATATTCAGATATTGGCTTAAGACTTTCACACCTCTGAAAAATAATGTCACCAATATTCCATATTCCTTGTTCACAGGTGAATTTTCATAATTTGCCCCAAAATAGTGTTCCTTATTCCATGTTCACAGGTTTTCCCTACAGAGAGGGTCCGTTAACATGTAAGTCAATGGAAAAATATTTGGTTCTTTTGAAAAGCATTCCTTGTTCATAGGTTTTCCCTACAGAGAGGTATTCCATCGGACAGGTTTTACTGTATATATGTTATGAGATACTCTATTCTAAGTAGATGAAGACATTAACAGATTAAGCAATGATTGAGTTCTACAAGTACATGAGTTGGTAACGAATACTGCAGTTTGCATATTCTCAAAATGCAGGGAGCTACATGTGTAGCTATCAACCACTAAACAAAGTGTTTTCTCCCAAGGCTGTCAAGATCCCTGCACCTGGAGGTAAGCATACATTAGTGACAATATCACAGTACAAATAAATATATAAAACAACATAAAACATGGTATTTTATGAAACCGACTTAAATATTTTAAGAACATTTATAATTCTGATTCTTGATTGGCTAAACTAAATAAGTATGAATAAATTCAGTGATCTCCTCAGCTTTACAAATGGCTTGCACCCTGCTGATCTGAAAATTATAATATGTTTGCTCAAAATTGGTAAAATTAGAATCCTGGGGAGATCACTGACTTAACATTTAAATTCCTCTACATTCTAAATCGATCAAGAGATTCTGACTAAAACTTTCCAAGATGGACTTTTTCTCAGGTGGGTACAAAATTCTCATCTTCACAATTCAGACCAAAATTTGTCAAAATATGCCAATTTTTCATGATTTTTCTCAAGTGGATGCAAATGGATTTTCAGATGGGTGCAAGGCTGTTTTCAGAATCTCAGGTGGGTGCTGCAGCTGCGCCCACTTGCTTTAATGCTGGGGAGACCACTGGACTTACAGCAGGCAGGAGTGTCTCTTATGTTACAACATACATCTCTTATTGTGATGCTATCTCGTATAAATTATACAATAAACGCATATATTTACTGTGAATGTGATTTAATGTTGTTTTATTTAACTAAAAAAATGTGAAATACTTTTTTATTGTACCATATTTTTTCATTAACAAGAGTGATAAGGTGATCAATTACTTTGTAGAAATGCATTTCATTAGTTTTATTCTCAGGGACAATACCCCAGGGAAAGTCCCAGCATTGGAGCAATTGGTTACTGTATCCAGTTATTTAGAATAATCATCATTGCATTATATCAACAGTTCTGGATTTTGATATTCAGATATCAAAGAACATCAACAATGAGAACTTTGAAGAATTCCTGAGAAATACAAGGATGCAGTAATTCCTCTTGTACTGCATATGCTACATTAACACTACTGTGTTTTTTCAAAATACAATAAACATTTTGTACATTCCATGTTCATTCATAAATATCCAGGCTGCCAAATCTCTGTTGAAGTCTCTAAATCTAATAGACTTTACTGGAAGCAGTATTGGCACTAAGAATACAACTACATGGGAGATACCATGTAACAGTTAACTACTGATTCTCAGATTGTAAATGTTCAGTTTGGTTCTTGAGAAATCCATATAATATCGGAACTGCATCATGTGGTTGATTGGTCTAAAGATGGTTTACTTTCACCTGGGGCTCATCCCAGTATATGGCCTTGACCTTGTGCTCATAGTTCGTATTGACCGTGCTGGAGTATGGAAGAGAGGCGACCTGTTCTCTTTCAATGGGGGTGACCTACTGGCTAGTGACCTTGACCTGGGACTGGCTGGACGGAGGAGTGAATATGATGAAGCTTCTGTATCTTCCCTGCAAAGTAAAAGTCAAATCCTCTTGACTATTTTTCAACAGTACATCCAAGTATGTGACAAAAAGGGTTTGGGGTATTAACATAATACACATACTTTTGTAAATCCAAAATAAACTTGGACAATTTTATTTCTATGATATCACAAATCCAAACCAAGTGAAAGCACTTAATGTTTAGTCAAATAAAATAGATTTGAGATCTCGGATTTTTTGCAGATTTCAGAACTTACATTAAAGGATGGAAGGAGTCCTTCTGGTCATATCTGTCTCTGGTAGGTCTGGATCTCTGGCTGTACACCAAATCATCCTGAAATGAAATATGCATTTACTTGATATCAAATAGATTCTGAAACACTGTTTCGAATGAAGACATACTAGTACATGTAGCACAAACAAATACTAGTCAAAGTAAAAATATATTGACATTTTTGTGAAAAGTAGAAATAACAGGGGGAGATAGATATCCCAGAATTCATAGATTAACTCCATGTTAAGATGGACCTTTAGAGATAGGTAGGTTCATCCATGAATTCTGGGATATTTTCACTTCTTAATAAAAAGGATCAAATAATACAAGGTGAAGGATATTTGAACATTGCTCCTCATAAATGGTTTCATCTGTATGACCCTTACAGTTATTTATTCTTTTTTTACCAATTTTAACATTGTTTCTTTTATCATAGCATACCTCTTGGTATTCACGTCTACATGCTGCACTGAGTTCATCCTTCAGCGTCTCAATGTGCCTTTTATGGCTATCCAGTTGTTGTTCTAGCGACGTCACCCTTGACAGAGCCTGCTGGTAGGTGTCAATAAATGTGGCTACAAGACTTTGGCAGGCTGCCAATTCAGCTGCCCATTTCCCAGAGTTGCTACCGGGGGGAGCTAGTTCTGTATTTAACAGTGGAGCTAGGGCTCCTATGTCTAAAGTATTGGAGAGCGCCATCTCTTGTTTACTCTATAATACAGTATTTTAATTTAAACAGTTGACCTTTTCAGTTCAACTTGATGGAGACACGTTTGTTGAACATACAGTTGACACAAACTTCGTAGAGCAATATTTAAGAACAGTATTGTTCACATGATGATGCATATCGATCACCAAATTCATTGGGTGACGTCAGAGGAGAATCAGTCAAAAATTTATCAACACACTAAAATATTATTTGATTTGGAAGAGAGAGGAAATTGCACAACATGGCCTAACAAAAATGCTTACTTTAGATAGAGCCATTTCTACATTTTTCACGTAACCCGCAAGAACGTCCTTATCCCTATAAAAATAAATTATGAAAATTATTTACTCTGGGGGACAAAAAGATAATTTCTTTACAACTGGTGAATAATAATTTTCAAAAGGCACAAAATCAGAATAAGCCTCATTCAATTTTCAGGATCAGACTTTAAGCCTTAGATTTAGTCAATTTGACATTTAACAAATAGAAATCCAGAACTTTATAGAATGTTTCACAATACACATTTAAATAAAGTTCTTACTTAGCAACTGTACGGAGCGCAGTTTCAGCATCATAAACTTTTTCATCAAGTATTTCTTTGTCAGTTTCAAGTTGAGCCACAGTCTTGTTTAACTGGCGCAAAGTCTGCTCTTTCCTTCTTAGTTCTGACCGTGTTTCTGTTAAATCCTGAAAATTATGTAAGGTTTTACTTCATTTTTTTAATCATAGGATTCTGAAACATACATTCAAGTCAAAAACTTAAGTCCAAAATTTAAGTCCAAGATTAATCTTTTAAATTCAGTGGAAGTTTTTATTTTTGTATAACCCCAGAATAATGATACAATAGAGATGCTCAAACCACTAAATGTAGGAAAGACCCATTGCACAAATGTTAAAACATAGTTTGTTTAAATTGGACGAATATTGTAAAAGCTAGACTAAGTGAAAAAATATGTAAGTTTTCTGCTAAATGAAGCAGCTCTGAGAATGACAAAACTATTTTTGCAGGTTTTACTGTATTTGTATGGTCAAATCAAAGGTAGGAACTTACATGTTCAGTAGCAGTTAGACTCTGTTGCTTCTGGGCTCCTTCGCTGTTGTACATCTCTAGCCTTACAGTGAACTCCTGCAGCTGTTGGCTTTGTTCATTGAGCAGCTGTTGAGCTTGTTGTTCTCGTTTGAGGGCATTGTCCAGTTCTTTACAGACACCCTCAAACTTACTGAGGTCAATCATCTGGGCATTCTGAAAGAAAAAAAAATTATAACATATTTGGTGCTTATGAATGCAAGTTTAATGGAATTTTTTATCTTCAACATGAGCCACAAAATCCACCTGGCTATAGTATAGACACTCAACTTTGACGATGGTATAACCTGGTAGAATGGTTGCATGTTTCTTTGTACATTTAATTATTGGCTGGGATGATGGATTTGTACCCTTGTAACTCATTGTGCCTTTCAATATTTCATTTTGTTATTGTGTTTCTTAATACTGTTTCCCTTTGCACTGTGCATTTAATTGTGGTTGTCAAAATCCTGACCAGATATCATAATCAAGTGAAATTTCAAAATGCATTTACCATATTCCTGAGATTTTCCACATCTTGCTCCATACTCTTCAATTTTTGTTGCTCATGGTTCAAAGAATTGATGTTCTGCTTGAGAGACTTCAGTTCTGACTTCATACCACGACGTTGGGTCTCTGCGTTATGAAGCCTCTGAGTGAAGTCTATGATGTAGTGCTGTAGGGTGGTCAGTGCTTGCTGGAAGAGAAATAAACAGTTTCAATGGCTACATAGGCAAGAAATGGTAAAAGAAGTACATGTAGGAGGGAAAGAGGCAAGTCAAAAGTATGGTTAGAAAAATATGTTTTGCATACACTCATTATTCCATACCATGTCTGTTATGTCTCTATTATGGACCTATACAACCACATGATAAATTAACTGAATAACATCTTACAGAATTTAAAAGTAGTGATTATTTCATTAAGTTTCATTAATGAGAGGAGTTAATTCATCTGTCACTGAAAACTATACGTTTTACGAGTGGTTTTCAATGCTTTACAAGTATTCCAAAACAAGCCTCACCTGTGAAGATAGAAGTGTTAATTTTCTCTCTACTGGCACATTGGGCAACTTCCTCATCAAACCCTGTCCTAAATATGCTATTGGGGTGGTCATGTCATATAAATCTATTTGAGGTGTGTCATGACCTTTATAACAACTCTCTAAAATTCCCAAGAGTTTTGAGTAAGATGTTTTCACTGTGTATGTCAGGTTATTATCCCCATGTTGTTTTTGTAATAAAACGTGTTGGGTTTCATCCATGGAGGATACGATTCCTTCAAGTAGTTTCTGGTCTTGTAGCCACATATGGATTTCATTATCATGAATTGAGACAGGGTCTCGAGGAGTATCATACATTGATGATCGACCAATGCCTGGAAAATAAATAAGACAGGAATGTTCATTAGTCTAATGACGTTCTTGAATTCCCAAGGTCATATTTAATACATTGTCCTTTGTGTTTTTGGTATAAAAGATCTAATTTCTATATAAAGTCCAATCTTGTCAAGATACATTGTAGCCAGATAACCCAATGTGTTCCCCAGAGTGTTCCTTCAATAAATCTAAACACTTGTAAAATGCTGTCAGAAATCATAAAAGTAAGAAATTACATACATAGTATCACAGTATCCTTCTATGTATTAGGACAGTTTAGATATAAATTAAAATTAAAGTAATAAAAATCTCATACCTTTAAATTTCTGGGCTTTCCTCATAACACTGTGTGTCAATGCGATACTCCCTCCACTTCCTGGCAAGAACTTATGGCTGAATGATTTCAAATAATTGAGCCGATTTGCCGCAATTACCGCAATGGCCGCCACTCTAAATCTCAGAAGCCCTGCTTTTTTTGGACGTTGTTCTCGATTAGGTTCTCTACCATCAGAATCCATTTCAACTTGAATTGTGTTGATAAGATTACAAACTTTAGATTTAAAACGTTCGTAATTGTTCACTAAATTTTGAAGGATTTTCCTTTGGCTTGATAATGAATGGATTTTGGTGTTGGATACATGTAAAGCACCACTGAGTATCGCACAAGCACTAAGTAGGGAGGAAGTATGACTCTGGTATTGGTGAAGCTGTTCCCTCATTTGAACACACTCCTGCTCAAGGCCATGCTGTACTGACCCTGTCATCCGGACCTTCTCCCAGGCCTGATCAGCCATTGCTTGAGTTTTCTGCAAAAAAAGTTGTAAATAAAATAACGTAATACTATACTAATTTCTACCAATGTTAACTTTTTGTATCATTATTTCACCTTTGAGCGACTTTGAATTTCTCCAACTAATTTCCCATAATGTTCTTCTAGTTCCTGTTTCTCACGCTTGCGTTCTTCCTCACGTTCACGCGTCATTACAGCTAACTTGTCCATTTGATCCTCATGTGCAATCTGCAGTTGGTCAATGGTTTCCTCTTTACTAGAGATGATGGCCTCCAGATGTGTCACCTGAATACAACATAAATGTTATGTTATTGCTATACAAGGCTGATCAATATATTCGCTACTTTTTGCTTGACCTGAAATACAGCACATAAAGGGTATGGTATTGCTATATATGGGCATGTCTGAAAACAATCCCGAAGAAAGTGCAAAGTTGATTAAAATCAAAACATAAATAAAAAGACATCTGGTGCTCTAGATGACCAATCTGTGATAACAAATCTGGACGAGCCCCCAACCCATCCTCCTATCACAGGGCTTCAAAATCCAGAATAAATTCTTTCTTTTTACCCCCTACGATAAGCAGTTGGCATTTCCCTGATTAAGAACTCGCAATCTGATTGGCTGTCGCAACACTGCGGCAGAAATCGTGTATAAGTCTTGCGCATAATTAGATCACGTGATTCAGTTTAATATCGGGCGCTTCCAAATTGGTTATAGCAGGGGGAAGGAGGTAGGGATTCTGGATACCTGCTTAGGAGGATGCCCCAACCAGGCCAAAAATTCTTTCAAAATCATGCAGTTTTTCAACATTCTGAGCACTTTTCAAGTGACTTTGAGCCAAAGAACGCCCCTCGAATTTTTTGAAAAGTGAACTCACTTGGCAAAAGCTGGCTAAGGGCCCGTCTGTTAATCAAATTAGAACAAGATACCACATACAGTATTCTGGAATCTGAACTCACCTTTTCTTCAGTGCGTTGTAACAAGCCAAGGAATGAAATGACTTGTTCATTCACCAGGTTACTCAAGTCCATCCATTTGAATGTATCATAACCACCAATAGATGGCGGCTGGGTTTGACGGTTCAATAATTTCTGATAAATCTTATGTAGAAAGCTCAGACGCCCTTCTTCATCAGTTTTGTATCTCTTGGCCAGTTTCATGATCTAAAAAAACAAGAATAGTAAGATATTGACAATTAAAATCTTTTTAAACACCAAAATATTTCTGTAACACTTTAAGGGGGAGTTAAAAACTAACAGAGACAATTTGAAATAAGTTTCAAATTAATTAGCATAGTCAGAATTCATCCACTGATCATGATTTTTTTTAACAATTAAATTGCTCCAACATACTAGTAGTACATGTAGTACTATCTACTGACCTCTTCATTAAGCTCCTGGCACCTGTGTCTCTCTTTGTCACATTCTTGTTGAGACGTCTGCAGTTGAACCTTTTGTGCCGCCAAGTTAGCTTCAAGCTCAGTGCACTCATTTCTCAGTCGACTTACTTCCTTGCTTGTTTTGCCCAAGCTTTCTTGCGTCTCCTAAAAATGAGAACCATCTTGGACAAAAACTTTATACTGAAGCATTTTATTTCATTTCATTTTTCGTAGATTTCAGGTATCTCCATGTACAGAATTTAATTTATTTCATGAAACTAGTGAAAATATTATGCCCGAAATGCACTTTCATTCAATGATTTTGAATATATGAATATGGGTATTGTAAAAATTTTGATCTGAATTGCCAATTGCGGATTGCACTCCACCTTGGTAGATGCCATCCATTTTCATACCTGTAAAGCTTTATCCTTGGCCCATATCATATCTTTGTATGACTCAATCTCTTTCCCAAGATGGCTGCTAGATGTTTTCACATTTTTGATTTCTTCTCCTGCTCCCTCCAACCTTTTCTTGTACCCAGTCAGTGTACGTCGAAGATTTTCAAGCACAACAGATGGCGTCACCGGTGTAGCTGTATCCCCATCTTTTTTCTCTGGAAAGTTATCAATTCATGTTTTTGTTAGAATTGTCACAGTACAAGTATTGTATAAAAATTACTTATCAAAGGTTCACATTCTTTCCAATGTATCAGTTAACATAGACTTACTTTTCTTTTGTTTGGAATCTACATTAAAATTCTGTAACAGAAATTCCAGTTCTCTCATACTGCCTCCATATGTTTCTTCTAAATAAACCTGGCGTTTCTTAGCCTGTAAAAACATTATACAATTGTTGAACAGATAAGAAACATACAATAAGATATAAAGGTTCTTATATGAGTACCTGTGCAAGATTGTCCATTCTTGATGAGCTTTGATAATTCTTCTTTATCGAGTCGCAGATGAGATAAAGAAACATTATTAAAGCGAGTCAAGAATGGACGATTTTGCACAGGTACGAGTATAAGAAATTTTTCTCATTTGACTCTGTATTATGCCATACTTTCACATTTTCATGACAAAACTGGGTGAAAAATAGCTTCAGATTTATAAAACTTAACAAAGCTCCATTGTTATGATATCACAGCTAAGTTTTGTAAAATTAGCATGGATACTCTTAGCAACAGTGTATTTGTTACTATGCTGTTGATGTTAATAGACTCACAAGCAAATCTCATCTTACATGTGTGACTTTTTAGGATGAAAGATGGCAAATGTACTTTTATTTACCTTATTCAATTCTTGTTTCAGCTTGTCAAAGTTCTCTTGGTGAATATCAAGCTGTTCAGACATTGCATTAATGACCTTCACTTTGTCATCAATTTCAGCACTTAGTTTGGCTCGTGTGTTTTCATATTCTTTCTCCAACTTATCAAGGGTGTCTCTTCCATGTTTGTTCATCTTCCTCTCCTCCTTTAAAATCATTAATTGGATGAGTAAAGAAATCTAAGAATAATTGAAAACTGTAACATTTCATGATTAGTTGTGATTCAGGAAAGGGTCTCCTTTATATTCTCCCATTTACCTGGTACAACATCATTGTCAGTTTACATCCTTTTCAAACTACAAATATCATAATAATTTCAAAGAATACATTTTTTCTTACCTGATATGCCCTCTCAAGGTCCTGCATTTGTGAGTTAAGCCTTTCAATCTGATCAGTCAGGTCTGACTTGGTCACTTTCTCACTCTGGATGCCCTCTTCTAAGTCCCTTACTCTCAGTTGGACAATCTCAGAGTTGAATTTTGACTCCAGGTGAGCAGCCCGTTCTGCCTCTATGCTTTCCTCTGTGGTTTTTAGTTTGTTTTGAATTATGTCAAGCTCCTTTCTCAGCCTGAAACAATATTTTATTCTTTATAATTGTTTAGCTAATCAACAATGTGCTAAACAGGTGCTGAACATTTCCGAGTACAACTAACGCCTTTGGTCCTGCCATTTTATGAATAATTAATGTAAATGTGAGAAATAAATGAGTGTATAAATCATAATAAATTGAAGTTTTAAGATATTGATGAATCATCAGTGTCCATGACTAAGGTTGAAAACATGATTGCCACAATTAAACACATTGGCATTCAATACATTGCCCAACAGGAAACTAGTTTTTCAAATTGCATTGCCAAGAGCAAAAAGTGGTAGCCATTGACAGGCAGATAGCTAGTTTCCAACTCTGAATCATCATCATGGTTAAAACCTGCCAGATACAAACCAAGGCACGGATCATTTTTCCCTTGAATAGGTGTTACACATTAAAAAATTAAGTCTACCTCTCCTCCTTTTCCTTGGCGAATTCCAGCTCATTTAGATGTTGACGTAGTTTCTCCAATGACTTCTTCTGTTCCTCCTCCAGCTCCTGAATCTTAGAGTCTTGCTCCTCAAGTGTTATTTCTTTTGTTTGCATCATCACTTCAAGTTGGTCCTTCTCATTCCGCAAGATTTCTGTCTCTGTTTGAAATCTTGCTATCACCTAGATGTAGGAAAATTGATATTGTAAGTAATAAGGGTTTTGCTAGTCTTGAAATAAATTGCCACATTTTGCAATTGACCTAAAATAGTACTTGTTTTGTGAAGGGGCTAAAATCTAGCCTTATTGACCCACACCCTTTTATTGAATATAAAAAAGAATGACGAAAATGTAATTTAACCTGATCCTTGTCGGCAACTGAGCCAGCCAAGTGTCTCTTCTCACTATCGCTTAAAGATTTGAATGTTTGAAGCTCATTGGTCAGTTCAGTCAGCTGTGACGTCAAACTTAAGATTTGCTGCTTCATATGTTCATTCACATCAGTCATAACACCTTCTTTGTCTGACATTTGGCGACGTTCATTATTTAATTCACGACGAACTTTTGTAAGTTCATAATCAAGCTCATGTCGAGTTGCTTCACCTTTTTCAAGCTGTGCTCGTAATCTAGTCAATTCACCTGGAATCAGATATGTGGTAAATATATAAACCTTTTTTTAACCAAACAAGCTAATTTGAAGACCGAGACTGGAATGTTAATATTTCCTATTATTTTTATGATACATTCAACAAAATACACAAAGAGATTCATATGAATGATAGGATTTTGAAAGATAGAATTTGTGTGCAAGGATTGTAACTTGTTTCGACCAATGTAACTTGTTTGACCAGTGTAACTTGTTTGACCAGAGTAACCTGTTTGACAAGTGTAACTTGTTTTGTCCAGTGTAACTTGTTTCGACCAATGTAACTTGTTTGACCAGTGTAACTTGTTTGACCAGAGTAACCTGTTTGACAAGTGTAACTTGTTTAGACCAGTGTAACTAATAAATTAGTCAGATTAATCAGTACACTTCCTTAACAACATGAAGAAGTCTTACCCTGTAGATTGCCCACTTCTTCATTGCTCTCACTGACAGCTTTAAAGCGATCCTTGTCAGCAGCCGTCATCTTACTTCTCAGTTTAGCTACAGTATCTTGTTCAGTCTATAATAAAAATGCAAAGTGTATTTTATATTGGCATTTACTTAAAATCACTGACACTGAACAGGGGTTTCATTAGCAGCAGGCAACAGGCGATTTTCACCAGTTTGTTTTTAGGGACTTTTCAATGTTAGATTTATGATTTTCATTAATTTTTGCCTGTTGTTTTCACTTCTTTAGCCTTTTGTGAGAAATTCTAGTGAAACCCCTGCTGAAATATATTCCCTTACATGAGCTTTGAAATGTGTAAAAATTTGAGAATTAAATAAGCCCAATTGCTTCGATGTCGAGGAGATCAGTCCAGGACAGAAATCAACCATTTTATTCTAGCACATGTACAGTGGTTAATTACAAGGTAACATAGTTTAACAATCTCAACTGCCATATTTTGCAATATACCTGATAGTCAGCATGAAGCTGTTTCAACTCAAGGCGCATTTGTCGATTTTCATTTGTTAGACGTTCTAGCATCTCAGCCTGTGCACGTCTAGATGGACTTCCTGGGGCATTATGGGTAATGTCCTCTTGCATGGTCATACTGTCTTCATAGTCTAACTGGAAATAAATTACAGAGCTTTTTCTATAAATTTCATCAATTTGTCTATACATTTTTGAATAATGGAGCAAGTGAGAGTGTTTATTACGATTCAAATATTCTGCACTGCTCATATCAATAATTTTTTTTATAAAATTATTTATTCAAGATGAAAATCAACGTGAACAGCCTTCTTGGTTTTCTCATTTTTCCTCAAAAGTTAATACTGATTTGACCTGCACCTTCATTGTATACTATCATATTATAGTGTATAAACTTGACCTAAAAATACACTGGAATTCTCAATGTGGATTTGCTCAAATCATCGAGCAATATTTGAGTTTTATTGAGACAGGAATAGGGGTATAAAAGAAGAAACGTATGGAAAGTCTCATTTCATTGCAAACTAGACTCATGCTGTTGGACGGAGGATTCCCAAGGAGTCTGTAACAAGGTGATCTGGCCTCTATAAATATGTCTCAAAAGGTGACTAAAACAATGGCTATACCCCCTCTTAGGGAGCCTTCTTTGGACCTACCTGATCAAGACTCGTGACAACTGATGACATCATAGAGTTATCCCCGACTGTTACATTGAATGATTCCTCAGAGGAACCATTATGGTTTCCCAAATATGGATCTCTCTCCGCCATATTGATTATGCTAGTTTGACAGCCTATTCATTCTATTCCTGCATGGGATAAAAAATTCATGTTAGAAGGTGGTCTCATAATATGTCTTAATTTCACTGAATGTAACTGATTATTTTAATTTTAAATTGTGTGTATTTTTTGGCCCAACCTAAAGTGAATCCTGGTACCATCGACTGAGTTAACTGTATGCAGGTATTAGGGTACCAGAGACAGAGATAATGTATGATGGTACCAGTCCAGTATTAGATGATGGTACATACATTTGGAATGCTTATAGCTTCAATATTTCCAAAAATACTTTCATAAAACTTCACTATGTTGTTTTGGTTTTTAATTTTCCAAGCTAGAGACTTGAGTAAACTTTGACAGCACAGTCCCTCTTAAATATTAATTACAAATAGGTGGGTAACACCAATCAGCCTTCAGTTTCCTAACTTTGATCAGAGTTAAAAGCCCACGATGGGCTTTCAACAGGTATAGGATGGTATCCTTGTAATAGTGTGTAGTCTAAATCAATAAACTATTGGAATGGAAACACAGTTGCCAGAAGAGACAGTAGAGTTGTCCTAATAAGAAAATACCACTGTAATTACTCTTGATAGCAAGTCGCTACTACAGTCTCAACTGTAGTGGCTAGCCTTCATGGCTCAGGGGTAGAACATCGGGCTTATGAGCAGAGGGTCCTGAGTTTGATTCTGATTCCCGTATCAGGCTCGTTACACTACAGCTCCCCAGATGAGCAATCCCCCAGGTTGTTACCCCACAACCATCCATTATTACTCAATTCTCTAGCCAATTCCTTGCTAGAAGTAATTCCATCTGGATTCTGGAACACCCTGAACTTTTGTAAAATTTCTAGACAGGGTTCAATAAATTTACGTAATATTCTAAAAACAGTCATGTTAATATTTCATGAATTAAAATGGAACTGGCTGGGCTCCATGATGAAATATTGCATGATTTCGTCAGGATTTCCTCTAAAATTAAAAGAAACGGCTCCAAGAAAAATGGTGATTGATATTCGAAAACTGGACGAAATGTCGTAAACGTCTGACATTAGTAACTGGCTGTAAATGCTAAGTTAGTGATCCAGAAGATGTGAACTACATGTAATACATTGAGAGACCCTATCTGTTGCAAGACTAACGCCTGGCGTAACCGTCACCATGTTATTCAGTGTTTTTTAAGTAGCGCAAGGATCCTGCCATGACCGTGGTAATGTTATCGTGAAAGCCTGGTATAACCGCGACAATGCTGTATTATTGCAATGCCTGCCATGACCGTGACAATGTAATATAGTTCTGCAAGACTTGGTATGACCATAACAATGTAATATAGTACTGCAAGGCCTGGCATGACCGTGACAATGTAATATAGTATTGCAAGTTCAGGTATGAGAGTGGTAATGTAGAAATTTACGATTAGGACTGCTATAACCGTGACAATGTGTATTGCAAAGCCTGGCATGACCATGGCAATGTAATATCGTATTGCAAGGCTTGGTATGACCGCCATGGCAATGTGATATAGTATTTCAAGCTCGGGTATGAGAGTGGTAATGTAGAACTTTATGATTGCTATAATTGACCGTGACAATGTGTATTTGAAAACCTGGCATGACCATGACAATGTATTATGGGATCGCAAAGCCTGGTATGACCGTGACAATGTAATATAGTATTGCAAGGCCAGGTATGAGGGTGGTAATGTAGAGATTTAGGCTTAGTTCTACTATGGCCGTTATAATGTATTGCAATGACTAGTAAATATGTATGACATTAATGCCAGGAATATCCTTAACAATTTTAAGTGATCCTCATTACAATTAAACAGTTTAATACTATGATCATGGTGTTTAACTACCTTAATCATGTCAAAATCAAAATTACTACTATACATTAATATTCACATTCGCTTATAAACCACAATAAAGGCTACGGTCGCGCCAGGCTTCCACGATAACACTTCCAGGGTCATGACAGGCCTTGCAATAGAATACAGCATTGTCACGGTTATACCAGCCTGTCACGGTTATACCAGACTTACACGATAACACTACCACGGTCATGGCAGGATCCTTGCGCTACTTAAAAAACACTGATTAACATGGTGACGGTTGTGGCAGGCGTAAGTCTTGCAATAGATAGCATGTGTACATTGATCACTTCATGTGTGTTTTGGAATTGTTGGTAAGGTAATAAGACCAAAACTCACAATTCAAATTTTGTTATGGAATAACATTTGATTTCAAACAGCGACATGACTCACATCCAGGGATTTATCCTTGAACGAAGGCCTTAGAAAAAGGTAAATCCATTAGATCTATTGTTTTCTTAGTAAATGAAGGATAGGGGTCCACGTTCTTATTGGACACTACTTAACTATGTGTTTCGGTGCCTGTGATTAAAATACCAACTTCTGTATATATGATCGGTCCCCAAAAAACTTTGCATGTTTGTAGATCTAGACATGTAGACTTACTTTGTGGAAAACATTTGAACATTACACTGCTTTTTACACATCTAAAAGTTGTTAAACATATTGGTCAATATAAATGATGCAAGCTTAATACTATACCTTCCATAAATATAGTCTATATTTCATATAATCAATCAAAGGCAAAAAAACAGTTTTGTTTTGAATTTTATCAACCTTGACCTTTGAACTTACGGAAACTACCGAGCTCGGTTGATATTGATTATATCCATTACAATCTGAAATTAAACCTAGTAAAGGACAGGTATTTACTAAAACATAATATAAGTATTAGTTTTAAATTCATTCTTTGTTGAATAATTTATTTATCATAAAAATATAACAGTCGGAAAATTCCGTTAGTTGACCTTGGATATCCGGTCCTGTATTTTTCGGAATGGCAGCAGCGGCACAAAAAATCGCCAATTGGGGCGTCAAAACAGTAACAAAAGTGGCCACAGGTATGTCAAATTCAAACGGAATGTCTTATATTTCAGTATATCTAGTTGTTATCGGATAATATCTTAGACGATTGAAGCTAGAGGCACTTATGTAGTTGAAAAAATCCAAGATGGCGGATATTTTTCATGATTTTTTCCAAAATTGTGGATTATTTTGTTTTCTGACAGAATGAACATTTCTTGAGGTGATTTGCCGGTTTCATGTTACATACTTAGATAATTATTATTGAATGCTGAAAACCTGCTCTCATTCAGTTTTATGTTTTTAGTTCTCTGCACATCACTTTCTCATCAATTAATTAGAAGGGGTAGGGTAGATAAGGTCGAAACTTATTTGGGGTAACTTGGACATATATCGATCTATGGGAATCCACTTTTTTTCATGCATGGATCGAGATCGTGCGAGATTTTAATTTTTCGAGAAATCAAACATGGAGGACAATGGAAAGTAATTTCTTATAAGTACAGTTGGGGACATAAATAAATGACAGGTGGATTTGCTGAAGTGAGGATTTCCCATGTTAAAAATAAGAGAATTTACAAGAGGCCATAAATCAGTGGATGAGATTATACAAAATGTAAAATATACAAATTTTAAGGGATATGTATCTAGACAATATTGGAAATTATGGGCTTTCAGACCACCATAATTAGGAAATGGTGATCGAAAATCGACCTGTCATTTATTTTTGTCCCCAACTGTAAGTGTCGAAGTTACCCGATTTCTCATGTCGACACTCCTTTGCCCTAGATCTAGGGGAAATGCGTCAAACTTCAATGTATGGGGTAAATTTATGGCTACTTCGACCATGGGGTTATTTCGATCCACTGTCTTGGATAAGGATCCTGCCCATCAGCCAATTGGAGATTGATTTATTATTTGAATTTTCAAAAAGCAAACATTGCAGACTGCATGAATTGCATGAAATATAAGCCAATGTTGAAATAGCTTATTTATTTCAAAGGCTTGACTGATCTGATTATTCAGCCTTTTTGGCCAGCCGGGATTAACCTTAAGGTAATTGTAATGTCTGAAACTGAAATACTGAATTCAGCTACTGTACTTACTTCATATCTCCAAATGTTCCTTACATCAGGTGCCTCTGTGTTGATCAAGACTTCTTTTTATCGGTCAAGGTTGAAACATTAAAATGGCAGTTTTAACAGAAATTAACAAATCGTCCACGATCCAGAATTTTCCAAATGGACGTTAACAAGCATTTCTTGGTACGCATGTTTTTCATATTTCATCTTATTTACAATTTGTTGTTGTTTCATTTCTCATTTGTTTACATTTCAAAATGATAATTAATATAATGAAATATGTGTGTACTCGGAAATGCAGGCAAATGAAAAAGGGAAATGGATTTATTTTCAAAAAGTGAGTCCCTCCTCAAAAAAGTGCGTCCCGTGAAAAAAGATTCCTGGGAATTCAAAGCCACATTCTTACATTGAACGAAAATTGAGGAAAAGTTTCTAATCAGTTTTGTTATTTATAGGCCTAGGTTCTACAAACATGGAATAGGTTACTAATTGATACAGATACCTTCACTTGAGATTTTTTTTTTGTATTTCGAAGCACTAAGGGCAATCTCTGCGAGGTTCCATTTATTAGTTCGGTTTTATGCGCATGCGCAACAAATCCAGCAATTTGATTTAATAGTTAAAATTATTAAGACGCATGCACGATTAATAATCGTGGCCAATCATAGGACTCGTACCGAAAGAAAATATTGTATTTCTTTTAGAAATAGAATATCCTTCGTTAATTTAGTGAATTTTGACCAAATAAAATACTGAAGGTGAGATCTTTTTCTATCAATTTTGTTACTGGAAACACAGGACTTTGTGTCCAAGGGACGGATCATTAAAACATTTTGGAGTTCCTTCATCAAAATTTGGGTCCTCCTAATGTTGAGGACGTGATACTGAAAGCCCTGGGGTTATTGTATGAGTTTAAAGGCTGTCTATCAGAATCAGTCAGCAGCCTTTGCCATTGTTCTCTTAAAAAATGGAAAAAAAGGAAATAAACAAGTTTAAAATAAAATAACATGATGTTCAGCAGGTAAATGTCACCTGCTCCAGGTACACTACCCCTATGTTACTGAAGTCATTGCCAAATCATATATATTATGACATGTATCCTGTCTATTTATAGTTAAATTGGTAACCCTATTTTGGCACATTTTTGCCAAGTTACATGTTATACTATTGAGAGAGACCTCTTCAAAAGCACTGGTGATCCACTCGATTACGATGGTTACCAAAACCAACCCGTTGGTTTTGGTAACAAAATGTTGGAACATCGAAGGTACGATTTTTCTTTTTTCCTTATTTCACAAGTTGTAGGCAGAATTCCCACGACATTTTTAACACAAACGTATATCAGTATCATATGTTTAAGAAAATGTACATATTTGCGAACAAATAGTTCAGAAGACAACAGAATCGTTGATTTAATTCCTCACTTAAAAACCGTTTATGTAACTTAAATGAGGAATTAAATCGACGATTCTGTTGTCTTCTGTAGTGGAGCAACGATTGACTCGTGGACTCGAATACTACTCGCCAAACCCTGTAAATACGATTCATCGATTGGTAAATTCTGACTCGAATTGAAAAAAAAATGAAAAAATGATGAAGAAAATGTGATTTACCCACCTTTCAACCGCAATTTACGTAAAAAAACACATCCAATGTACAACATTTCTGTACAATGTTTAGCAATGATGCCTTCCTTAATATTTAGCATTGTAGTTTGATACCTTAACTGAAATAATAAATCAAATACGATAGGCTTTCTCGTGTTTGTTTTTATTTATTGATTACATCCGGTTGCGCATGTGCAATGCAATATTTAACGAGGTCAAACCAATTAGCGTAAATTGCTAAATTATTTACTTTTCAATGCAAAACAAGAACATATAAAGTGTATTGAGTTATTCTATTTGAATAATTTGATGGGTATGTTGGAGTTATTCAAGGTAGGTTGAGCCGAGAACACTTGAAAACATTGCTACCGGAAGTGAAAGTTTGTAACTTTCCGAAGAAAGTTTTTCTGAACTTTTTTTCCAAAATCATTCATTTTAATCGCGAATAAATCGAGTGTTCAAGAGCCTCTACTCGAGTAGGATAATTCACACGAGTCCCACCACTAGTCTTCTGAGCTATTTGGGATTCTGCCTACAACGCGTGAAATAAAGAAAAATCGTACCTTCGATGTTCCGACATTTTGTTACCGGAACAGTTTGTTTTGGAGCAGATCACCAGTGGAAAGGGAGCTTCATTGTCACTACTTATTGATCATCTTGTAACTGGAAGTGCACCAAACGAAAAACATGTCGAATATCCGGGGATTTTGGCGACTGTTAAATTTGGCAATTTTGTTAATTTACCAAATTCGCTAATTTAAAACGCTAGACAAATTAAAGAAAAATACAGTATCCGCACTTGCCCTTTTCATTATATACTTCTGTCTTCTGGCCACTATTGTGGGCGATCATTTTGAAAATGGTGGCCATTTATATGTGTGATATTTTACGCTACCCTTTGGCATTTGTGTTATCTAGTTCGTATTGTAGTTAATGTCAGGGTCTGCCTTTACTGAGTTTGCAAGTATGCTTGACTGTAACTTTCCCAAAATTAACATTATTTTCCAGGCACGGCTAGCTTTGCTGCACCAAGAGCAAAGACATTCATGAAATATGCCCGAGTAGAACTTCGACCCCCAACACCAGCAGAGATGGGAGAAGCCTCACAGAGTTTCCAAAAGTTAATAAAGTCAGCTCAGACTGGAAAATGGCAAACTGTAACAACACAGGTGAGAATTATATTGATTTCAAACATGGTGTAATGATATTTTTGATTATTGGAAATCTTTTGAAAAACTGAAAATTTTTCAAAATTGCAAAAACGCAAAAGATAATAGCGTCAAATATTAGTTTGGGTATAGTATTAGGAATCTTGATGTATTTCACATTTCAAACTGCTCCCCCACAGGGAACAAAAAATTAAAACATTATTTTTAGGAAAAAATCGGACTTAAAACAGAAGTAAAGGTTACCCGCAAATGATATTCCCATTGCATGGAGTATAGTATACTGCCTCAGCTCTGAAACAAAAGTCTGATAGTCCAACTAATCAGAGCTGGGTAGCCCCATCTAATAACATGATGGCTCATGAGAATTTAGTCACATGTATTTTAATTTTGATTTCAGGAAGCCCTAAGGAACTCATTAATCACTTTAGAAATTGCCTGCTGGTTCTTTGTAGGAGAAATTATAGGTAAGTTCACTTATAATACATGTAATATATGGTCTCCAATTTGTCACAAAAACTTGCCTCTTTCAAAACTGATATCTACAAGTTTCCAGAAAATGTTTCACGAAATTTCAAAATATCAATCTTTTTTTGCTGTCAAAAATTCATGTCAAGCATTCACTCTTCTTTGGTTTCTCTTGAAACCAAATGATATTACATAATAATGCATTTGGCCTTAATGAACCTAATTTGAATCTTTGGCCTCCGCTTTTTTTCATTTTGTTAATGAAATCTTTCCTGTTGTGTATTTTCAGGCCGCAGAAGTCTAGTAGGATACAATATACCAGGGGCAGTGTTCTATGATGAAGATTTCTAGACAATTTATATAGACTTGTACAGTAGCACCATATCTTATAGGACAGTACACTAAATAAATTATTGCTCGAGTGAGCATAAAATACTTCAGTATAACAGCGATATTCTGTCGTGTTATAGTTCACTTGCAGTTTTGGATATGGGAGATTCATGTGGTTTGATGTCTCCTTGATTCACAATAAAGAAAAAGATTACAATGTTTGCCAAACAGTCCATCTTCACCGATTTAATGTGTAGATTGTTATTGAAATATAAATTGTGAATGATTTTACTTTAGTGTTATTTTTGTCTTGTTTACTAGAATTAGTCCAAGTGAATATCGCTAAGAACTGTAAGTTGCTTTAATTGCCAAGTTGCCAAATTAAGTCTCCACCAGTTTTTTTGAAAAAAATCCTTGGGAGCTTGAGTCTCATTGAGAATTCTTGCAATAATTTGATTGTAACCAATTTTTTACATGTTAGCTCATATATGAAGGTAAAACCTTCTTGTGTCACCCAAAAGTAACCTGGCCACGTGATATCTTAGCTAGCCCTTCTACCGATGTGACAGGTCAATCCAGGTCTATGGCAACTTAAGTTGACAAAGCTTGAGAATTCAGAGAATAATGAAATTTAGATTTGTGAAAATGTAGCTAAATTGTCATATCTCAACATTTACAAATAAAAAAGCTTCGAAATATACTGGAGTACAGTATGAAAATTATAATACCTGTTGCTGTTGAAGGATAGGTCACTTAATTCTATCACCTATAGGTGGGATGTAAAAAGCTCAATCTGGATACTTGATATTTTCAATACTGTAAGTGGTAATTTTGCCTAATCATTTAAATTGCATACTGACTATTTTTTGCAAGGTTCAGAAAATCAAATGAGGGAAATATTATCTTCGTAATATTTTCCAACAGGAAATTTCTTGTTATTTGGAAAATGATAAAATTTGGCAAATTAACCATTTGGATTAGATACCACTTATACTGTACATCATTCCAATTATAGAAGATTTAGATTGCAAGCCTTTGAAATAAAACGACTACCTAACATTTTAAGCTAAATAAATCCTGCCTCCCTTAGAAGAGGTTTTCTCAAAGATTAAAAAATCTAGTACAATGGGTATTAGATTTCAAAGGCACAACATTAACACCACTGAAAAGTTCATTAATCTTTCCCCATGTGCCTTCATGAAAGCAGTAATATACCAGTTGAGTAAAATTCAGTGATATCGGGATTTAAGGTGAGCAAATTGTACATCTAATTCATAGGTTTTGGGTCAATCTAAAGATGGTAGCACCGACAGATTCCAGTATTATCTTTTTTTTGAATTAACACAGATCGATAACCATTTCACCTTCTTTCAAAAATTATTTCTATTGACATCTAATTACTGAGTTGCAGCCCTTTGGTTGCATAGTTTTATCCAGTGCATGTAAACGAAAAGTGGATTTCATTTTTGCCTATTACTGTAAATCACATAATACTAAAAATAATTTATACCTAAAGATTACCCACACTCCCACAGTCAAGTATTAATTTTTGCAATTTGACTAAAAATGGCGAATAGTGCTACATTGCACTATTGACATGCTGTAGATAAGCAACCAGAAATCAGATTCAGAGGCTGATCCAAAGCTGAGCCTCAGGTTTGGATCGCTAAAACCAATAGCCTTTGCATTTGTTGGACTTTGCCTCTAAGAGAGCCTTGTCTTCACTCTTTCAGTTAAACTCTGAATGGCTCGGTGAGTTCAGTTTTATTGTTGTTGTCGAAATATGGACGACTTTATATCTATTTCCTCTGACATCATCGCATAGTTGATAAGTATGCATTTAGCATGTGTTCCTTCTAGCTCACTGATTGGTTGAGAAATGATCAGCGTGATAGGTTTGAAATGATTAATGACCTGGGCTGTCATAGGTATAGGTCATGGAGGCAGGGCTTCTACACTGTAATATAGTTTATATTAGGCAGTGGGTACTTTATAACTAGACTCGGGGTATAAAACCAAGGTATTTCTGAATACTGGATAGTTGAGTAAACACTAATAAAAACATATTCTTGTCTACAACATTAGGATATAAGAGACATCTTTAAATGTGTAGAGTGAATTATTCATTGCTAATAGGGATTCCATGGGTTGACCTGACCTATAAGATGTGACAATGGAGCAGATTCTTTATGTAATGCAATGGATATTCTGTCAACACATGCCATTTGTTACAGATACCAACCGCTGAACACCGTCCACAGAAAAGTTGGAGAACATAACAATATGTCACCACTTGTGATGGTGACATAATAATTTGGTCAGATAAAAAAGAAAGCAGGTGGCACTGTTTCCAATCAAAAATAGGATTAGCCTTTTTTCAAAACTTTGTTTCTAAAGAGTCTTGCTAATGCCTTGGTCACATATGCTCTGATCCATCGGCCGGCGCCCGGGCGATTGAGTGTTTTGTTAATTTTGATCAAAATACTCAATCACCGAAGTGAAAATCGGGGCAAATGTGACCAAGGCATAATATATTGCTTCTTTGATCTCGCAAAAGGTGATTTGGTTCTATGTGGGTCTACCAATGTACTTATGCATCAGCAAGAAATTGTAAATGTTGAATAATAAAACATATAATTTGTCTAACATACTTCACATAAAATATCAAATACAGTTCACCCCTTCATTTGGTTTATTCACCAAAATAATATTCACATGTTAATTTGATAAGTGTCAGTGTCACTGATGGCTGTTCTATAACTGTCACTTTATTCTGAATAAGTGTCTACTTCAACTTCTTTTTGGGGCGGATGTTGCTGGTGTGTCCACACTTCTTCTTGCGGCAGTTAGTGGCACGAGGATGGAGCCTGGCATAGCACCTGGAAATCAAAGAAAATACAGTTTTTAATATTATTATGTTTTTATAATGATGTTATAAGAAGAAAGTAAGAAGAAAGTTCATGGATCCTTGAAATCCTGATTTTTTGTTATATGCAGACAATGTAGAGTAAAGGAAATTTACATATCAAACTTTGATCCAGACACACCAAATTCCATACTCTTAATTTAACTAAAGATGACGTTTCAAAATATATAATTAGCTTATTATTTTGCAATTGATAAAAATTTGACTTTGATTTCTTTTGGCATGTAATAAAGAAAATTAAAAATTGTTCTTGAAAAGTGGTCTCAGAGTTGAAACATCTAATGTCGAAAGTGCATAAAAGGAACTGGATTGTATGGGACAATACAATCTGGATTCAATTCTAAGTGATTGATCAAAAAAAATTGAGCTGCTTGACAAGAGTCTAACCATCGAAACAGTTTGCACCTCTTTAGCAAATTACTTACTTCCTGCAGATCATCTTGTCGCAGTTGTACTTCTGTGCCAACATTCTTAAACTGGGCTCGATGATCCCACCACGGAGACGCAACACCAAATGAAGAGTAGATTCTGAAAATTTATATTAAAGTTATCAACTGAAGACTACAATCGCATTTCTTGTTTGTATGGATTGGTCAAAATATTGCAATTTTCTTAGTTTTCTTAATTTCCAACAGGGTGTACTGTTTCCTCTCTAACAAGATGTAAATTCATTTTCTTTGGTCATCAGATTTTCTTTTGGTAATATCGACTCGGGATGTTGTTAAGGTACCTCCGAAATAATACCCATGGACATTTAATCAGAGAAAAAACATGTCAATTTTGGCCTTACTTTCAAACAAATTCTCAGTGTACCATAACTCACGAAACTTCAGTATTCCTAATTTATTTAGCATTTCGGCGAACATGGTCTTGAAATTCCCACAGTTAAATTGTGATACAGTCATAATTCGAAATATTCCAAATCAGCACCAACGCAGAACAACACAGTAATAAGAGCACTTTTCTTACCTTTCTGGATATTGTAATCAGAGAGAGTTCTGCCATCTTCCAACTGTTTTCCAGCGAAGATCAAACGCTGCTGATCTGGGGGAATACCTGAAATTATAATTTAATCCATATACATAAGGGTCACTTTTGAACAGTATTGTTAAAACATTGAAGACACCATGTTTCTGAGAAAGATCATTCATTATCAGATAGGTAGAGATTAAAAAGTGGATTGGATCTAGTGGATTGGATTCATGTAAAAGGTGGTTTGGAATGGGAATCTTCAAAATATGGAATTTCTTATGAGATTTTGTCTGTTTGATCTCCCTCTGTTGATTTCCCTCTACAGTATTACAGGTCCCTTTTGAGAAATCAGAACAAGGCAATGACAAATACATACTCCAATTAGTTCATAGTACTCTTAAGTATTTAACTGCTTTCCCTTGTAAAACAACTTTTGTAAGACATCATAAACATAAATCTGTAGATAAAAGCTCCTGTCATTCAAATTTGTGTGTGAATGTTTGCAAAACATTTCTGCTATGTTCAGTTTGGATTGAAAACATGATATGGATCTTCAAACCAATCTGCCTTATGATTTATGAAAAGTCTAAAATTATCCTTGGAATGAAAATAAGAATGTGTATCAGAAAGCAGGTACTAGGTCACCCTTCTAGCCCACCCATGCAAAATAATATTACATCTATTATTTGACATTGTGGAAGTGAGGAGAGCAACAATCTTCTTAGAGGGAGATCAATAGAACTTTTTAAGGAAAATCCATATTTTGAAGATTCCCAATCCAATCCACCTTTTACATGAATCCAATCTACTCGATCCAATCCACCTTTTAATCTTTACCATCAGCTATGGCTAGTGATATTTAGGCTATTAATTGTAACTCATCCCCTTTAAATTTGAAAAATGAGGTTCCAAACAGAATTTTCCAATCTTAACATTTAATTCTGATTTTCGAATTATCTCAGATTTAAGTAGGCCTTAATAATGTTTGTCCTCTTTATTTCTGTTTCATATACTAGTAAACAAGTAAATGTATTTACCTTCTTTGTCTTGGATCTTGGCCTTGACATTTTCAATGGTGTCCCCAGCCTCAACCTCAAGGGTGATGGTCTTGCCGGTCAGTGTCTTCACAAAGATCTGCATCTTTGGCGTTTACTGGAAATGCAAGAATAACATCAGATGTGTGATTGTGAATCTACATACATATAAGAGAAGCAATCTGCCAAAGTATATTGTATACTGAACCAAACTCGAAACAGCAAAATTGAAAAATGTCACAACTTGTCTTCATAGAAACCCAATTACAGTCTTCCACACAATTTTTTGACAACTTTGGATCTAAAAAATAAGCAATAGAATGACCAAATTGCAACAGTCTATGAAAAAATAGAAACAT